TTAGGGGTGGCAATGTAAAATACACTATTTACTAATATGTGCAGTATTAACATTTGCTGCTGGACACTGTGAAATAATAATCTATGCCGCTAGACACCTGTTGACTACTCAAGTCAGCGCTTATTGAATATTTATTATTATTAAGATCTTATTTTATATGTCTTATTGAACTGTACTACTTGAAATCTTTTCTTCAAAGTATTATCACCCTAATGTCTAACATTTCTCTACAACATTTTGTCTTCTCTCTTCTTGTTTATTTCCCTTAAATCTTTTAAGCGGTTAGACCACATTTCCATTAACTTAGCATCATTCGTATCTGGCTAATTAGCGTCACAAGCTAAGCTAACAAGCTATGTATGCTGTCACCGATACCTGCTAATTATTGTTAACACCAGGGGCATTTTTAGGATCCTGAAACATTGGGGGCTTAGCCCAGCCCATAAATCTTCACATAATAATTGACTTGACTGAGTTTTTCTGCTTTAATAAAGGTATAATAAAACAATTTAAAATCCAAAACTGTAACAGAATATAATGCAGAGCAGCTCTCAGCTTTCAGATATGTTTCTCCTGTAGATCAACTTTTAATATCATCACTGCTGAATCAACACACACGCAGGCGTGACTGATTAAGGCAACCTCTTTAAATGTGCATGTGGCACCATTTTACGTCATCTATAATAAATTTTATCATTTTGATTCAGTTATAAACTCCTGGACTTTAATAGCTCCTGTGTTTCAGCAGGTTTTCTGCTCATGTTCAATGTATGAATGTTCTCCACATTCAGAATCTAAGTGGGTTCTCTGACATTTCCAGAATAAAGGATATTTTGAGTGGTCAAACAGGATAAATCATCATAAACTTTGCAATCAATCCGCGGTCCACCTGCGTGCCGCACCGTGTGGACGGGATCCATACCATGGATTCTGCAACTCGTTGCACCACTACTGTCCATGGTAGTGTGGGGATTTAATTCTTGCATGTTTTGTTGTGCAGGATCACAGACCCTACGTGTCCACATGAGGAAAGGTGAAGAGAGGCTATCAGAGTAAAAATGGACTGTCTATTGCATTAGACTAGGCAACTTGATGAGTTTATTTTTTTAAGTAGCCCATTAAAATATTCTTGCAAATGCAGTGAAGAAGCTGATTATCTGTAATTTAGCTATTTCTACAATTATTTTCCTTTTTAAATCTCCATGAAGGTGTTTACAAGATCACTTGAAAATATCACTTTGCTGCCCACCAACTTTTGTTGCCTGTGCCTTTTATTATGGAGATGTAGCCAACCAAACCTCTTGCTTTGCATCTAAATCATCTTCACAACACAAATTATTGTGGCAGTAACACGAGAGCAGCTTGTTGTTGAAGCAGGTAAACCTGCATACAGAGGAAGCTGTACGTCATGCGTAAAACCCAACATGACTATTTTATCCACCATATTCTCTCTCTCTCTGTGCATCTCAAAAATAAATAATGGATGGTAGCTGCTGAGTGAAAGATTAGTTTCACCGGCGACATTCTGTTTATGGACTCACCGTCGGACATCGCTATAAAACAAATAGTAACTAATGTGTATTAAAGAAAAGAAACAGGCTTATGTCCAAAGTCAACAACAGGACACTTTTAATATATCTCAATCAATGCAGTGATCATCTGACATAGATCTTACAGTGTGTAGTCTTCATTTGCTCTGCAGAGACTAAAATACGCTTTTTATGCGCCATTAGTGGAAAGTGAAAGTTTTTCACTTGCTGACTTGTGAAAGAGCGACGTAGGCTGCAGTGCCATGGTGTGCGCTCACTTGACTTCAGTCGTATTAGTAGAACATAAAGCCTTAAACTGAAAAGATATTTGCCAGATTTTCTAAATGTGACAAGTGCCCGACCAGCGCTTTACTGCGTAACTGGCTGCGCTACAAAGCTCCATGACTGACTGTATTAGCTGAGCTAACAGAAAGCAGGCAGATGGCAGCAGCCACCTGTCAATCAAAGCAGCCACGCCCCTAATAATGCAGAACTCTAAGGTTTAATATAATTTAAACTGGTGAATTATAAAAAAATTCTCCCCCCTCACAGTTGTCATGTAGGGCGAAATTAGCGATATACACTTAAACAATTTTGTGTACCAGGCTCTAAACATTTTTAATCTGCTGTAAAGTTGGGCATTTTAACAAGGGGGTCAATGGAGAATGACTCCCTTCTGCAGCCAGCCTCAAGTGGCCACTCTATGAATTGCAGTTTTAGTTACTTCCTAAATGTCCTCGCTGATGAAACCGGAAGTTTGCTGCTTGGTTTCAACCAGCAGCTGAAAAATAAAATATTCAATGGTAAACTATATACACTTGTACAGAAAGGTTTAGATGGAGTAGAGTCCAGTGTTCCAGCAGAAGTAGACCAGAATGCAGTGCTGCAGGGTGGGAGTCCTGTATCAGCTCGGACAGGATGAGGCCAAGGTGCTGATGGGGAAACAGAAAGGGAAGGCTCAGTCATATTTTGTAGAAAATCCTCATCACATCCATCCTGTAATCATACAACAGAAAGACACTGCAGTGATATGATGGTTTACTGTCACTAAGATGTCAGAAGATTTTGTATTGATCATTCAAACTGTCCTAGCCTACTGACTCCATCACATTTATTCATTTAGCTGAAACTTTTATCCAAAGCGACTTACAATTGCTATACATGTCAGAGGTTGCACGCCTCTGGAGCAATTAGGTCAGGATCTTGCTCAGGGACACAATAGTGGATGGGTCACAGTGGGTGATTGAACCCAGGTCTCTCACACCAAAGGCATGTGTCTTATACATTGTGCCACCACCACCCCATCACTTTGGATTGTTAAATCCATAAAATCTCTGGACTTGAACTAAATGATTCTATGTGGGATTGTTACATAACATGGGCTAACGTTAACTTACACAGCAAACTTACCACAGGTAACCACTTTATAAACTGGTCCATTATCAACTCTCTCCACAACACGGTGTACTGCCTGCTCCCAGAAAGCCCGCAACTTTCCAGGCCCACCTCTCTCTGACAGGTTTTTTACCAGCACTCGGTCGCCTGGCTGAAGAACAACACCCCTGACTGCTCTGTCATACTGACTCTTGCCTTTGGCTGAAGATTTTTCACTGTTGTTTGCAGCAATTTCATATGCAGACTGCATCCTCTTTGCCCATATCTGGGCATATGTCTCTCGATCGGGTGACTCAGGCTCTGTCTTAGGTGGAAACAGTAAGTCAACAGGTAAGAGTGGATTTCGCCCATATAAGAGGAAGAATGGGGAAAAGCCGGTGGCCTCATGCCTTGTGCAGTCGTAGGCATGCACAACGTGAGGTAGGTGATCTTTCCACTGACTCTTTTTTTCTTCTTCCAGGGTACGCATCATCTGCAGAAGCGTGCGGTTCAGTCTCTCCACCGGATTACCTTGTGGGTGGTATGGTGTGGTTCTTGAATGACCAATACCAGCCAGCTGCTGTAACCTGTTGAACAAACTGTTCTCAAACTCCTTCCCCTGATCATGGTGGAGCTTCTCAGGATATCCATAGCGAGGGATGAAGTCTTGAAATATCTTATCGGCTGCTGTTTTTCCCGATTTATTTCTTGTGGGGTATGCTTGAGCAAAGCGCGTGAAGTGGTCAACAAGGACCAGGATGTACTCATAGCCTTGACTTTGCTCCAGGTGGAGATAGTCGATGCACACTAACTCAAATGGACTGCTTGTGGATATGTGTCCCATGGGCGCTCTCTGTTGAAGATTGGGGCGTTTCTGTTTAATGCATCTTTTGTTTACATAGTCCTCTATATCCTGCTGCATATTCGGCCCATAAAACCTCTCGTGGGCAAGATGAATTACTTTCTCTGCACCAACGTGGCTCATGTCATTGTGCAGGGTCTTAAGCACCATGGGTTTCCACTTCTCAGGGAAGACGAGCTGCCTGTGTTGTTCAGTCCGCCGATAGAGAATCCCGTCATCCACTTCCATCTTATTCCATTCATACAGCAGTCTCCTTGTCTCTTTCCTCATGTTTCTTTTGTCCATTTTGTTGGGAATCCAGTTTTGAAGTTTTAAGGAAACAACTTCTGAGATAGCTGGTTCCTCTTCCTGTGCTGCACGGATGTTTTCTGGTGGAACACTGGAAATACTCGCAGGTGGTACAACCTCTGCACTTCCACCATCAAGCTGCAAAGCTGCAACCCATGGGACGTCACTTTCTTGAAGTGCTCTGCAGTGTATCTGCGTCTGTGTTCATCTTCCCTGGCCTGTACTTAATATCGAAGTGAAAGTCAGCCAGCTCACCAACCCATCTGTGTCCAACGGCATTTAGTCTGGCAGTGCTAAGGACATATGTCAAAGGGTTATTATCTGTGAAAACTGTGAATGTTGGGGCATAATACAAGTAATCACGAAACTTGTCACAAATGGCCCACTTGAGAGCCAAGAACTCAAGTTTACCGGAGTGAAGGTGGTAATTTCTCTTGGCAGGTGTAAGAGTTCTAGAGCCATACCCAATGACCTGCAACTTGTTGTCCTGACGCTGGTATAGCACCGCTCCTAATCCTTCATTGGACGCATCAGTGTGCAGTATAAATGGGAGGTTAAAGTTTGGGTAAGCTAGGATAGGTGGATTAGTCAACATGTCAACTAGCTTGGCTACTACATCCCTGTGCTGTGCTCTCCATGTGATTGGGGTTTTGGACGGGAGTTGTCCTTTATCTGCTTTCTGAGCTTTACTTTTATTCATCTGATTTTTGGTGTGACTTTCATTTGTTTCTGTGGGTTTCTGCAGCAGTTCAAACAGTGGCTTAGCAAGTCGAGAGAAGTCTTGGATGAAGGAGCGGTAGTACCCCAGAAACCCCAGCAGGGACTTGACATCTCCAGCTGTGCGAGGCTCTTTTTCTTTGAGTGCCATGACTGCTGCCAAATCCTGTGGATCGATCTTGACTCCTTCCCCAGACACCAATCGGCCGAGGTAACGGACCTCTCTTTCAAACAACTCACACTTGGTTGGTCTCAGTTTGATGCCGTGTTCTCTCATGCGACTGAGAACTTGTCTGAGGTGGTGTATATGATCCTCAAAGGACGTTGAGTAACACAACACATCGTCGAGGTATGGAGCACAGCATTCATCTCGAATATCTTCCAGCACACCCTCAATACACCTCTGGAAAGCCGCAGGTGCGTTCGTCAAGCCAAATGGTATCCATGGCACCGCTGCTTGGGCTAACCTGTGCGGCACACGTGTATGTATCACTCTCTGACTTTGCTGGCTGCCTAGCCGGGGGAAACAAATTGACTGGTTTGCTGTCAACAATTTCTTCTATACAGCCTAAGACTGTCCTTGGTGGCAGGAAGATGTCATGCTTGGTGGAGTTGCAGATGGGGATTTTCACAGCTTTGGAGGCACCACAGGGCACATCAACTAACGCAGGAAACAGCTGTAGTCTCTCCGGTAAGACACTTTCTAAGGTGAGTTCAAAAAGCATTGTTCCTCCCTGTGACCATGATCTGACACGACACTTCAGTTCACATATTTAGCCACTTGGAACTGTAAGACCTTTCTTCCCCACTCTGATGGTGTAATTTGCAGGCTTTTCTTGGGCTGGAGTATCACTAATTACGGAGACAATGGTTTCAGCTGCATCTCGATGGAGCTTTAATGCCTCTGCTAGCAAATCACTTAGACTGACGCTTCCTGGCTCTTCCAGACTCTATAAAATGATTTCCTCTATCACATTGAACCCTAGCAATAGGCCACTAACACAGCTCTGACTCACTAGCATGGGTACATTAATGGCTACTTGACACTTTACAACTGTGATTCTGAAGTTGTTGTGCCCTTAAAAAGGAGAAAAATAACGAGAAAGTTGAGGAAACACGCACACGCAGCTCTCGCCTTCACTCGTCTGTATTGAATGAGTTTTTGAACAATGTATACAAGAAAACATACATTTCAATATTAGTGCACTCATCAGATTCAGGACCACAGTCACAAGTATCTTCTTAATGCATTCTAAATTATCTTTTTAACTAAATTACCATATGAAATGTAGATTGTTTTTAACAAAGTTATCAAATTACATTAATACTCATTTTTACATTAGTTCTCGCATAACACTAAAATGAATTATACTTTTAATAGTATTCATTGTCTCAGCATGACACAAACTCACCCTTATTAGTGATAAATTCACAATAAATTTTACAACAGAAATATGTGGATGTCAGTAGCTAGCTTAAACACCAACGATAAAGTTAACACTCGTGTATATAGCGGGACTCGGACACGACGGAGCCACGAGGTCTCCGGCTGCTGGCATAACGTAACACATTTTCTCAGATATACATTTCTCAGAACGATATACGCATGTAAAACGTCTCTTTTACTCATAAAACCACAGTAACATCACAAAATGTAGCTTACTATCAACATATGTTAAAATCTACATTATTTTGTGAGTGGTCATTACCTTAAAAAGGGGAAAAATAACGAGAAAGTTGAGGAAACATGCACACGCAGCTCTCGCCTTCAATCGTCTGTATTGAATGAGGAAGAGGAGCACGCCGGAATCCCCCTACTGAAACCCCAAGGCATTACCAAAAGATCGACGAATAATCAACCCATACAGACGAAGATCAGTATTATCTGCATTCAACTTCTTAATATAACTCTAATTTTAAACAGTGACAAAACTTAATACGCATTATAATATAACCATTAATACAAACAAAACTTAATACGCATTTTATAACAGACTATTTTATATGCAATAATGAGTTATGATAATATATATATGTATATACTATAATGTCACATACCACTTGTCACACTCACTTGTCACAAAGTCGGGTGATCAGATGATTGGGTGGTGGGGATATCAGAACAACATTTCATGGCAATCCATCCAGTGGTTGTTGAAACATTTTCCAAAAAAGCATCAAATGAAGTGATGTGAAGCTCATGGCAGGGCTAGAGGAAAAGTCACTTAAGATCACTGAAGTTTCAGTGCCTGGGAATAATGAATGTCTTTTCAAACATTAATGGAAAATTAATCTATAATTGGAGAGATGTTTCCGTCCGGTCCAAAAGTGATGTTGTATATTACAGATAAATCGTGTCCTGCTGGATGGAGGATTTTCTTGTGTTCCTGTTATCTGCTCTCCAGTAAGACTGCTTCTTGGACTGAAGGCAGACAAGACTGCAGAAACAGAGGAGCAGATCTGGTTGTCATAGACAGTGCTGAAGAACAGGTACAGTATGTGGGTGTTTTTCCAAGTATTGACCACTGTGCATACTTCTAACACCTTGAAAACTCCTTAAGTTCAACAAGGCCCTGTCTTCACAAACACGGCAATTTTCAAAACTGTGACTTTTTCTATGCAGTTTGGCCATTCGTACACACGGAAACGCAGTATCAGGTCTAGGGCTGTCCCCGACTAAGGATTTACATAGTCAAATCAGAATTGTCAAGTATGATAGTCGAATCATGAACTGTGTTTGGGTGTGGCGATTGCCTTGACAAGCTGCAGAGCTCTCTATTAATTAGTCACTGTAACTTACACTGTAGATTTCCAGCTAAACTCTTATGGAGTCTTATGGTTGACTCTTTTCTCTCTGCTCGTCCTATATTATGTAGCTGCAGTCCTGGAGGCTGCAGTTTCAGGACCCCCTGAGATTCTTATCAAATATGAATTCTTGTAAACTGCACGTAAAATTTTGTTCATAAATAAACATTGGCTTTTTTGTATTGAAACAGAAATTCCTCTCTGACTTAACCACGGTACAAACGAGTTGGATTGGTCTGACTGATAGGGAAATGGAGAGGAGCTGGAAATGGATTGATGGAACTCCACTGACTCTGAGGTTTGGCTTAAATGTGTTTCTACATCTGCAATTCTTGTATGTGAGGTGTGAGCAATATCATAACATTAAACGTACCAGTTTTTAACTTGATGAAGTAGTACAATTTTGATACTTAGGCCTCTATATGATGTATATGAGCAAATTTATTAAATTTATATTTTGTGGTTATGGCTGATACTGGGACAGGATAAACAATGATGATTAACAACTTTAGCAAGTAAGTCACTATTAATTATTCTTAGCATTAGAAATTATTGTGGCACTACCCTATCTCCGCTGCCACACCTCCATTCGTCACCTCAGGTCTGTGGACGCAATAACACTAAAAACCATCAGGACAAAGCGCTGGACCTGGGCTAACAAAGCCTTGTCCGTTGATGCGCACTCCCTCGCCACATCCGACACGCTAACACATTGCCATCTTTCAAACAGGCCCTCAAAACCCACCTTTTCAAGACTGCATTCCCCAGTTAATTCCCTCCCCTCTCTCCCTCCTCTTCTTTTTAACAAATTACTTTGGTAACACTTTCTATGAAGGTCATCACTATAATCCATATATTTATAACAAGATATAATACTTCCATAAGACATTGTTAGGCAACAATATGCAACAGTTGCACACCTCCGACTGTCCGGGCACTGCACTTTCTCAGTACCGAAAGTTTGGCCATTTGTGTTCCGTGAATAAGTTATAATTTAGTATAGATTCTTCTTAGATGCATTGCGATGAGGACGTAGAAGATTCTGAATTGATTAACAAATGTCAAAAATCTATTATAACATACATAATAACATAATGTTCCATTTTATATCACTAATTCTAAATTGTCAATAAAGTCTATTTATAACGAGGCAGAGTTGATGGTTATAATGTGCTATGTAACACGGTCGGAGATTCTTGGCGCACAGTGGTATAAACTGGTATTACTATTAGTTATAAAACATTAAATCACAAGGTCATAATGACTTATGAACTTTGCTATAGCACCTAATGCATGTTTGTAAGTGATTATAACACTCGACACACAGCTTGTATGTCATACGGGCTGCCCAGACGTACAAGCCCGTTCTTGGTAGCAATTATGTGCATCAGTCCCGCTGAGTTTCCTCTTGGCTTGACTCTGACACTTCACTGGCAGTTCCTTGTAGTTACTTATATGATTTGGTAAATTTTATGGATATTCTCTTGTGATGATAGAAGATGTTAAAGTAGATTGAGTCAAGGTGGGGTTGGCTTTCACATTTAGCGCAGACTCCATGGAAGCAGATTCTATCTAGACCACAATTTCATGGTGCATCTGAGAGTGTTTTTTTGATCCACATCAAAAGTTTTACACTTCACCTTTTATACAGAGCTGTCTGTGGAAACAGCCTTTGGGTCCAAATAAAACTAAATGACCCAAGAGTGAAAAGGCCCTAAATCAATTTTAATGAAGAACTGTTTTGATCATGTGTGCAATGTTGAAGCATTTTGTATTTGCTACACTTCTGATTTATATCTCATGATTGTCTTGTTCACTGACCTGTTAGTTATTGGATGGCAGCGCAGCCTGATAATGGTAATGGAGATCCAGAGTGGGGTGAGGAGGACTGTGCCCAACTCAAACCTGGAGAAAACTGGAAAAACAACTGGAACGATCTGTCATGTTCTACTTCTCTGCGATGGATCTGTGAGAAAGAGGCTTAGCATTGGTGTAAAAGCATATGTACATGCTTTTACAAACTAAGCTATGATTTTACAAAAAGCCTTTGGGATTGAGTGTCCTTTCAAGTTTGTGTGTGTAAAAGAGAGAGGAGTGTATTATTATAGTTAATTCTCATCACAGTTCATCATCCTTGAAGAACATATTTCTGTGTTGACTTCTCTGCAGCAGGCTGAGGATCCTCTTGTTCATGTTCAAATTCAAGACTCAAAGTTTCTGCCAGGCATCCAAAAGTGCATTATTTACAGTACCAATATGATCTCCTGCTCTTCTTAGTTGGTGCTTATGATCTTTAATGACGATGACAGACTTTGAAGTTTGCTTCTGCTCTGCACTTTAAAAGATATTCCTGTAACTTGTTTTTACATAAGATGATTGCCCCTTATGGTACAAGAACTTCAGAAACGTATTGTTACAAATTTGGGAGAACTTTTTTCCCCATTTCTTTCTTGTCACATAAACTCACCAACTAGCTGATGTTCCAAACAACAATGAGAGGAAGACAAACAGGTTTATAAAAACATTTAATTAGTGCTTTATCTAAAGATTTCATGATAGGTTGAGATAATTTCTTATGGCATCAGTCTTGTTTAAAAGTTTAGTTTGAAAGCTATACAATGATAGCACATTAAAATAAATCATGCAGCAGATACAAGACAGTCTCTTACAAACATAGGGCAGTGTTCTTAGTTGCATGTAGTTTGCCAATTGTTGTGATGTTCTTTGTGATGGTGAAAGCTGTTAGCAAAACGTCTTTTTTGTTCACATTTTATTGTGTTTTCTATTTATGCTTCTTGATTTGCAGTATGTTTACTTTCTTTATATTTTCTACTTAACTCTGTTTATTTCTATGCAGCAATATACCAAGGCAATTTCCTTATGAAATTCTGGTTCTGTAATCATGTAAAGCTTTTAAAAATTATTCTCAAGTGTCTTTATGTCTCTTCTTTCACCTGTTATCATTGTATCTGCAAGAACACCTCTGACTCTGTCACTCAGACCTGAACCCTGGTCCATTGGTTAAAAAATTATCTCTCTACTACACCCCCATGCTCTGAGTGCAAAGAATCAGTTATCAAGTGCAGAAACCAGTGCTAACAAAATTCCTGTCTTAATCCAGACAAACCCCAGAATGAAATATGACATAGTCCTCGTGACAAATATTCCTAAAACGACTTACAGTATGTTTTTACCACATAGTCTATGTGCCTAACTCTGAAAGTCAACTGACTCACTGAGAGCTTAACATAAAAAACATCAAAGATGAAGAAAAAGAAACATCAGATCCATGGTGGGTCAAAGAGGATTGTGCACACATCATGCCTAAGTAGTCTCAGTGCCTCATTGGAATGACTAGTCATGTAAAACACCTCTGAGATGGATCTGTGAGAAAATAGCTCAACATCGGTGTATGTTTTGAGATCATAACTTTGGTAATGCATTGTGAAAGCATTACCAAAGTTATGATCTCAAAAGCTATGAGTAAGCTATGATAATGCAAGGTGTTAAGAAATGAGGGCTTTTGTATGTAGACATGAGAAGTTATGCAATCATACAGTAAAAATGTATCTTATGTAAATAAAATTCATCGATTCGTCCAACTCATCAAAGCCTCTTGTGATGTAAAATTTAAACTTCATTTGAAAATACAATAAAACAGAAATCTAATCTTTATGTTGCTTGTAGAAGTGCCTTGTTATGTACTTTTATAGTAAATGTATGTGTTATATTATAGAAATAACTGCCTTAATTACATTTTTTTAATATTACTATATGTAATAGGACTGTCCTTCAATCCTATAACAGGATATTTCCAACTTATTGGTTGTTGACTTTTAGTTTTACCTGTGACCCTGTGTTAACATTTAGAAGGAACAGTTAACATTTAGAAGGAACATGGTGAAGCAAGAGAATGTATTAAAAACCAAACAGCTTCTTATTACTAGTTGGCTAATATCTACCTGCTAGGAAATTAGTTTGCTTCCATGTGTCTCTAAATGGTTAAATAGTTCACTGTGTTATAATCACAAAGGTGTAGAAGTTACACTTGAAAACTGACTCACATAAAAAATAATTTTTTAGTTTTACCCCATTTATTTTTTGCCCCACGTGTATGTCATAATAATTGTTTTTCTGCCCTGTGATCTGTCACTGCTGGTGAACCAGATGAAAGCTTGGAGCACAAAGAAGTGTCCTGAACACAGGGTCACAGGTAAACTGTTTAACCATTTAGAGACACATGGAAGCAAACTAATTTCCTAGCAGGTAGATACTAGCAAGTTAGTATAAGAAGCTGTTTGGTTTTTAATACATTCTCCTGCTTCACCATGTTCCTTCTAAATGCTGTAAGCGTCTTCATTTAAAAGGGCAACTTATTCCTCCTCAGCACTGAACACCGGTTTACAAGGTTGTCTCAATTCCATTAAAATAATTTATCAGCCCAGTTCAGGTGCTCTCATTTGTTGAGGAAAATGAATATCTTTGTTCTATATGCATCTCAGTTGTATAATTTAGGCTTCTATCAAACTGTTAACACAACGTAGAAATCTAATATTTCTGCAAGCTGGTTTCTTGTTGATTAGAGTTCTCAGAATGGACAGTATAGGGAAGGGAAAAGTGATGAAATATCTGTTCTATATCTGAATTTCTCAGTTAATGAAGGGAAATATACTGCATTTCCTGTGTGAAACCTATTTTGTAGCTGACAAGCCACTACCAAGAGCAAGTTACTAGAAGCACCTCTGTCATGACTCACAATTTAACACTTCTGTAATGGGCTTGTGAACATAGCTAAATCCAGTGTTTAATACACATAAAGCTTATTCTAACTAATTCTAAAGTGCATGTGTCTGTGTAACGCATATGCACCAAAACAGGTCATCCACACAGTTTTAACAGTCACATGGGCCCGCCTATTCACACGTTACACTGAGACAAAAGGCCTTTCTAAAGACTGTTCTCGGTTCCCAGTCCCTGAAAAATGGACATAACCTCTGCATTCTATAGGCTTCAATAGTTGCTGAGCAAGGGGTTCTCTGAGGGGGGCCACTGACTCATTACGTACTGTCAAATATAAAAGGAAGGGGTTAAACCAGGGAGGAAGGCAGTTCAGGAGCAACAGCACATCTGCATCCAACATGAGCAGCACCAGCATGAACATGAGGGGCAAGGTACTTTTAAAAATCTTTTTGTAATAGGCAGAAATCAATTTTTACAAAATGAGGTCAGCATTTTCACCTTGCTACTTTTATTCTGTAACCACTACAATTCCCTTTTTTCCCAGATCATCTTCTACGAGGACAGGAACTTCCAGGGTCGTTCCTATGAGTGCATGAACGACTGCTCTGACATGACTTCCTACCTGAGCAGGTGCCACTCCTGCAGGGTGGAGGGCGGCTGCTTCATGGTCTACGACCGTCCCAACTACATGGGAAACCAGTGGTTCATGAAGAGGGGCGAGTACGCTGACTACATGAGCATGATGGGATGGAGAGACTGCATCAGGTCTTGCCGTATGATCCCCATGGTAAATAATAATATAATTGTGTTTGTTGGACAGGGTGATCACTAATATCATACAATATTATACTATTCTCTATTATACAAGACCTTTCATGACTCCTCGCTGATGTAAACTCTCAAACTGTTTTTACAGCACAGAGGCCAGTTCAGGATGAAGATCTACGAGAGGGAGAACTTCAGTGGTCAGAGTTACGAGATGATGGACGACTGTGACAACATCATGGACCGTTACCGTATGTCCGACTGCCAGTCCTGCCACGTGATGGACGGCAACTGGCTGATGTACGAGCAGCCCCACTACAGAGGCAGGATGATGTACATGAGACCCGGAGAGTACAGGAGCTTCAGGGACATGGGCATGAGTGGCATGAGGTGGATGAGCATGAGGCGCATCATGGACTCTTGCTATTAAATGCTCACTAAATCTTCACTGAACGTATCAAATGCTACTGAATAAAGCAATTGCTGAACTACTTTGACTTTTGTCGAGCTTATTGCCCAACTGATAATATTATATAAAATAAAGTTGCAAAGAAACTCCTGCACACTGACTAACTTGCAAAAAAAAAAAGCAACGTTTTGGTGCAAGACCTTCATTAGACAAATAGTGTGACATACTGAGAAGCCATCTTTTGTAGAAGGTGACTTGTTTGTCTGCACCAATTACCCACTTACACATGAAACACAACATTAGAAAACATTCATTCACATATCCATTACTATAGATCGACATTGAGCTTAAATGCAACACTCTCTAGAGTAACAATACATACATCGTCCTAGAGAGAGCTCTAATAGATGGATGTAGATGTCCGTATAGTTAATGTAAACCAAAAAATATATAGTCAAATACGTTCATAGACATACATGTTCTCAAATCTTGCTGTTACCATATACATCAAGTGAGTGTGTGTGTGCATGCAGGTAATAGAGAACAGGTGACAGGAACTCTTCCTCTTCACTCTGCCATTCCAAACATGTGCCACTGCCAGTGTGACCTATGTCTTGTGTGTATCAATTTTGAGTGGAAGAATAGCAACTTACCTTTGTATTCTGTATCATTGTTTTCACTACAGAAACTTTAGCGATCCTGTGAAGACCTTGTTTCTTTGGCCTTATCCCTTGAACTTTGTGATTAATAATTAATAGACATTTTTATAAAAATTAGCAGTCAAGTAGGAGTGAGAAGCCCTTTTCTGTTTGAGTACCTTTTACTTCTAGGTTAGAGCTTTGTCTTTTCCTTACATTTTTTTGTGATTGAGTGGAGGTTTTAGGTTGTTGCCTAGAATCTTGTTTGTTTTGGTCACTGCTAAATCTGAGTAAATTGGGGGGGGGGGGGGGGGGTCTGGCCTTGCTTGGGAGTGGTAGGAGTGGGGTGCCACACCTAATGTTGCATCCAGGTTTCCCCTAGATGTCTGACATAACACATAAAATATATAATGGGTCATGAAATTCAATAAATTTGACGTTCCTTAAACCGTAAGTAGCTGTTAGAAAGCAAATGTTCAACCCAAGTCATTTAGAAAAAATCTAAGAATGTGGCTCTACATTTTAGTCCCAAAAAGAAAGTCTAAGGACATGTCACTTGCTTCAGGGACAGCTGACAGCTGATGCATGAAATCACTTTTCACACATTAATAAATCAATTTGCATTTGCATTGTGCCTGTTGCTAATTTCCAACTCAGGTGACCAGTTAGTTCCTTTTTCATGTGGATGGCTGCATGACATCACAGATTCAGGAGGCCAGACTAGAGAAGAGGAGCAACATCAATTTACATTTTTAAAAATGACCTAAAAAAGCAAATTAGATCTCTACAATTTGCTGTTTTTCTCACACGTGTGAAATACAGTATTTGTTCAAATGTCCAATTTGCTGAGGAAGATATTTATTATCACATTCTGTAGATATTTTTTTTTCCTTTCAAGTAGTAGTCAGTGATTCCCTGTTCACCTTTAGAGGATATTAGCAAATTAAATTTTCTTGTCCACAGCATTTTATTGTGTAAAGACAAACCACAAAACCAACAGATCAGCAGAACAAGAGAAGTCATACCCTTGACTAAATCAATTTCAAGCATCTTTACAGACCCTCATGACAATCCTGTATAAAGTATCCGTTCTAGACTCAGATCCAGTACCAGTAGTTCAAACCTACCTACTCTCACCGGTACTGCTCTACAGGAGGAAGAAACCTGTGCTGAAATCATTCCGCACTAGTGCAACAGATTGAAGCCTTCAGCCTTATTAGTGGTCAGTATACAGTAAGAACCAGTCTTCTGTCAATAGTAAATGATTTCACAGGTGGGAAGAATTTAAAGAAATCTGTTCCAAAGAACAAACGTGATGGTATATATCTATTTCTATTAACAATGTTAAATAAATCATATATTTAGTCTAACAGTGAATCATATTTCGGTTGTTGTCTGTTCCAGCTTGTATCAGCCAGCCCTCTAACTATAAAAGCCAACCACACATCTGCAGACGGCCTTCAGGCTGAGAATTGAACCTTCACCTTCAATCCCACCGTACTGAGCAGTGGCTGCCGCGTGTCTGTAAGTATCAGTGATGCTCATTTTACATTAAATTTCATTATATACGGAGAAAAATAAGGAAAATGTAAATCAACATACTGGCATATCTGTCTAATTGTAGCTTTCAAATAAAAACTTTGATATATTTATATAGTTGTTACAATGTAGTAATTAATAAATCAATAAACATATAAAGGATCATGCTGATATTACTCCTAACTGAACAGGCTTTAGCGACTCTTGAGGCAATACTTTCTTAGTAGAATGACATAATTGTTGGTTTTGGTCTTTTCATGTGATTTAGTAAACTGTTGACGTCAATTACCTGTTTATTCTTTTCACATTTAATATAATTTGAGGCACTTATATATATTAAATGAGTTAGTGATTGCTAATAAAATCAATGTTGGTTTCTGAATGCATGTAAAACAATATTTTATTAATTATTTTACCAGGGCTGGTTCATTTCTGTTTCACCAGCCTTCTTGATGGTGGCCTCAATTACTGCAACCTCTACAACCTGCTGGCAGGTGAGTGAACAACCAGGATCCCATCAACCGTGAACATAAAAAGAGAAAATGGCATGAAAAGAAAATACTCAAGTAAAAACAAACAAATAGGCTACCTCTAATTTGTACTTCAGTACAGTAGGCCTACTTAAGTTACTGTCCACTACTGGAAATAACCACATCTTAACACTTCAGAGCTCTGTAGCCAACAGCTGTTGTTCTCCTTGTTGATGTACCGTAGAACAAGCACCAACTGGCAGTGGGTGGAAATGTCAGTTGTCTCATCTGCCTGAATATCAAAATAATCTGCATTTTTTAATTCCTCCAGAATGTAATCTTCAGGAACTGACAGCATGCAGTCCAAAAGTTCGTTTTGCACAGTCTTTGAGGTGTTTTTGGAAAACGGTAGCTGTCTTAAGGTGCTCCTCCAACACACCAGCAAGGCAACAAGATTTACTGAAAACACCAGGGTTGTCAAAGGGTTCACTCTATTGTGGCCGCGCAAGGCCGATGTTAACTCTGCCTAGCATGGCTAGCTTCACCGCATTATCCATATGTGCCCTCGTGTTTCTTAATCTTCTCAGATAAGCGTATCAGGTTGTTTACTCCTGGAACAGTCCATATTGGATCCGTCCCCGCCATTTTAAAAAGCAAGCATGGGAAGCAAAATGAGGTATTTAAATCATTGCATCCAGCTAGCCAAGGCTGAAAGCCTGTGTCTGTCATCTTGTCAACGTCACGTGTCCCTCTCCCACCGACTGACTGTGCTTGGGGCAGATCCTGGAGCACCCCTCAGATTTGAGATTTGACGCTAATTGGCTTAATTTCTGTTGCTATGAGCATATCTTTTGTCAGCTATTGCCTGCGCTGCTGTGCTGCCTGGGCAATCTCTCCAGCGCCCCGGAAGAGATCAGTGGATGAGCAGGAAGCTAATTTCACACCCAAACATAATTATTTAGCAAATATTTTATATATTACAAATTATTGTGGATTCTAAATACGTAAAAAAAGGTAATTACTGTTTATTTAAAAAAATTTTATTTTAAAAAGAAAAATCAAAACACTTTCCACCCATAAACTGTATATAAAAAGTTTCCACCACCAGGGATGGCGACGCCCTAGCGCCCTCTGTTGGTCGGCCGCCAATGCTCGCAATACTTTTCTTCTTCAATTGAATCATAGATGCCATCACTCCACTCATGACTAGTTAACAGGATTATGGGAAAAACTACCAACCTGGTTTACCACAAACTTGTTGGAAGGGTAAAGCATGGGCGGGAACAACCCATTAAAATTTGATGCAGATCCAAAGAAAATTATATATTTCCTTGTGAAGATTTTATCAAATAAAGAATGTTACAACAAACCGTTGTTGTTCATTAAGAAATGTTATCCAAAGTGTTTTGTTAGGGAGAATATTATAGTGAGTGTGACAAAGTGAAATGAAAAGAAAAACTATTTTTCATATGTCACTTTCAAGAATATCCCCTATTCACACTAAATACAAAAAACAAAAGTATCTATAGTAAATTTAAAAAATGCCTCCAGACAACAAATGAAGCTTAGCTAAGTTTAATCAGGAAGATGGATGACAACAATCTACATTCTTATGCTATTATTTACTCACCCTCTCTGTCTATACCCACTTTTAACTCATCAGCTGACTGAGGTTATTCACTTTTCAGTTAAGATTTTGCAACAACCTTTGTGAGCCAGTCGTCTCAGTGTCCGATTGATGCAACCCTCTTCCAGCCCATTCCCCCTCTGGCCTTCATCACAACCAGTCTTCCCAGTTGGGTCTTCAAGTGAGCCAGTCAGATGTCCCACTCCATATCTCAACCATCCAGATCTTCAGCCATTGTTCTTCATCCCTTCATTTCCACCACTGTTGTCTAGCCTCCACTGGCGGGATATTCCTGTTTTACTGTATGGTATTACCCCCTTAACGTAATATATCACAATTGGGTCGAATCGAATCGCCTTCACTTTCTTCAACCTTCCCATTGTGTACTGTGCCAATAGTATTCATTTTATTATTCTTTAAGCATATCTGCAATTGAGTCTCTCCTGATTTAAATGTATGTGAATTAGGAACTATTTAGAGGTAACAATATTTGATAATTAAAAGAAAATGTAAATCAACCTAAACACTTACTGGCCATTCAAACATCTGTATTTTTTCACAGCATTTTTCATCAACAGAACAAATGTTTTTTAGTATGATGCATCACCTACATGTTTCTGCTGTGATGCTGACACAGGCAGGACTTTATCATTGCTGACTGATGAATCACTTCCTTTTATTGGCCACAAACTTTCACTTACCAGCCAAACTTTAAACTGCTTTAGCTTATGTATTCTTCTGTTGCCATGAGTTCTTTGTTCAGTTGAAAATTTGTTTTGATATGTTAAATATGATAAAGAATTATTAAAATTTAGAAAAAAAAACAAAAACACATTATAGTTCCATCAAAATATCTTTTACCAATGCAGAGTAGTTGCATAGGACCAGAAGAAGATAAGATTCTGTCAAAAATGTATAACACAATTCAGGAATCAGTAGAGTAAAATATTCTTGAAAATTACGTTATCATTTTTAGCTCCCGTTTCAAGTGAGACGACAGGCGAGTATTGCACAATCTGTTTTTAGCATCTTTAAGGCAGGATTTCCTGATCAGCTAAAGTAAAAAAAAATAAAAAAAAATGAACCCAATCCTGTAGAGTAACTTGTGCTGCAGAGCCGACCCTCCACAAAGCACTGGGCATTCTTAGGAGCGATGGAGGAAATCTATATAAATGTTGAATATGACAAATCTGTTGACTCAACACCATCACAAAATCAGACAGGTAAGAATTATTTGTCAGACAAAGAGGCTGGCAGACTGAGCTTTATTATTATTATTATTATTATTGTATCCTTGACTGTATTGTCTGTGTTGAGGTCTGAGGAGCTCAGAGAGGAGATTTCATGGAGCTGTTGTTCTCTGTCTGGGGCTGCTAAGTGTCTTCCTGCTGGCTAGGCTCATCGGCCTCGCTGTCCTCTGTGAGTTTGGTTGACATTCAGAAGTTTAAGTTTTTTATTAATGTGTTTATCTGGCTAATTTCCTCTAATCTGTGTCTTCACTTCTTGCTTGTCATAACAGTCCCGTTGAATACTTCAAAAAAGTTCCACATTTTGTGTTGGTTCTTTAAACGGTGTTTCAATACAGGTGCTGATTGTCTTTGTCATGTTTTTTCTACTTTGGATATCTACGTCAATTTCTTACTACAGTAATAACAAAAAAAACATTCTCCTGTGCATTTGTACAGTAGCCTACTTAAAAACTTTAACTTTGCATGTAAAGCAGTACCCTCACAGAAATATGCCACAAGTTGTGCCTTTTTAGAGAACAGGGTCTTAACTAACTTATTGGTTTGAAAAATACAATCAAATAATTATTGTGGCATTTCCTTTAGCTCCATTATGCACATTTTGCTTTTCCTTATCCTATATGCCATTTTTGTTATGATTAAATGTTATTGTACCTGTTCTAAGAAAAGAAAGCAGGGTCAAGGACTACATATTATGTACTGAATTTGGTTGCTTTGGGTCAGACTGCAAGGCTGCTTTCATGATGATGCCTGTCCCTCAGCCAGCCTCAAGAAAGTTTTTTTTGCTCTAAAACATTTGCTCAACATACGCAGAAATCTTTAGATGTTTGCTTCAAAATGAATCTATAAGCTATAATTATGGTTAGTGAAAAATGTCCATTTTGAATGATTAAAATGGTATTTGACGTAATAAACATAAATTTGAAGTATTTTGATTTATTTCAGACCATCACTCAGCCGCAGATTTCTCCACTATCAATACCAACCTGACGGAGCGTCTCCAGGCCAGTAATAACAAGCTTTCCTCCATGTCTGAAGAGAGAGAGCTGCTGAATGCCAGCCTCATTGAAACGACTAAAGAGCTGAACAGGCTTCAGAGTTTGGCCAGACAGAGTGAGTGACGCCTCTTGCTACTGCACACCAGTGTTGGCCAAGTTACTCGGGAACTGTAATAAGTTGCTTGGCGATGGTACAGTGGATAACACACATGCTTTTGGTGTGAGAGACCCGGGTTCATTTCCCACTGTGAGCCATCCACCATTAGACACTTAACCCATCGTTGCTCCAGTGGTGTGCGACCTCTGACATATATAGCAATTGTAAGCGCTTTGGATAAAAGCATCAGATGAATAAATGTAATATTGTTAACTTATTACTCCTTCTAAAAGTAATAGTATTAGATAACTTATTACTTACTGGGTTTAAAAGTAATTACTTACGTTACTCGTTACATTACTATATTACTTTCACTACAAAAAATAAAGCATGTAACTTTTGACTTTTGAGCCAATGTTTTTCTGCACATGCCATAATAAGAGCAGTATCCAATGTTTTTATCTTTCACAATCTGAAGTGGTTTGTAATCACTGTGAAGCGAATGTCAATCTGAATTCAGAGGGAATTCAGTGAAAATAATAGATATTTTCAAGGGCTGTATTTTTGAATTCTTATTTATTTATAATCAATTATTTTGAAATCTGCTGTGACACATTGTTAACGTAATGCCTTAAATAACGCATCACAAAACACAGCGGGGGCTGGCTTGACTTTCGTTTTTGAAGTGAGGCTTGGTTGACCGCAGTCAATGCTTGAGATACCTGCGCAACCTTGACATATTAATCTTAATGCCATCCGCAGTAAGTAACATTAATATTTCCCAGTGTCTCATACCAACAAGGAAATAAAAACATCCATCCATCGTCAACCGCTTATCCTGCGTACAGGGTCGTGGGGGGCTGGAGCCAATCCCAGCTGACATCGGGCGAAAGGCGGGGTACACCCTGGACAGGTCGCCAGTCCATCGCAGGGAAATAAAAACATATTAAATCCAATAGTGCAACATTGTCCTGTAGTGTAGGTGACAGCTAGCCTAACTAGGCTTCCTTAACTTTTCTCATAATTACAAGATCCCAATCTCCAAATTATGACTTTTAAGGTGATGCAATGCGCTACTGTATTTCTGCACCTCCCACGAGCAACATCTTTTTTTCTCCCTCAGCTTTTCAGCACCACTTTTTCGTTTCGTTGATGTTTTTTATCCATGATTTTTTTAAAGCATAAGTTACTGTGGAGTGTGTGACTGATTGACATACCCCACCTCCTCTGGACAAGTAACCACAAACTATTAGCCAGTCGATCAAGGCGCATACCAATCGATTTTTAACTGCAGTTTCTCTATTTTAACCCCTTAACGCCTGAATTTTTTTACAATAAAAAAAAAATAAATTCTTTGTGTTTTCATTCACTTTCAAGCTGATGTTAAATTAAGTGAAGATTGTTAATTTGTCTATAGAACATAGAAAATATATAAATTCAGGTATGTGTAGGTATGATGCAAATCAGCGGCAACAGGCATAAATCAGAAACCAGGGCTTGCAAAAGGTTCCTAGGTACGTATTGAATATGCACCAACAGGCATTGGGGGAATCCATGCGCTATCTTGGCTGGCAGGTATGATGCGAATTCGCGACAATCGGCGTCAAGGGGTTAATACAACCAACACGACGGGTTATAACTGCCACAACCTGCTAGTCACGCTTATTAGCTTCAGCCTATTTACACTGCTGAAATTAGCGGCTAGCAGACCTTTCCTCTACTCAAAGCTTTACAATTTACATATTATTTATGCATAAACCAGGTGTGTTAAGCGTTGCTTTACCTGGTCCGTGCTTGTAAAGTATTCACTGTGTCCCCATCTTCTATCGTAGGTGGATTTAGAATATACTTTCCTCAACGTTAGTTGAAGTAACTGCATCTCCCGACGGAACACCACGGCGTTATGTAACATAACCGGTTGACGTCAACTTGAGTAGGGGAGACTGGGTATGGTTGTAAGACTTTTTGCTACTATAACTCACCAGCGACCCTGTACGCAGGATAAGCGGATGAATGGAACTATAACTCACTGAATTTTGTAGCTGGAGTTCTCAAACTTTTATACAAAGTACCCACATTGTTCACTTCAAATGGCAAAAATTCAATCCTCTACAAGAGTCTCACAGACCTCGTCAAATGCATTGTGTGTATGCAGACTGTCTGATGACTCGCGCGCATGTCCAGTATGTGTATGTAAATTTATCCACAGAATAAACTTACTTAACAGCATTCTTAATAAATACTACATGTACATACTAAAATGTACTTAATTAAAGAACATTTTTGTATATCCTGAGGTCTAACAAAAAAGAAGTGGGTCGGTACTCACCGGTACGCAGTACAAGCACTTCTATATTTACTCTTTGGCATACCGAGACTTTTTCTTGCGCACTGGAATTTCTCAAAAGCTGCCCGTAAGGAGTATGTAAAAGATCGAGTGCCGATACATACACTAACATGTGAACAACATGTGAATGCGAAGTACTATCACAGTGCAGATAAATGAATGCTGGTAACCCTGGAGTGCATGGTGGGCCCAGACAGCAAAGGGCATTCTGTAAAATATTCAAATCATAAAGGTCCCTAGTTGTATGTATAGCACTTTTTAAAGAAGTGTTACAACCCGCCCCAGCCCTGTCAGCCAATGTTTTGCAAGCTGTTTTAGCATAGTGGTTTGAAATTAGAAAGGAAAAAAATGCATCACATGTTGCCTACAAAGTACCCACAAAAATGATACACAGTAGATAAGTCTACAAATCACAAGCATGCATATTGGTTCAAAATCTACTCTGTCGAAAACCAACATTAGCTCACCCCCTATAAACGGAACCGCCATACCTGTCTCCACGCTGGTTAAGAGCCTTGGTGTGATATTGGACAGTACCCTCACTTACTCCAGCCATATCAATAATAACGTATACCGGACCTCCTTTTTCCACATAAAAAACCTCTCCAGACTACGCTCTGCTCTAACTCAACACTCAGCGGAAGTCCTAGTAAATGCCTCGGTCACATCACGCATCGATTACTGCAATGCAATATTAGCAGGCATTCCTTACAAACTTATTCACCGACTGCAACTCATCCAAAATGCTGCGGCAAGGATTATAACATGCCAAGTCCACAGAACATACCACTCCTCTGCTGATCCAACTACACTGGCTTCCTGTATCACAAAGGATTAACTTTAAAGTATTATTACTAACATTAAAAGCCCTCTGCAATCTGTCTGCTACTTATCTTACCGACCTCATTCAGACCTACACTTCATTTCGTTCCCTGCGGTCTTCCACACCAAGTCTTTTGGCACCAACAACCATCAACCTCAGTACAATGGGTGCTAGGGCCTTCTCCTATGCTTCACCCAAAAGTCATCTTTCAAACAACCGCTCACACCTAAGGGAAATTTTAGAGACACCAATAAACCTAGCCTTAGATGGCAGGAGGAAGCTGGGCAAACCGAGGTTTGAACACGCAACCTTCTAGCTGTGAGGCCACAGCACTATCCACCAGACCACCATTGATTCTCCTTTTCGTTCTTCACAGAAATAAATCTATTTTAAGTGCTGAGAATGAATTTAGGAGTCTTGGCCTGAATACCCCCCCCCCCCCCCCCATAAAAAAAGGCATGTCAAGACATTTTTCCGCAAAGCCACAAGTGTGAAGCTCATGGTGGTGTGAGATCAAAAGTCACTGAAGTCATTAGGATTCATTGTCTGGGGATCATCAAAGTCTGTACAAACTTTAATAGTAATTAACTAATAATTGGAGAGATATTTTAGTCTGGACCAAAGTTTATGTTGTGTGTTTACAGATAAATCGTGTCCTGCTGGATGGAGGATGTTCTTGTGTTCCTGTTATCTGCTCTCCAATAAGTCTGGTTTGTGGACAAAAGGCAGACAGGACTGCAGAAACAGAGGAGCAGATCTGGTTGTCATAGACAGTGCTGAAGAACAGGTACAGTGTGTTTTTTTAACTCATTCTATTTATGTTCAACACCGTCACAGTAACCATTCAAACTCCTTAAAGCCCCCCTCCAGCCAGTTTTAACTGCCATTTTTGGTGAACGTTCTTTCTCAAACAGAGAATGGGGGTGTGGTTAATAGTCATACGTAATCAATTACCATGTCAACCAAAAACTGACGGCTGGAGCGCTAACGATTAGTGATGTACGATACCACGTAATTCCTATTCAATCCAATACCAAGTAATACCCAGGCTGGTATTGCCAATAAAAAATACTTTTTACATATTTTATTCTAGTTTAATGTGACCTCCCTCTCCCGTTTCTGTATTTATGAGAGAAATAAGGAGTAGGCTGTGGCCTTACCAATTCAAAATAATAGCTGCATAATGACAAGACAATCAAATTACTGTCATATTCTTTAATTATAATGAAAATCTCCTGCTCAGAACTGCCGCTTCATACATAATCATATTATTTTGACTTAATGTCAGATGTTTAGCGAAGTTTGCAGTGTTGCTAAAGTCTTTGCACACACATCACATACAGCGTCATTATTACCTTCACAGCTAAAATACAGCCAGACCTGTCGGCCATAGTCAGTATTCAATCGCGGGAAATGTAAAGGTCTGCAGCGGCTCACTTCAAAGAAGCTCCGTCACAGAGCCTTAGCTCAAGCATGACTTTGACAGGCGGAAGGAAAAGTAGTTCCTATCAACCGAGTAGCCTATAATTAGACCATCCTGGTAACAGTAAGATACTTATGATAAAACACTCACTCACTCCAAATTACTGAGTTTAGATATCAATCCTTTTATATGAGTATAAACCTTGGAGCAGGAAATGTTGGTATCAGAAATATCGATACTTTAGGATTGATCCGCACATCACTACTAACGATATGCTGTGTTAACATCACTACACTGTAAAGTTCAGTACACTTTACTGTCTGGCAGGAGTAGCTATTACTTACGCATGATAGAAACTAATTCAATTAAATTTTTCAATTAAATTTTATTTATATAGCGCCAAATCACAACAAGTTATCTCACAGCGCTTTTCATAAAAGAGCAGGTCTAGACCGTACTCTAGACCATACTCAAGAAAGGAACAGAGAGAGAGAGCAGGAGAGGAACAGAGAGAAAAAGAGGGATGGAAGGAGAGAGAGGGGAGGGAGGCAGTCTACACAATATACACACACAGAGGTACAGACAGCAAAGGTGATGTTGCTATAGACTAAATGAAAAATGGTACAGATATTTATAGCAGTGTTAATGATAACAATCGTAATGTTAATGATTATAATAACAATAATAACAATAGGACTAGTAACAATAGTTGTTGTATGTAATGTGCGAGTATCAGCTGTTATCAATCATACAGTCGATGGTCCTATCACACACTGCACACGATAACTCCCACTGGTAACTGTATACCCCATACAGTTACAATACATTACAATACAACCGTATACTTGATCTTCTACATGTAAAGCTGACTTTTTATGAACTTTACTAAGAGAATAAATAGTGAAGTGGAGAGATTTAAACGGAATCTGAGTTATTTCTGTTTATGTAGGCTTTAAGAAACACAACATTGTATGTACATCACCACTACTTATAACACACTGACAATACTATTTTCATCAGCTTTAGCTTTAGGTATTGTGTCCCTGTTACCAAGCATACCATACAGTTTACAGGCAGGTTGCTGGGCCTAAAGCAGGCACATTATGAAGTCCTTTGCTTTATGTGTTGTGTCCTGAAGAATGGGGTACACATTTTATACATCCTCATTATGTTGACAATAAAATTATTCACACTTTATGCGGTTGCAATCATACTGAACAGATGCATAGTGCATTAATGGTTAAACATGTTTTATATAAAATTCTCAAGATTTTATTAATAATAAATATTTTAAATAACATTTACTGGCTCTACACAAAAATACACACAAACCATTCTTTTAACTGAGTACAGTGACAAAACAAAATACTTTATTGCAATGTTAACAACAAAAAAGTCACACCCCAAGCGTTGGCTGACACATTTGTTTACCAGATTTCATCTAAATCTCTCTTTTAGAGATATTTTTTAGATATCTTACAAATAGACAAATTTGACTGAGTATATCTTTGGCCGAGGGTAATATTAATCGTAGGACTGATCTGGCTTTGAGTTCATTAATAAAGATCTTAACCTGAAAATCGCGAACCAAGACTTCTGTGCTGGTTTCACATTTATGTCCTGTATTAAACCGTTAACCAACAAAGGCCGACTGCCTCATCCATCCATGGGGATCTTTTGGCCAATCTGCGAAGTGGGGCAGGTGCAGTTGACTCCATGAGGGCTGATGCGTATGCTGGGGAAAGGAAAAACATGGTTGTAAAATATAACACACCATCACAGCAACCAATCAGCTTCCATCACGGTTGAATTGCAGAACTACTGAGAGAAACCTGTGGAAAAGGTAAATCATGCAGTTCACAAGTTGTACATGTGTGAAAAAACACATAAGCACAGAATATCCATGTACATTAGATGCTAGTTTCTGTTAATAAGGTAAATCAAGTTAAAACTGTTGCAGTCCTGTAAAACAGCCCTGCAATAAATTATATCTTCATGAAGCTAGTAATATTTTTTATAATTTTTAAAATGTCTTGTTCATGTGTTTTTACTCTTAATCTCCAAAATGGCTGTTTCAAAACAAATTTTAGTATGATGCTTTACATACATACAGATGTTTAATGTAGTGAACAACGGTGTGGATTTGCGCATTTTACATTGAATAAATTTGGAGCTACCCTAAATTCCTTTCTCCTCCCCAGAGAAGAAGGGGAGGGGTCAAAGTTGCTGTCTCTAAGTGCTATCCCGACCATAAAACTGGCACCTTTTTGATTCCGAAGCTGATAACGCGGGGCCTGACTGTTAAACTGACAAAGGGACACGAACCAGCCATTGGCATTTCCCTAAACAGCCTATCAAAACTGGCCCCCCCACACACGTTTCCGTGGCAACTGACCTTACTTTTTGTTTTTATTACCATCGTTACCGTTACCTGAATACGTTTGCCTCTATTTGAGTAGTTATGTTAACTGTTGTTGCTATCTGTTGTTGATATTAGTGCTGAAAAGAAGTTACTTGTGCAATGTTTTTATTTTCAGCAAGACACTCCTTCATCTGATGTAATCAATGCTTGTTCATAATACTTTCCTACAAAGTTCCTTTAGAAATGATGACAAAGAAATGTTTTACTATACTCTTAATCGCCAGCTTGAATTTAAGGATGAATCAAAAATATTCCCAGTTCCTAAGGAGAGACGATCTTTGATTTAATCCAAGCTTTCCTCATGTAACCTGAGCTCCCCCAAGTGGACGAAATAAGTATTACATGTCCTCGTCAGAAATGCCGTTAAATGTATAAATATCCTGACCAATAATGTGACAATTGTTTCCTGTTACCAAATGCCTAGAACAGTACAACCGTTCGACCATTGAGGTTCGATTGTGGAAAATATTTGATTATAATACGTGCAAATAGATTTCTTTTCTTTAGACATTAAGATTAGAAAGGCAGTCCCTTGGGAAACCTGAGACGCCCCCTGGGGAACCACGCCCCAGGCAACAAAAGAGCGACACGCGACCTCTCGCTCTCTTCTCTTCGCTGTTGGCTCTCTTCCACTCTGCTCGGCCCTCTGGACGCTTCGGCACGCGCGTGGCATGCCTCGCCAGGCAACGCCCAGACTCGGCCAGCGAGACAGGCCCTTTTGTTCGCCTGAAGCTACACACCTGAAGTGCCGCGACATCGATCTGCCTTTAGTTTGTTTTATTTTCTTTATTTCTTTTGTTTGTTAAAGTTATCAGTCCGTTAAGTTACACTGGACTAATTCAGGAACGACCAAGTTCCATTTTAAGCCTTTTTCGTCGAGCCAACTTCACCGAGGTCAGACCAAGCCACGTGGTCTCGCCAGCTACAACGAAGGAAACCTGAAAACAGCCGAATTGCCAGATGGAGGAGGCGTTTTCAATCAGACACGGAGAACCCCGGAGAATCCCTAGCAAAAAGCCAGGATCGGGCAGCTAGCGTGGGACCCGTGCAACAGGCCAAAAGCAAGCTGTCGACAAGCAGCAAGACTTAACACACGTTCTGTGATCAGATGCCCATTTTAACTCTTAAAATCATAGCATTAGTTCACTTTCATTAGCTCTTCTATGCCGTATGAGTCAAATGCTTCCCACAACCGAACCTCCAGGCTCATTGTTCAGCAAATGTTTATGTTCCCTGTATCCAACCATCTTTTTATCACAGTAGTTAGAGAATAAATTCACTGTAATATAAGAGCTGCTTGTGTTGCCTATTTCTAGTTCCTGCCAAGAGAATTGACCCTTTAGATATGAGACTGACTGACTGATTTAAGATAATTGAGCGATTATTAACTAACTGATCACTAGTAATAATTGTATAATTATTCAAAACTACCTAGAGGTCCGGAGACTCTAGGATTATAACAACTCCGGTGGTGCCCTGAAACGAGGAAAATTTTGATTTTATGAATCTTCAATTATGAATTCATAATTGGGTATCAATTCTCATAAATTTATTAAAATGCATAACTAAATATTTTTAGGTCTGCTACATTAATAATGGCTGGCCTCCACAGATTCAGGTCCTTCCTTTCTGTAAAGAAGAAAATGTAATTATAACAAAAGCCAAACTAAGCCAAGTTTATAATGCTCCTTCTCTGCTGATATTCAGTCTGAGATGGGTTAAATAATGTGTATGTATAATGTGTCTTCTGAAGTTTCAGTGCGCTGAGTGCTAAGGACCTCCATATTAATGAGCTGGTAGTTGACAAAAACAAGCAGAGGAGCCACACTTGTGGTGCCAATGCTCATTATTGAGAATTTACCAAACGTTTTAATACAGTATGTAAGTTGCGCCTATACTCATAGAATCCGGGTTACAGTACGTAACCCCCATTCTATTTCGTATAGGCGCAGCCCTCTAAGGCTATCGCTATTTGGTTAGAAGCGAAGCAGGATGAGTCAACGCCTCACTGGCCCATACGGTACCACCAAGCACAACTCACCTGCCCAGAGCCATAATGAGCCACCCAGTCGCCCGCTGACCACGGCGTTGGTCTCGGCGTGCATGCTAGCACGTTGGCGCGGCATGGGAGGCCGAGGGCCGACCCATGCGTAAGTCGGTAAACTGAGTGGGGGGCCCTGCAGCCGTACAGACACAGGCGGGGTCACGACAGCAACCGTATCAGCTGCGCACAAGGCCGGGCCACGTAAGCAGCGGCCGCCCCCACACAACGTCCGGTGGTAGAGGGCGCACCGCACACTCACAAGGAGAATCACTCAGCCAAAACACTCAGGAGGCCAGGAGGCCGCCATGCAGATGTCATCCACTGTCATCCGACCGTGCAACACCACTGAGGAGGAGACGCCTCTTGTGGATTGCGCTCTGATGCCATCCGGGGGAAATTCAACGGCAGACACGTAAGCCTGGGAGATGCCATTGCACAGCCAGTGAGACAGGCGCTGCACCGACAGGGGAAGTCCCTTGGACCACTCCTTGTAGTGCACAAACAGACGCTGCGCACGGCGCCACATAGCAGGACAGCGCTCGCACCGGGCAGAGGAGGTGGGACGTGGCGTCCTCCAACCGACCCATGGGGGGGAGGAAAAGAACCCGAGAGGGTGATGACCCGCGACCGAAAGGAGTGCTTTTAGGCATGAACGTCAGGTTAGGGCGCAGAACAGCCAAGCTGCCGCCGCCCTGAATTTGGAGACACGACGGAGCCACAGAGAGGGCAGCCAAATCGACCGATGTCAGAGCCAGGAGCAAGGACCTTAGCCGAAAGGAATCTCAGGTCCGCCGTCTCCGAAGGCCCAAACGGGGCTTGGGTTAAGGCGTGTAAACAGTGGCAAATCCCACTGTGGGGCAACAGGCCACGTCACCGGCCTGCGCCTCCGCACCCCCCTAAGGAAATGTTTCACCAGGGTGGGAGAACACAGTCCTGTCCCCAAAGCCCTCGTGACAGGATGAAATGGCGGCAGTGTAGGTTTTAACCGTACTGAACACCAGTCCATGAGCAACTGGAAGAACAAAAGCACCGCCGACAGCGGACAGGCGACCGGGTCCGTCCCCTGGTCCAGACACCAGCGTTGGAAAGCTGACCACTTAGAGGAGTATGAGGACTGAGTGGAGGCGGCCCTTGACCCCTGGATGGTGCAAACTACCTCCCGGGAAAGACCTAAGCCCACCTCTCAGCGGCCAGACCCGGAGAGGCTGGCCGAGGAGCGGGTGACTCCTGATCGCACCCCCCGCCTGAGAGAGAGCGCCCCCCCTCCAAGGGAGGTTCCACGGCTGCCCCGCCAGCAACCGCTGGAGACAGGGAAACCAGGACGCGTAGGTGTGCTCCGGGGTCACCAGAGTCACCGGCAAGGTTGAAAACTGCAGGCAATCCAGAAGGCGCGGGACCAGGCGCACCGGCGGAAAAGCATACAGCAGGTACTGCATGAAGACTTCTACTCCCAGCACCGGGATGTCCCACGGGCTCAGTGAAAACCAAACAGCGCACTGAGCGTTCTCCTTGTTGGCAAACAGATCCACCTCTGCCCTGCCGAACCGGAGCCAGATCTGGTCACCAGATTGGGATGGAGGTGCCACTCGACATGATGTCTGCCCCTCTGTTCAGCACGCCAGGGATGTATTCTGCTCTGATGGAGAGCAGGTGAGCGTGCGCCCACAGGAGCAGCCGCCTGGCCAGACCCAACAGCTGCGCCGAGCGCACCCTGCCCTGGCGGTTTATGTAGGCCACCGCGGCCCTGTAGTCGGTGCAGACCAGGGCGTCTGTGAAGAACGAGATATGGGATGTGACCCTGTCCAGGGGAACCGGGGGGTGTTGTGTGTAATGTGTGTAGCGGCGATAAGATAACACCACACGCAGGGTGGCGTGTAGTGTTATCCTGTCTGCATGAAGCATAATGACCGCTTCAAGGGCTCATTTGACACAGCCTGGCTTCTGTGAACCAAGGGGGAACCTCTGGACGCACAGAAGGACCGTGCCATTGATGCCGTGATTATGCACGAGCTTGCAGCTGGCACTGCCGGGGAAACATGCATAATGTCAACAGCATCACACACTGCCTGGCAGATTTCTTCAGCAGAAAAATATCTGTACAAGGTGTGTATTTGTTCTGTCCACACGAAGCGAATGTCCGCTGTCGTGGGCTCATACAGTTTCTGTGGGGAAGGGTGTGTGAAGGGACCTCTGATCGTGAACAGAGTGTACTGCTTGTTGCTGTGAGCTTCAAGCTGCAGATTAGCCACATGGCTACGGCATCTGGCTCACACTGTGTGGGAAGTGTGTGCTTGGTGTGGCTGGTTCAACTGAGACAGGCACAGACAGCATTTGTTCAACAACTTCCACAAAAAGGAGCAACAAGATTTCACACAGCTTTTTTCGACTCATAGCTTACCAGTGGTCCGCTCTGACCACCAGCAGCAATGAAACCGGTTGCTAAATGTCATTAGCCGCAGTTAATGTGGAGCAACGTGGGCACACGGGGTCTCCCTGGTCGGCTGATCCAGGCAGACCGCATGTGAGCATCACATTAGTATCCGTTAGCTCAACGTTAGCTCCCTGTTAGCTTACCTCGCTTGCGGTAACGTAGTAGCATTGAGGCACACTAAATCAAGTAACTAAACTAAAAAATAAAAGGAAGACCCTGTTAGCTAACTTTCTGCAATAACTATGCTAGCTAACTACACCTGGCTAACTACAACTTAGTTAACTTAGCTAACTAAACTAGAAAGACAAACCAACCATCAGACACACAGACACAAAGAGACATAACCTACTGTAAGTACTAAGTAAATTAGCCTACATGATAAATTGGTTAGCTAGCTCACAACAATGTTTATCGGTTTGATGCTCTGACTTAACGAGGCGTGAAGGCGTGACAGTTTTTTAACAAGGCATGACAGTGCGCCTTCGCAAACGTGGAGAATGACGTATGACTTATGGAATTTCTATAGCCATACGTCACCACCCCGTTTTAACAACTAAGCAACTTTTGCAACTTTGAGCACAAAATTAAGCTATTTGGCAAACAATATTTGGCAAATAGCATTGGCATGTGGGTAATCAACATTGTAAGGAAAATATATAATATGAAATATCATTGAAATGTCAAAATATAATATTCTTTGATATACAAATGTGCCATGAAGCCAAAACTCTTTGTATCAGTTAAAAACTGTCCCAGATCTACTGTCAGTCAACAGCAAAATTTCTGGCTCCAGGCATTTTTTATGATTTCATGAACAATTTAATGAAATGCCTTATTTCCTGATTCCTTATAGGTGTAGCCTTAAAATAAGTAGACTGTACATATTGACCATAATAAGGGTGATGTAATAAGTAAATGAGGTCAAATTATATTAAAAAGTCAAAAATGAGAAAGCTCTGACATATGTTCCAGTTATCTGAGATCTCTACCACAAGTTATTGTAAGCATATTTTAAATTGAAATTTTCTGTGTTCCAGAATTAAATTTGCGCAGTTGTTCCATTTGAATGATAAAAAGTGTCGTGTTTTTGGAAAATCTGGCATTTTAGAAGCATTACAACTTGTTGGTTTATGAAGTTGCTGTAAATTTTTCAATGGATTCTTGACAAATTCTTGTAAACTGCACATATAATGTTCATAAATAAACACTGGCTTTTTCTTTTGTATTGAAACAGACATTCCTCTCTGACTTCATCTGGGTAGAAACTTGGATTGGTTTGACTGACGGGGAAGTGGAGGGGAGCTGGAAATGGATTGATGGAACTAAACTGACTCTAAGGTTAGGTTTAAACGTTTACAATTCCTGAATGTTAGGTGTGAGCAATATTATAATATTAAACGTACTACAGATGAAGCAGACTCAATTTAATACTTAGGCCTCTACATGACCTATACAAGCAAACAAGACCATCGGTGAGAAGATCGGCCATTTCTGGATAGTTCTAAATGCCTTCCACCAGGTCTGATTCCTCTGGAAACCAGATTAAATAATTTATGGTACGCAAACCACAAGAGCCTATGTTTACTTTTTCCCCAAATTTTCAGTTAATAGTAGTTATTCCATTAGAAGGAAGCAGGAGGAGATTTATTTTTGACGTTATATTTTGTGCTTACGCCTGATACAGGGACAGGATCAGTGAATAGGCAAAGAGATAGTGATAGAGCACAGGCATAAACACAAGTCGGTCATTGAACAGTCGGACAGAATTGGTTTCAACTGATCCTGAATTCTTCCTAGACAGACGTGTCTATTTGATGTGTCTATTTTAAATGGCTATGTACAGTCCATGGAGGTCACAGTGAACATAAGTGTAATACAGCTGGCTCAAAACTGGAAGCAACTGGACTTGCTACAAAGCTACATCTAGCTGTTTGCTTGTTATAGAGAGCCTAAGTCACTCCCCTTCCGGTGGACCACCTCGGGACCTTATTTCGGAAAAATATTGTACGGTAGTCAATGGCAGGAGACAACAAATATTTTGATCCCGTTTGAATTGTGCCCTGAATTACACATATGATCTTTGTCAATTGAAAACATTTTAAATTAAAGGAGGTCATAGTTTGATGTAAAACGGTTGAGATATAAGACTGTGAAAATACGTAATTACAAAGACCACAAACCCAAAAGTCGCGTATGTGACGTCATAACTTTCTCTGTCAATGACTGACGCTAACGTTACTGAAGCTAACATAAAAACACTTACATGAGAGGATGATGTGATAGAAGAGCCAGGAGTTGTTGGATTAAACACATCAGGTGAGATATATTTCTGCGTGGAACACAGCTACATTATCTAGCTAGTAGCAAGAAAGCAATGAATGTTAGCTAGCTTTACCGTGCATGTTGGTGACGTATACTGTGTGAGACGAGCGATGTAGTTCATTAAGCGGTTTCACACAAAACGGCATGTAACTTTACTGTTTTACAACAAAATGCGACTTTCTTGACTTGCAAAATTATATTTTAAATTGACCAACGTCATATGTGTAATTCAGGATTCAATTCTAACGGGATAAAAAGATAAGTTGTGTCTCGCCATTAACAACCGTACATATTTTTTCCAAAATAAGGTCCCATGAGCCGGAAGCGGAAGTGAATGACTTAGGCTCTCTATTATGAAGACATAACATTACTTTAGCTTTCATAACAAAATTACTAACATTATTACTAAGCAACCAAATCTGTTAGGTGTAGGTTTCCATGTCACCTGGGTGTTTAAACGGAACTTAAAAGAGACCTATTATGCTTTTCCACATTTTATGACTTACCAAAAATGTTGCAATGTTGGATATTCATGTTAAACATGGCCAAAGCTTCAAAAGAAATCCCTGTGAGCAAAAACCTCAGATTTCCTCCTGTTCTGAACGCTCTGTTTTGAACTGCTTTTTCTACCAAGAGCTCCGTTCTAAGTAATACTGAGCCAGAAGGAGCTGGTGTTCCATAATTGGGCATAGCAATGGCCCAGCAACGGCTCAGTCTGCCTGTTCTGCCCAGCAAGAACAAACGCCTGGTAACATGCTTCAGGTCTTTGGCAATCAGAAGACAGTGGGCTTTGAGAGGGGGGGCCTTAAACACACCCCCAGCATGCAGCTTGTATCACACAGAGGCTGAAATGAAGCCCTACATGAAGAGTCCGTATAAGAAAAAAAAAAAAAAAGAACTGTGAAGCCATCCTGCAAACTATGGAGGACCGATCCTGACACAGTCAGAAATAAATACATAAATAAATAAATGCTCAATAAATAAATAAGCATCCAATTAAATACACAAAAAATAAAGTAAATAAATAAATGTAGGTAGTAATTAAATTATACAAGGAGACATAAATGTATATATTTTAATTAGTGTCTTTACTTATTCACCTTTGTAATAATTACCGTATGTATTTATTCTCCGTTATAATCTTCAACTTTATTTATTAACTTTTATTTATTTATTTACTGAAGGAAGCCATCTGACTGTGTGAGGAGCAAGCTCGTTGATGTGTGCAGGCAGAGTAGGCCTAGAGCTCTCCCGTCTGACTGGTCCACCAATAGGAGAGAAGATGACCCCTTGAGACACAGCACCTCCTCATTTGTATAATGAGGCAGAAATGCATACAGAAATGTAAAAAGAAAGGAAGAAATAAATACCAAGGGTGAAAATAAATAAGGTAAAAAAATACAAAGGAAGAATAAAACAGACAAAAATATTAAAACACACACATAAATAAATACATTAAAAAAAATAAGTAATTAATAAATAAAGTTGAAGATTATAACGGATAATAAATAAATAAGGTAATTATTACAAAGGTGAATAAGGCACTAATTAAAATATATACAATTATGTCTCCTTGTATAATTTAATTACTACCTACATTTATTTATTTACTTTATTTTTTGTGTATTTAATTGGATGCTTATTTATTTATTGAGTATTTATTTATTTCTGTATTTATTTCAGAATGTGTCAGGATCGGTCCTCCATAGAAAACAGCTTTAAAAAAATGAAAAATAGTAAATAAAGAAGGGTCCTCTATCCTAAGGCCCAGTTCTGTGAACCAATAAGCTTTGAGCTTGAGTAGTAGGGTTCCATTGTATGAAGGCTACGTAAACTTTAAAGAGGCTCTATGTAGTTTTTCAATAAAATGACATATTAATAAATCACTTTTTAACTGCCTTATTGTCAATGGCCTTTAACCTCAATTAGAAATGAACCCCACGCCTGTTTTCTCTGTTGCTTACAACAGCCACTATTCTGCTTTAATGTGACCCTCAAAATATACAATACTGCAACAAAACCGATCACAACACAGTGGAAGAGCCGTCCACTACAGTAACGTTACTTACTGTGGTCTAACTGTTACAAAGTGTGGCAACAATCTCATTTATAATATTCAGTCTAGCTCACCGTTTGGGTATCATTCAATACATAAGTTAGCTGTGCTCACATTGCTGAGCCTCTGGTGAAAGACAAACAAATGGTAATGTTAGTTACTGAAAAGCAGACAAGGCAGGCAAGTTAAAGCCAATGTATCATGTTGGCTAAATGCAGTAAATGTAGTGTTATCATGTAACGAGCATGGATTACTTCAACCTGATAAAAAATATACAGTAACGTTGCAGAGGGAGTTTACCTGAGTTTCCAGCATGTTGAGCGACGCTGTCTCCTGTTGAGTCTGTATATAACCGCTGCTTTATTTTATGGGAAGATTGTGCCAAAATTGTGGCTTGCTGCGCTGTCTGAGGCAGGAATGTTACAGAGCCAAAAATGGGGTTTGAAATCTGCCTCTGAGCCAGGAACATTGTAGTAGTAACAGAGCAGCTAGAGGAACAAGTCTGTGTGAAAAGCCACTGCCACATTTACTGCGGGATCTCTGTATGAAGCGGTTGTGTTTCGGATTATGCTCGCTCATGAGTTTGAGCCGAGCACGCTTACGAGCACACACCTGGTTGCAATGTAAAAACCACACCGCTAGTGGCAGCTGATAACTACACATTACCCCTTTAACTTATTTCACTATAGCAATCCACCAAAATATGTTTGTGAACTCATTTGAGGAGAGAAATAAGATCTTCACTCATATTAGATCTACAACGCCTAATTTAAAAGTTTGTTTGCACTACTGCACTGCCAGCTGGCACTGCTAGAGTATTAGCTTACTACTATTATTTCCCATAGAGGTTAGTGAGTTAACTAACATTAGCTTGCACAGGGATGGACTGGAATACAGCCCGGGACTTTGAGACGGAGAGGCCTTTTATGCGAGTGCCCTTTTGGGGGTGGGCATAAATATTTTTTGCAGTTATTTTAATACGTATCAGTGTTTTTGTTGTATGTTGAATCAGATTATGCTGAAGACCTTCAAGAAACTTCAGGATGACACCTGCCTCTTCAGTTTGTATAAGCAAAGCAGGTCTGCACTGAACAAGACCAGGTCAGACAAGCCTGAGTTAGTCAGAGGGCTAAAATAATTAAATATTCTCAAAAATGACAATGCATTCCCATAAAATACAGCTGTGTATGTGTGTGCATAAAAATCAAACCCATCATCTTTAGTAAGCCTCTCCCGGCTCAGCTTCCTCTGTGCTGGACCCTCTGCTTTTACTGATTGTACAGTTACATATGTATGAGAAGAAAATCAGTAATAAATATGACTTACAATAATCCATTCTCTAATTCTTAAATCACACTGCCCTGTACCTGTCACTGTTTTGTCTGGTTCCATTTACCTTCTCCTCCTCCTGCTGCTCCTCCTGTCTCTTCTCTCCTCCTCATCAACATGACTGGGGTCATCATCACCCTGTCCCTGTGCATCACCTCCACAGCTTATATATACATAAAGATATACAGAGATTCCTCGGTTAATTTGGCACATTTAGCTGCCTCTTATGCCAACATTTTTTCTTCTTAATTCAATTTTTTACGTCTCTGTTGAGCCTATCACACAACCCAAATGGAAAGTAAACTACTTTGATATGCCCTGTTGAGCCAATCAGATTTCAGCATAAACGAAGATCGGTCCAAGTTGGGATGGGCCGCCGGTACACCCCCTCCATATTTAAAGTATTGGTTTGGCCCATTCTGACACACAGAAGGCCGGCCGGCGCGGTCGTGGATCTTAAAGTAAAACAGAAACTGAAAAATAAAAACTCCTGATCCAAGTTAATCAGTTTTATTACATGTAAATGAATAAAGCTTACAGAGCTCTGGGTCAATCTTCCTTTCTCTGACAAACAACAAGCTGTATCAGTTCATGAAGTCTGACTGGCTATCTCTCCCTGACCCAGTGTTTTACTATACATCGTCACGTCATAAAACAATAAAACAAAAGTGTAGGTCAGTCCAGGGGGCCTTAAAACCTGCATAAGAGGAGCCTGAGGAGGGAGGTCTGAGAAGGGAAGTCTGAGGTGCTCCAGTTGAATCCTTTTTTCAGTCCAACTGGAGCACCTCAGACTTCCTTTTGGTCCAAATAAAACTAATTGACCTAATATTCAATAGAGTGTATTTGCTACACTTCTGATTTGCATCTTATGATTGTCTTGACCTATTAGGTATTGGGAGGCAGCGCAGCCTGATAATGGTGGTGGAGATCCAAAGTGGGGTGAGGAGGACTGTGCCCAAATCAAACCTGGCAAGAAAACTCAAGAAAACTGGAACGATCGGTCATGTTCTACTTTTCTGCGATGGATCTGTGAGAAAGAGGCTTAGCATTGGTGTAAAAGCATATGTACATGCTTTTACAAACTAAGCTATGATTTTACAAAAAGCCTTTGGGATTGAGTGTCCTTTTATGTTTGTGTGTGTAAAAGAGAGAGTAGTGTATTATTACAGTTCATTCTCATCAGAGTTCATCATCCTTGAAGAACATATTTCTATGTAAACTTCTCTGCAGCAGGCTGAGGATCCTCTTGTTCATGTTCAAGTTCAAGACTCAAAGTTTCTGCCAGGCATCCAAAAGTGCATTATTTACAGTATCAATATGATCTCCTGCTCTTCTTAGTTGGTGCTTATGATCTTTAATGACGATGACAGACTTTGAAGTTTGCTTCTGCTCTGCACTTTAAAAGATATTTCTGTAAGATGATCTTATGGTAGAAGAAATTCATAAACGTATTGTTACATTTAAGTGTCCAACAGGTCAAGTTTGGAAGAACTTACATTTCTTTCTTATGTAACCTCACCAACTTGCTGATGTTCCAAAAATTTAATTATTGCTTCATCTAAAGATTTCAGGATAGGATGAGACTATTTCTTATGGCATCAGTCTGGTTTAAAAGCTTAGTTTGAAAGCTATACAATGATAGCATATTAAAATAAATCACACAGCAGATACAGTAGGCTACATCATGTTCAGTGTTGGGGGTAACGCGTTACTGTCATGCTGTGTGCCTGCTGCCTTGTGTAGTTCTCAGTTTTGTTATTTCAGTCTTTTCTCTATCTGTTATGTAGTCTGTTATAGTTTATCTGGTTATTATCCGTCAGCTGATGTCTGTTGCCCCAGTTATCTCTCTGACTGCCTGTGTCTCCTCAGCCTCATGTCCGTCACCTGTGTGTCTCCTCCCAGCTCGTTAGTCCGTGTGTATATATACCTGGTGTTTCTGTTTAGTCTTTGTTGGGTCATTGCAGTGTGTTGTCCTGTTTAGCCTGCTGTTGTGCTTGTCTTTTCACCCTGTTTCTTTGGATTTCTGTTTGGATTACCTTGTTTTTGGACTCTGTTAATCAGCCACTCTGCCAGTAAGTGTGCTCGCCTTTTGTTTGTTGGTTTAATAAACCTTTTGAGCGTTACCGCTTTGTTCTGAGTCCTACACAAACCCTGACAGTTACAAAGTAATGCGTTACTGTAATCGGATTACTTTTGTCTGCAATGCAGTAATGTAAAGCATTACTGTTTAACTTCAGTAATCAAATTACAGTTACTAATTACAAAGTCATCTGATTACTTCCGAACTGGTTGAACTTGAACTATCCGCATGATGGGAGGAGAGGAAACTAAATCAAACGTTCCTTTTTGCGTAACGCTTTTTCTGACTCACTTTTAGCGCCAGTTCATGAGGACGCAGAAATAACAGAGCTGCCAAAGGCGTCTTTCGAGGGGTGGAGGTGTTGCTTCATATTCTTATTGAAAGGACAGGGATACCTTCTAGTGCGGAGAGATAAAGGCTCTATAGCCTGGGCGGTCTTGTCTGACTCCAAGGAGGAACAGGTTGTCTGACAAACGATTTGAGAGACTCCTGCCCATGAGGTATTTGCCAAGCATGTCCAGTAAGCGAGGAAAAATCTACTTTAAAGCCATAGTTCGGTTAGTGAGCTACAGGAAGTTTTTTGTCTGGGTTTGGTCTGTTAAATTCATAGTTCAAAGTACATTTCATATGCCATGCTTTTCCTCTGAAGTCTCAGCATCATCTGATATTTTGATGAGGGCCAGTGTCTTGTTTTTTGTTATTTTCAACAAATATTTGCATTGGTTGGAAGGACAACCTATTTTAAGTTATGTTGCATTGTAATGAAATTCATTATTTAAAAACTAAATGTTTCCAATGAAAAGTCCAATTAAAGTTCTAAGCATTATAGTAATGTACTCTAGGCTTGTCCTTCTCCTCACAACTTTGTTGTAGGCTTTGTAGTATTGAAGAGCATAAAAGAGAGATCATGTGTATGTCCTCATAAGGATATGTGTTGATCTGAGCATATATGAGGTGTAACTTTATATTGTTATTGTGCATCAGCATGTGCAGTAATCCTAACCCCATCTGACAGAACACTTCAGCAGAGGCTTATTTTACCTTCACTCAGGAAATACTAACCAAACCAGATATGCCACAGGGTGACACTATCCTCATTGCAAAAACAAGTGTTTTGCACTTGTATACGGTCGTCCCCTTAAAGGAAGGTTGGGAACCCGAAATTGCTCCTGGTGGCTGTGCCATCAGTGTGAATGAGTTAATTTCTGTTTCTGATGAGCAGTTGGGTCTCTGCTCATAGGGGGGTGAATGTGCTGTAGTGTAAAGCATTTTGAGTGGTCAAAAAGACTAGAAAGGTGCTATACAAATACAGCCCATATTTCATATGTGATAGTTTATTCAGAATTGGGAGCGAAACCTCTGAGAGCCTAAATGTGTACGTCCGCACTGCGCTCCAACAAATAGAAGCGACAGCTGCAGAAGAAGCTCTTGTTAAGTGACCTCTCTTGAAGTGTCCTTCTTTACTGTACCAGAAAATAACTGGTAGGTGGTGCTAAAAATAAAAATAATTAAGATTAACATGACACACAGATGCGACATGGTGCTGCAGTGGTCAGCACTGTCACCTCACAGCAAGAGGTTCTGTGGATCGAGGCCCAGGCCTTTCTTTGTGGAGTTTGCATGTTCTCCCTGTGTCTGTGTGGGTTCTCTTCATGTTCTCCTGCTTCCTGCCACTGTCCCACATGCATAGGTTAATTGGTGACTCTTTGCCCTTAGGTGTGAACGTGTGTGACTTGTTTGTCTCGGAGTTAGCCCTGTGATGAACGGGCAACCTGTCCAAGGTTCACCAATGACAGCTGGGATTGGCTCCAGCCCCTTCGTGATCCTGCACAGAGTTAACAATACTGCTGACTACGGCTGCAATAGTGCTTAAACCAAATAACACAAATCAGAATATGAAAAAACTGTTAGAAATTATAACAATACTTACTGAAGGATTAATTTACTTTGATAGAGAAATTTTGAATTAAATAACATTTTTTATCGCAATGAAAGTAAATATAAAAACAATGAGCCCATTGAGCTACCAGTAAATATTAATATATCTGAATGAAACTTCTCACAGGTACTATGCATCATAAAGGGAACTGAATGAGGGGGTGGGTCCTGGAAAATGTTGCTAAAAAAATTGGCCATTACATTGAGTTGCACCCTCTAATTTTACCAGGAAGGTAAATATTTATTTTCAAGAAGCAAAACAGCAACGCTATGCAAGTAGAGTTCTGAATAAACACCAACACCAAGCAAGCTTTCCTTTTCTACATGTATTTACATCACCTCTACATTAAAAGGGCGGGATACAAGAATTATGAAAAACAAATGATCACTTGTTTTACTCCCAGTTTGCTAAACGCAGCCATGGTAACAGATGTTTTGCCACGCAGAAGGGGAAGTGACATTAACGCAAACCTTCTATAATGGAGATGTTAGTCCAGCTAAGAACAGTTGTTATTGTTACTTAAACAAATACAGGCAATGTGTAATCTCACTTCTGCTAAATGTATCTATAATTAACTGGAATTTTGCCACATACATGAAACATGATAGATCCACAGAACAGAGTGTTGAGCGTGTCGCGAGCAGACACGGAGGATTGCCAAAAGTAAACATAGGCTATTTATTATTGTAACTTAACAATAAAACTAATAATTACCAATGTAGAGTGTGTCAGTCAGTAGCATGAGTGGTGTAAATGTGGATGAGTGACTAGTGTAAAGTTTGAGGGTTGAGGAGTGGTATCAAAACATGGCCTAATATTAAAACAAACAGAAGATGTGCTGCTACTGCTGGCAGGAGACCAGATCAGGGCCCCGTTTTAGAAAGCGTGATTAGTGAAAATTCTGAGTATGTTGAGCCTGAGATGAGGGAAACTCTGAGTTTTCCGTTTCAGAGAGCGAGATCAGATAATCCCTAGATCAGTAACTCTGGCAACTGATGCCTGATAAGTTGGAAAACCGTGAGTTTCTCTCTAACTCCTCCTCCTCCCGCAGAGGCGGCTGTCTGACAAACACAGTTTCATTTCCTCATTCATTCGATATCAAAGCGCATATCTGAACGCATTTACATCTTTAAAAACTTCAAAATCCCAGTTAGATAGGCTATTAGTTTTTCATCCAAACATGAGCTTGAACATGACCTCTTTATGATCAATCTGTCGTCGATGTAAGGACAGATCTCTGCACATTGTGGATTTATCCTCAGCGCAGAATGAAATCAATGTCCGTCTTTAGGCTATAACGCTGTGACTCTGTGATAATGTTAACACATTGATCCTTCTTCCACTCCTGCGTTTTAGAGCCAATCATGGTCCGCGTTGGTACGGATTTATATTTCTAGCTCCACCCGATTAAAATGGAAGCTCTGTCTTTATTTACCCGTTGCCATGGTGAATCGTAGTATCGGAGCTCCATTGATGATGGCTTTTTTTTTTTTATCCCCACGCATGGGCTTCCATCAGGCTCAACATACTCAGAGTTGATTGAACTTATTCTGATCAGCTGTTCTGAAACCAAAAATTTCCCACACTTAAAAGTTTCCCACCTCAGGCTGAATCAACTCAGAGCTCAGGGATAAACTCAGTTTGTTAAGCCTGCTTTCTGAAACAGGGCCCTGGACCATGACAGGTAACGGTTATCAACAGTACCTGCTGGTTTGTGGATGAACTTTGTCAACACCTCACTTTTGTCAAATCTCAAATGTGCCATGATGAAACCCTGTTATGTAATGCTAGTTTCCTACCTTAATTTGCCCTCAACCATCTTGCCCCTCTCCTTCCCACTATGTGTGGGAGAAACAAGTCAAGGAGAGATGACAAAGAGACTCACCCATGTTTTCTTATTATATTTGCTGTACTTGCAGCACCATTAAGCCATGATGTTAAATAATTATGTGCATGTATAAATTGGAAACCACCTTCATACTGAAGTTTTATCTTCGGCACTTAACTCAAGTTTCATTGTTTCTTACAGAACCAACTTGTCATTCAGGATGGAGGATGGATTGAAGAAGCAAAATTCCTCTGCACAAGTGTGTAACATTTCATACAATTCTACCAACAGGTACAGGACTACAGTAATATTAAACCAAAATTCTTTTGTCTGTAAAAAAATAAAAATAAGCCAGCTTATTTATTTCATAATATTATGGCTGATTAGTGTTCCCATAGTGGGTTAGTGAGTTAACTAATGTTTACTGCATACAGCCTGTTACATTACGTTTATTAATTTAGCTGACCCTTTTATCCAAAACAACTTACAATCGCTATATATTTCAGAGGTCGCGCCTCTGGAGCTACTAGGGGTTAAATGTCTTGCTCAGGGACACATTGGAATCTCACAGTGGATTTGAACTCTGGTCTCTCACACCAAAGGCATGCGTCTTATCCACTGCCCCATCACCATCACTGTTGTAGCTCATAAGCCGCCAGTGTAGTTTTTAACAAATACTGTTCTAATAAACTTACAACATACAACCATATTGTTTTCTGTCTCATTTTTCTGATGGTTGGACCAGATTTTTGATATTCCTGATTTTTAAATGTAAATGCTCCGTACTTGTATAGCGCCTTTCTAGTCTTTTCGACCACTCAAAGCGCTTTTACACTACATCTGCATGTCTGGTTTAATTCACACACTGAGCGTAAGTGCTCAAACAGAAACTAAGATTCACACACATTCATACACTGGCGGAACAGCCACCAGGGGCCCCTTTACCAGACACTGCGGCTTTTGTCTACAGGGGCGCCAGGATCAACACAAAATTAAAGTTCCTTGTAGTTGCTCATATGATTTGGCACATTTTATGGAAATTCTCTTGTGATGACAGAAGACGTTAAAGTAGATTGAGTCAAGGTGGGGTTGGCTTTTACATTTAGTGCAGACTCCATGGAAGCAGATTCCAGAATCAATAAATCAGTTTGAATGAGTGTTTTGATCATGTTTGCAATGTCGAAGCATTTTGAATTTGCTACACCTCTGATTTGCCAACAAGTTGAAATTCAAGAATAAAGTCTCTGCCAGGCAGAGTATACAGTATCTCCTGTTCTGCTTAGTTGGTTCTCACGATCTTTAATGATTTTGACTGACTGAAAGAGTACAACAGGCCAATTTTGGAAGAAATCTTTCCCATTTCTTGTCATATAAACTCACCAACTTGCTGATGTTCCAATCAACAACAAGAGGGAGACGGACAGAATCAAAAATAACATTTAATTAGTGCTTCATCTAAAGATTTTTGGATAGATTGAGACCATTTCTTATGGCATCAGTCTGGTTTAAAGGTTTAGTTTTAAAGCTAAACAGTGATAGCACATTAAAATAAATCAGGCAACACACACAGTACATTATGGTTTTGGTTGCGTTATTTGTTCTGTAAACTTCATGACAGTCAGTCAAACATCATAATTAAGATTTTGCCTAATTAGATATCAAACTATAGTCATTGTGTATTAAACATATCAAGTGACACATAGTGACACATTCATCTGACAGAACACTTCAGCAGAGGCGTTTTTACCCTCTCTCAGGAAATACTAACCAAACCAGATATGCCACAGCATGACACTGTCCTCATCACAAAAGAAAGTGGTTTGTACTTGTATAGCGCCTTTCTGACCACTCAAAGTGCTTTTACACTACATCACCTTCTAAATGAATTCAGAGGCAGAAACACATAAGAGCAATTTAGGGTTCAATATCTTTCCCAAGGATACATCATGCAGACTGGGCTGCGGATCAAACCACCATCCTTCCCATAAGTGGACAACCGCTTTACCCTTTGAGCCACATCTGCCACTTACCCAGAAACTGGCTATTTGTTCTGAAATACCAACAACAACTTACATTATGTTTATACCACATGTAGGCTGTCCTTTTGTTGCCTTCCAAATTGTGACTGTTGTCGGTCAGTAGAAAAGGTGCTGTAGTCCCATACCCCCTTGGTTACAAGCAGTGGTGGGAATGAGGGGCACACAGGAACGCTGTTCTGGGAATAAAAGTCTAGAGGGAACAGCACTCACATTTTGAAAATCTATTCAATGTTTTTTTTTAGACTGAAATTGCTTAAAGCTGTTATACAGTGTTTCTAAAGCATGTTCATGAAAGAAACAGAATTGTCAGACCTTCTCCTGCTGAAATCTACACCATTAGACTATGGGAAAAGACACTCAATATCCTTCATGACTTCTCTCTCCCTGCTAACCATCTTTTAACTTTATCCCTTCTTTTAAAAAACTGAAAAGCATTAGAACCAGTGCAGCCAGGTTCTGCAACAGCACCTACCCAGAAGCTGTTCCAGCCCTTAACTCCTAAATCATCAATGTGCTGTTATAATTCATGTCTGTAAGACCTTTTAAGGGCATGTACTCAATACTGATAGCATCTACAGGGCATTAGAATTATTACTTAAGTTGTATTTATGTTCTAAGGTGAGCCTTGTATTTGGGGTTTGTGTGTGATAATAATGTTGCTTTAAGGGAGTAGCGGGAGTTTGTCATACAAGTTACTTTTAACAGCTCTGAAACTTGTGACTTCCTGAAAAGGTAAAGCATTGAGAAATTGAAACCAGAAAGACTGACATCATTTTCATGTGCTGCAGTCTGCACTGCAGAGCGGACCCTTTAGGAAACAGTTGGCCACCTTATGAGCGATGGACGAAATCTACGCCAATGTTGAACATGACAAACCTGTTGCCCCAAGACCTTCACCAAATCGGAAAGGTAAGAATGTCCAGTCAGACAGAGAGGGTGAAAGACTGAGCTTGCACAGATTTATATCATCATCTCTTGTATCATTGACTGTATTCACTGGTCTTCTCCGTGTTCAGGTCCCAGTAGCTCAGAGAGAAGATTTCATGGAGCTGTTGTTCTCTGTCTGGGGCTGCTGAGTGTTTTCCAGCTGGCTGGGCTCATCGGCCTCGCTGTCCACTGTGAGTTTGAACCACTTTCAGTAACCAGAGTAACAATTTTAGGACCATTATTCTGCTCATGTTTTATTAAGATGTCTATTTTATTTTTCCGTCCTGTCTTTATGCTCTTATTTTCTCCTTCATGAATTCTTAATTTCTGACTTTCTGATTTTCCTGTGTTTGTTTGAAACTCAAAGCCGCTTTTCACAAAGGTTCAACAGATACAAAACACAACATTTTCATATTTTGTGAATATATTATTTAACCAAGAAGGTAAAAATGTATTGTCATGCAGCAAATCTGTGTAAGTAGAGCTTTAAATAAACACCAGCACCAAGCAAGCTTTCCTTCTGGTGCCATATTTCAACAATGTTTGGTTAGTGCTGCCGGTTGTCAACATTTATATAATATTAGCGTATTTTCTGGGAAAACATAAGGTCCTACTTAAAAAAATGTACTGTCATTGGGCAGAATTCAGAAACATTTTGACTTATGTAAATATAGTAACTGTTTCTGTGTGGCCTGGGTGCAAAAGGTATTTTGTGTTAAGGAAATGTCTCTTCTGTATTTAAAGTTTGTATTGACAACAAGGCAATACATTATTCCCATCTACATGTATTTACATTGTCACTGCATTAAAAGACAAGGCATACGATATTTGAACTTATTCTATTGTTTATTTAACCAGGCAAGTTAGTTAAGAACAAATTCCCATTTACAACCACGGCAGCAGGTATGAAATACTACATGTACTGTATAATGAGGTATCTATGAAGATTCTCAGTCACCCAGGTCATAGTTATCGAACGAAGGTTAAAATGAAGGGCAACTGGACTTGGTTGAAGCTACTGGAAGACGTTTCGTCCCTTATCCAAAGGACTTCTTCAGTTCTGACTGACTGGCAGGGAAACTCAGCTATTTAACCTCAGTGGGGTCGTTATCTCGGGTCATCGATACCGCTGGTTCGTTAGTGTTCCTTGTTGCTGTGACGACAGTCGTTACAGTCGTTGAGACTACCTGTGGCCAAGACTGAACGACCATCGTTGGTATCTTCACCTGAGGCCAATAGGTTACGTTTGTTGAGTTTCCTGGGAAGTGATGAAAGGACAGCATTGTAAGTGGGGGATAAGTGGTGGCGTAGACCCCCTCCCCTGTTCAATGACGGCTTCTCAACCCTGGTGTAGATGGCTTCCTTGACACCTCTTTCAAACCATCCATCTTCTCTGTCTAAAATGTGCACCTGGTGGTCCTCAAACGAGTGTCCTCTGTCCTTCAGATGTAAGTAGACAGCAGAGTCTTGACCTGAGGAGTTGGCCCTTCTGTGTTGAGCCAAGCGTTTGTGTAGTGGTTGTTTAGTCTCCCCAATATACAGGTCTGTGCATTCCTCACTGCATTGGACCGCATACACTAGATTGCTTTTCTTGTGTTTGGGTGTGCGGTCTTTGGGGTGTACCAGTATCTGTCTTAGTGTGTTCTTGGGTTTAAAAAACACAGGGATGTTATGTTTGTTAAAAATCCTCCTGAGTTTCTCTGATACTCCAGACACATATGGAATCACAATGTTGTTGCGTTTGACCTTCTTTTCCTCCTCCCCTGTAGTTTTGTTCTTCTTGGATTTTGTGGCTGTCTTCACAAAGGTCCATTTAGGGTATCCACAGGCTGTAAGTGCCCCCTTCAGGTGGTCCTGTTCCTTCTCTCTGGCTTGGGCGCTTGTTGGTATGTTTTCTGCTCTGTGGTGCAGTGTTCTCATGACCCCTAGCTTGTGCTCCAGTGGGTGGTGTGAATCGAAGAGTAGGTATTGGTCTGTGTGTGGGTTTTCTGTAAACACCAATCTGCAGGCTCCTGTCCTCTTCAATGTGTACAGCGCAGTCCAGGAAGGCCAAACTGTTGTTGTGAACATCTTCTCGTGTGAACCTGATGTTACTGTCCACAGAGTTGATGTGTTCTGTGAAGGCTTGCACTTCCTGGCTTTTGATTTTGACCCAGGTGTCGTCCACATATCTGTACCAGTGGCTCGGTGCTATTCCTCTGAAGGAGTTGAGGGCTTTATTCTCCACTTCTTCCATGTAGATGTTGGCCACAATCGGGGATACCGGTGAGCCCATGGCACAGCCATGCTTCTGTCTGTAGAATCCACCGTTGTACTGGAAATAGGTGGTGTTTAGACAGAGGTCGAATAATTTACAGATCTGGTCAGGGCTGAGTCTGGTTCTGTTGTCCAGGGTGTTGTCTTGTGTTAGCCGTTTCCTAACGGTTTCTACTGCCTCTATGGTGGGGATGCAGGTGAACACAGAAGTCACGTCATAGGATACCATGGTTTCATCTGGATCCAGTTTTAGTCCTCGAATTCTATGGCCTTTTTCTTGTATCCGCTGGTTGGGTCTCGTCTCAGTGTCTCATACGTGTTTGTGTCCATTAGTAGTGTGTTGACTTTGTTCTGGTAGTCAGCTGTGTTAAGTACTACCGTGCATCTTCCTTTGTCCGCAGGTAGGATAGTGATGTTTTGATCCTTGCTCAGGGATGTCACAGCCTTCCTTTCTTGGATGGTGAGGTTGGAAGGGGGGGCTTCGCATTAGAAAGGGCTGCAGATACCTTTAGTCTGAGCAAAGGCCAAAGGATTAAACTTTGCCATTACACCACAGCAACTACCGATAGTAGACCTCATCACAGCCACAGAATCAGCCATTAGGAAAAACAAATTAACAGAAACAGAAGCGGAACAGCTCAGACTAAAGGTATCTGCAGCCCTTTCTAATGCGAAGGCCCCCCCTTCCAACCTCACCATCCAAGAAAGGAAGGCTGTGACATCCCTGAGCAAGGATCAAAACATCACTATCCTACCTGCGGACAAAGGAAGATGCACGGTAGTACTTAACACAGCTGACTACCAGAACAAAGTCAACACACTACTAATGGACACAAACACGTATGAGACACTGAGACGAGACCCAACCAGCAGATACAAGAAAAAGGCCATAGAATGTCTACAACAGTTACAGAAGGACAACACCATCACCCGTGAACAATATTACCGTTTGTATCCTGGAGAAGCCATTCCATGCATTTATGGACTACCCAAGATACACAAAGAAGGAGCCCCACTCAGGCCGATTATCAGCAGCATTAACTCGGTCACCTACAACATTGCCAAACACATTTCCACCATCTTAGCTCCATTGGTGGGAAACACGCCTCACCACATCCAAAACTCTATTGACTTTGTAAACAAAGTTCGAGGACTAAAACTGGATCCAGATGAAACCATGGTATCCTATGACGTGACTTCTTTGTTCACCTGCATCCCCACCATAGAGGCAGTAGAAACCGTTAGGAAACGGCTAACACAAGACAACACCCTGGACAACAGAACCAGACTCAGCCCTGACCAGATCTGTAAATTACTCGACCTCTGTCTAAACACCACCTATTTCCAGTACAACGGTGGATTCTACAGACAGAAGCATGGCTGTGCCATGGGCTCACCGGTATCCCCGATTGTGGCCAACATCTACATGGAAGAAGTGGAGAATAAAGCCCTCAACTCCTTCAGAGGAATAGCACCGAGCCACTGGTACAGATATGTGGACGACACCTGGGTCAAAATCAAAAGCCAGGAAGTGCAAGCCTTCACAGAACACATCAACTCTGTGGACAGTAACATCAGGTTCACACGAGAAGATGTTCACAACAACAGTTTGGCCTTCCTGGACTGCGCTGTACACATTGAAGAGGACAGGAGCCTGCAGATTGGTGTTTACAGAAAACCCACACACACAGACCAATACCTACTCTTCGATTCACACCACCCACTGGAGCACAAGCTAGGGGTCATGAGAACACTGCACCACAGAGCAGAAAACATACCAACAAGCGCCCAAGCCAGAGAGAAGGAACAGGACCACCTGAAGGGGGCACTTACAGCCTGTGGATACCCTAAATGGACCTTTGTGAAGACAGCCACAAAATCCAAGAAGAACAAAACTACAGGGGAGGAGGAAAAGAAGGTCAAACGCAACAACATTGTGATTCCATATGTGTCTGGAGTATCAGAGAAACTCAGGAGGATTTTTAACAAACATAACATCCCTGTGTTTTTTAAACCCAAGAACACACTAAGACAGTATCTTCAACCAAGTCCAGTTGCCCTTCATTTTAACCCTCGTTGGACACTAAGACAGATGCTGGTACACCCCAAAGACCGCACACCCAAACACAAGAAAAGCAATCTAGTGTATGCGGTCCAATGCAGTGAGGAATGCACAGACCTGTATATTGGCGAGACTAAACAACCACTACACAAACGCATGGCTCAACACAGAAGGGCCAACTCCTCAGGTCAAGACTCTGCTGTCTACTTACATCTGAAGGACAGAGGACACTCGTTTGAGGACCACCAGGTGCACATTTTAGACAGAGAAGATGGATGGTTTGAAAGAGGTGTCAAGGAAGCCATCTACACCAGGGTTGAGAAGCCGTCATTGAACAGGGGAGGGGGTCTACGCCACCACTTATCCCCCACTTACAATGCTGTCCTTTCATCACTTCCCAGGAAACTCAACAAACGTAACCTATTGGCCTCAGGTGAAGATACCAACGATGGTCGTTCAGTCTTGGCCTCAGGTGAAGATACCAACGATGGTCGTTCAGTCTTGGCCACAGGTAGTCTCAACGACTGTAACGACTGTCGTCACAGCAACAAGGAACACTAACGAACCAGCGGTATCGATGACCCGAGATAACGACCCCACTGAGGTTAAATAGCTGAGTTTCCCTGCCAGTCAGTCAGAACTGAAGAAGTCCTTTGGATAAGGGACGAAACGTCTTCCAGTAGCTTCAACCAAGTCCAGTTGCCCTTCATTTTAACCTTCGTTGTATAATGAGGTAGTAACATAGAAAAGTCCAGTTAAGAATACAATTGTTATTGTTAATAAAACAAATACAAATATAGAGTAGGAGATTCGCAGTGATGTAGTAGTAAATTCAAACAGGCACTTTAGTCATTTTAAAATAATCCAAAACAAAAAACAGATTTCTACCAAACCACCTTCTAGTCTACCACGCATGAACCTCTTAGGATGCTGTTTCTAATTATTTGGTACCTGATTCTGAGATCTTTTACTGAACTTAAAAAAATGTCTCTTGGTTTATTTTATGACATTTAGCTGCAGATCTCTCAGCCATCAAAGCCAACCTGACTGAGCGTCTCCAGGCCAGCGTCAACATGTCATCTAGTCTGACTCAAGAGAGAGATCTGCTGAACATCAGCCTTGTTGAAATGACTAGAGACTTGAACAAGCTTCAGAGTGAGTCCATGCATGTGGTATTTAGATTTACTTGGTGTGTATCTTCAAACATTTACTCAGAAATTCAAATAGTACAAAACCCTGCACTGTGATATGATCTTTTGAATTAGCTAAGTAGGTAAAACATTTTATAAATCAAAAATAAATGTATGATAACAATGCATGACTATGGACTGCTGGCCAAAGTGTGTCCGCTATCGTTCACTGAAATAACTGAAGAGCTGAACAGCATGAGGAAGTGTGGCAACTGCAGACAATATGCATGGCAATGTGTAATCTCAGTTCTGTTATATGTATCTATAATTAACAGGTATTTTGCAAAATCTGTGAAACATGATAGATCCTAGTGACAGCAAACATTTTGACTGCAGGTTAAGTACAGATATAATTAATGATACATTGGTGCAGCACTTTCTGCTGTTACCACCAGTTTAACACAGTGAAACTAAAAGACTAAAGACCTTAGTCTTACTTGCATCTAATTTACAGACAGTATAGTTTTGTTCCAGTCTTTAACACAATTTTTGTACCAATCTTCATCTATCTGTTCTGTCCAAATGCAACAAATTATTTTAACGTATCTTGAAAGTTAAAATAACATTGCATGAGAACGGACATCCCGTCAGTCATGATCTGGTTGCAGGAAGGTAGTGTTAAGAACAGAGAAATCAATTTAGTTTACTTTGAACTTTAGGAGTAACCCAATGGATTGGAAGTGAGATGAGCAAAATTGAAGACCAGAGAGATGCATGGCAGGCAGAGTGAGATCACAGGTGAGTGTAGAACCTGAACACAGGAAGGAGCAAGGTTAGATTTAAAAAAACAAACAACAAAAACACTAAGAATGACAGACCTGTCCATAGCAATAGCACCACATTTGCAAACTGAACAACCTGGCAAAGACTGGAGTGAAAAGCTAGGGTAGATACACTGCAGAGTCTCGAGTAGTGGATGAGTCACAGGTGCGCAGGAGGTTGTGCCGCAGGAACCAAGCAGGCAAGCAAAGACTGTATGGAGGGTCTTGCCCCTCCCCCTCCCACTATGTGTGAGAGAAACAAAGTGAGAAAGCGACTGTTAGGAGAGACAGAAAGAGATTCATCTTCGTTTTCTAATTACATTTGCAGTATTCGCAGCACCATTAAGCCATGATGAATAATAACTATGTGAATGTATAAATTGAAGCCACCTTCATGCTGGAAATGTATACAGGTGAAACAATATGCTAATTTTTTGAGTTTCACCTGTACATGATTTTTTACATCCAGACTGTATCTTTGGCACTTAACTATTGTCTGATTATTTTAAGTTTCATCGTTTCTTACAGAACCATCTTGTCCTGTTGGATGGAGGATGTTCAGTTGCGCCTGTTATTTCCTCTCTAATGAGTCTGGTTCCTGGGAAAAGGGTAGAGAGGACTGTAAAACCAGAGGAGCAGATCTGGTGGTCATAAACAGCTCTGAAGAACAGGTGCAGTGTTTCTGAAATATTTTACACAAATGAGTGTTCATAACTTCCTAACATCAGCATGCTAATACGCTTATGATAATAATACTGGAATGTTGCTGTTTAGCATCTATAATCTTCACCATGTTCACTGTGTTGGTTTAACATGTTAGCATGATAACATTTGCTAATTAGCACTGAACACAAAGTAAAACCGAGGCTAATGGGAATGTCATTAGTTTTCCAGGTATTTGGTAATAAATCAAAATATTGAACAAACAGTTTTTTGACCTGAAGATAGATAAAAAGTCGTTATCAAAGTTATTACAATTCATCCGTGATCTAGTTGTTGAGATATCAGATATCAGTATATAGCCTAATTAAAAGTCAACCTCATGGTGACAGGAAATGTCAACAGCATACACTATCTGGGCACCATAGATATCTGTACCAAATATTGTGCCAATCTATGCAGTGTTGAGATATATCCCAGCACGCGGGTGGCACCAGAGGAAAATCATTGTACTTTAATGAATCAGTAAAGTTCAGTTCATGATGTCTACATTTAATCTTGAATACAGTATATTCTAATATAATATTATTTAAACTAACATATAAATGCTGTGACTTTCTGTTGTGTTTATTGAACAGAAGTTCCTCTCTAACTTCACCAAGGAAGAAATTATGGCTTGGATTGGTTTGACTGATCGTATCAAGGAGAAGACCTGGATGTGGATTAATGGAGCTCCTCTGTCTCTACAGTAAGGCAGATACCTTGGTTGAATATAAACAAAATTGCAAATAAAATACTGTTATTAGTCTATGATTAGAATGTATTTGTTTTAGGAGTGCCTCGGTAATCATCAGAAATAACAGAGCTTACAACAAACATTTCAAAATGGTATCAGTATAGTCACAGCAGTTGACTTGAAATTAATCGGCTGGACCACACTCACGATATACCGTTTATATGATGCAATCAAACAACTATACCACTTTTTGTGAAATATATCTTACCCAGAAATACCACTAGATGGTGCTATGGTTCTTTTAATCATGGTCAACTTTCATCTTCAACCAAGAGGAAGTGATGTTTATAAATTTAGATTTTTAAGAGAATGTTTCTAGAGCTGTCACTAAACAGATGTATTGTTATTTCCCTCTTACCATACAGGCTGGCACACATCGTCACATACAAATGTACATTTAGTTTCTAGTTTATTTGTGTACAAATATTAAAAACTACAAATGTTGGTCCAGCAGTTTACTTTGAAGAAGAGGAACTCAAAATAATAAGAAACATCATAATGTATGTATGTTTTTAAAATCATGGAAACGTTCATATATTCTAGATTCATTACACATGAGATATTTCACTTCATGTGTAATGAAGTTAAATATTCAAAGCCTTTGTTTGGTTTTAATCTTGATGATTATGGCTTACAGCTCATGGAAATCAAAAATCTAGTATTTCAAAATATTAGAATTTTAGAATACGGACATTATGATACAGAAATTTCAACCTGCCTTTAATCTCTTAGTCTGGTTAAGTAGAACTACTGTATACATGTTTTTTGTTTTTTTGAGATGCACCTGTAAACAGCCTGAACATCAAGCAGACACAGATGAACATTCATTTGGAGTTGTTTCCACCTATTGAATTTTAAGTGTAATGTTGAATTAAATTGCACTTAAACTGAGCTAAATGTTCTATGTTCACCAGCTAGTCACTGACCTTGTCTGAATGCTGTTGGGTGCTGGGCAGATAACGTACAATGGGTTTATCAGAGCTTTTTGCTGGAAACAGCTGCCTGCAGTGGCTGAAAATGATGCTTATGAGAGTGCAGTTGTGGGCTAAAATCAATGAGCTAAACCTTGCTAAAACAATCTGAGGACAACTCCCGTTTGTCAAAAAAAAAAGAAATGAATGCAATTTAAAATACACCAGTACTCACCTCACCAACACACTGCCCCAAACTGTTTTAGGTCTTGGTGGCATTTCCTGGTGAATAGCAGGAATAACAGACTGTGTTCATGTAAAACAATGTCATTATTGTTGTGTTTGTAGACCTTTTCTGTATTGGCGGAGTGGGCAACCTGATAACAATGGAGGACATCCTTCTCTTGGGGAAGAGGACTGTGCCCACATCATATATGGAGGGGAGGGAAACAACTGGAATGATTTGTCATGTGAAACCAATATGAGATGGATCTGTGAGAAAATGGTTTAGCATTGGTGCATTATTGTGTGTTTGCTGCTTCTACTGCTTCTATATTATATTTAAACATAATTCCTTTGCACAAGTGTGTAAGGTTTCATACAATTTTACTCACAGGGGGCGCTACAGTAACATTAATGATATTTCTACAATTCTGGGAATTTGGTGCACAAGTTCACCATAAGCATGTGCACAACAAAGAAGCAGGACATCTTGTGGCCAGTTAAAAAATACTTTGTGTTTTGGTGAATAACTCCTGAACTGTGAGGCAAAGACAAAGCAAGAGATTCTCAAAGGTGTACCTGTGTCCCTTGTACTTAGTGTGAAAATGCACAACTGTATATGTTTTGACAAATTACAGAACTTTGATTAATGTACACATCAATCACCAGAAGCAGCTGCAGAGGATGAAGCAACCACATGCATTTTCTTCTAGGAATGAAAATATTCTAGTTTGGAGATTAAAAGTTTGTAAATTGTTTTTATTGTAAAGTAGAAATAATGAAAGACATTTGGAATGACATTTACCTACAAATTATGGCTCAGAGGATAATAAAGACAATGATTTATAAAGATTGTGGTGAATATTTAAGAACATTTTGATATTTTATGACCTTGTAACTGATTATTTATTCCCATCTTAAATGTGCAATTGTACTACTGCCTGCCTTGGCCAGGACACTCTTGGAAAAAGTTTTTCTGGTTTAATAAAGGTATAATAAAACAATTCAAAATCTACAACTGTAACAGAATATAATGCAGAGCAGCTCTAAGGCATTCTGGGTTGCTTAGACTTATTTCTCCTGTAGATCAACTTTTAAAATCATCACTGCTGAATCAACACACACACACAGACATGACTGACTGAGGTAACCTCTTTAAATGTGCATGTGGCACCTTTTTACGTCATCAATAATAAATTAAATCATTTTAATTCAGTTTTAAACTCCTGGACTTTAATAGCTCCTGTGTTTCAGCAGGTTTTCTACTCATGTTCAAAGTTCTGCACATTCAGAACCGAATATAAAGGATATTTAGTACAAATCATCATTAACTTTGCCATCAATCCGCGGTCTGCCTGCGTGCCGCAGGTGCCCGTGTGGGGATTTAATTCTTGCATGTTTTGTTGTGCAGGATCAATGCCCCTATGTGTCCACATGCGGAAAGGTCAAGATATCCTATCAGAGTGAAAATGGACTGTCTGTTGCATTAGACTAAGCAACTTGTAGATTTTTTTAAGTAGCCCATTAAAATATTCCTGCAAATGCAGTGAAGAAGTTCATTTAGTTGAAGTTGATTTATTTTCATTCATAAAAATGTCTCAAAACATCCCACTACTTATTAGCCTTCTTATAAACGCCAACAGGGTTTATAAACTGCAGCTTGGAAAAGATAACTGTGTCACGCAAAACCCTCGCATTCTAGCAGCAACCTCTGAGGACCAGTCCAGTCAACACACGTATGGGCGCACATCATTTTTAAACAAGACAGTAATTAGGCTAGCTGTCTTTCAATCAAGATTTAGTCTGTGCTAATGCAAGTTTTCAGCGCCTCTGATAAAGTGCAGCTCACAGCCGCTTCAGGTGGAGCAGAGAGGACAGACACAGAGCTACAGCTGTATCATCTTATTCTCCCGCTAATAGTAGTAGTATAGTACAAATGTATGTCAGGGGCAGGAAACAGGGCCAATGAGACCCCCAACACCATCAAAATCCTCACCTGCCTGCGTGCATGTATTGTATTGTGTTGGATATATTTAATGGTTCGTGAAGTGTGGTATGGTGGAGTGGAAATAAGGAGCAGTTAAAATTGGGGGGTGGTTGAGACAGGGGCACTCCAAAGCTGGCAGGCAGTGGAGCCTCCCAACGTGCCCCTCCCACCCATAGATATCCATAATAAAGGCTCTATCGTCATCACTGGCGGCCATCTTGTCACAGGCAAGCTTTTTGGCGGGCTTAAGGTGGCTGGAATAACAACCCTAATGCCTGAAAGCCAATTTTGCCTATAACCAATAGTGCCAATAGTCAAAATCTGGGGGAAAACAATCTCACAATAGTCCAAATAGAGAAATGTTCCCTTAATTTCCCCATGATTATTATTATCAGTTATGAAATTATTATACTAACTCAAATTTCAGGATTTGTTGTGCGACGGGCTCTGAAGAAGCTCTCCTGTGATATCTGCCGTGCCAGCCTGGTGACAGACGCTGCATCAAGGACCAGAGCTACCACCTGCTGACTTTAAAAAACAATGGAGGTCTAGTGATTCCATCAGAAGGCACAGTGAGGGTCGTCAGGGCAGCAGAGTGGGTCATTCGTCAGACATCAAGTACCAGACGATCACAGCCCATCAAAATGCTAGAGGTCGTGTACATTGTACAGAAGAAGATAGGGTCAGAGGATGTGTTTGTGCTTGGGGAGCACATCAGCGAAACGCAGAATGGCATAGACAGCCACCACCATACATTAACAGAGTATGGTTTTAAGCTAAGGCTGTACCACATCGCTAAAATGATTAACCTTAGCTTACAGAGCAACAACATGTGACACAAGCTCAATAAAACCGTCCTTTTCAAAGGGCATTAGCCCAAGCTATGTTTTTTTGGTCATTTTTTTAATCTTCCATGTGTATACCTCGACAGTAGTGTAGTTCTCTCTACAGGGTGGGGATTTCAACATGCAACATTTATGTATATTTGTAAAGGGGAATCTTGTACCTATTTTTTTATTGCAAATAAATGTCACTTTTATAATAGTTTAAAAATAGAGACTTTTGTGTAATTATTATATATCAGAACCCCTGACATACAATCTAAATAGTCTACATGAAACTTCGGAGTGTTACCTTTCATTTGAGACCAGGATTATGCTACACCAAGAGCTTGCCACACAGTAAGCCTTTTTTTGTCAGTATGCATTTTGGGTAACCAAAAATCCTATGGGGATATTCCATAGGGCATTTTACAAAACGCGTGAGCATACCTTGGCAAATAATGGTCTAAAGTACTCATATTTCATTCTATATTGATCTGCCTTTGCACACAGCTTCACAAGACCTGGTGCTAGGGCTCAGTTGTGTTTCTAAAGTCAAGTGACCTAGAGGGCTGAAATGTGGTCAGTTCAGAGATGCTTGTTATCCGGCAGAAAGAAAAAACAATATTCTAGCCTCTATAACTCTGTAGTCCAGTACTTCACACAATTATTCTGATTGTTTCCTAAGAAACGACATGGTCTCAGCTTTCTAAAGAGGTCAGGAATTTCATGGTATGCAAAAATAGGTGGGAACAGTGATCTCTGAAATAGGCACAGTGCAATGTCGGGGAGAAAAGCCTAGAAAATGGCCCAACCCTGAAGAAGTTAAAATAATCATGTAATTCAAATTATTTTATTATAATAGTAATATTCATATTATAAAAGTGTGTGTATATATATATTTATATTAATTAGAGCTGTGTAACGGTTAAGAACTTTTTCAAGACCATTTCAACATATTTTAAGATTGCAGCACCACTTTGAGCTGTAACTGGTTAAGTCAGCAACACACCTTTAAAAGTGGCATTGTAGAGTTTTTTTAAAGGAATTTAAATACAGTATATTTATAACATTTTATTGTGTAGGTGACCAACTTTCTCAGTTGTCTATAACAAATGTTTACGTGTGTAAACACGGTTTCATGAATGAAAGTGAACTTGTAACCATGTGACTATAACCCTCGAATCAGGAGCATTATACCACATTAACAACACCCACTGCCCACTATATGAATGTCGCACACCCACACACTCTCCCTCTTTCTATCGACTAGGAAGGGATCCATGGGACAACCCTTCACCGCCTTCACTGACAATGAATAGTTACAGTTTCACTTTCATTCATAAAACTGTGTTTACATACGTAAACATTCGTTTTATTTCATTCAGTGAACCTGTAACCAAATTAGTATACCTAATTATTATTATTAAAAACGAGGAGAGGAAGGTGGCCCCAACTAACAGTCAAAAGGCCATATCGAGAAAGGAGTGAACCTTAGCTCAGTAAACAGCAGAACACAAGCCATTGAGTTCAAGCTATTATTGTGAACGACTTGAAGTCGTGAACAAAATATGTCCCTCCAGGTTTAATATAACACAACAACCATAAACAAAAGAGGGCCCGGACAGGTGGAGTTAAGGTGTAACGCCCGCCTGGAAAGAGGAGATAAGGTGGAGCTTAAGGTGAATATAAGGTGATGTTTGCTGACCACCAGTTCAGTTTCATCCTGAGACCTGCAGGGATGTTGCTTGGGATTATCTGTCCTTTATTGGAATAAACTCTTTTGCACCGACTCTTGACCGTCTCCAGTGAAGTCTTTGACTACGCAGTTTTTAACTAAAGAAGAAAGCTAATAGAGTAATTTTATTGAGTTTAATAAGTTAGTTAGTTAAACACCTAGACCTAGACTTTGCTCGCAACTACGCTGTTTTCTCGAGGGAGGAACTCAGAGTAAACTGCTTTTATTTATTTTAGCTAAGTGTGGTTTCTGCTCTGCTCCAACCTCGATTTAAAAGAACCTGTGTGTGTGTGTGTGTGTGTGTGTGTGTGTGTGTGTGTGTGTGTGCATGTGAGAGTCCTAGGGCTCAAAGTACCCCCCAGGTGGCGTTATCGGCATTTCTTTTTATATACATTTTACTTACAGCTTCTAATTGAGAATTTTTTTGTGGACACCGGACACGCGCATTGCACACGAGACTCTGGAACAGACCTCTGCCTGAGGATCTCAAGGTACGTGCTGATGCGTATGGGACTAAAACGTCAGATATACCAGGGGGAGAGGCGATGAAGGGCTTTAATAGTAATCAATACAATTTTAAAGTCTATTCTAAAACATACTGGGAGCCAGTGTAATGAAGCTAAAACAGGAGTGATGTGATCATATTTCTTTGTTCTGGTTAAAAGCCTGGCAGGTAAGGTCTGGACAGTCTGGAGTCAATCAATAGATTTTTGGGTCAACCAAGTAAAAAGCTGTTGCAGTAGGTGTGATGAGATAAATGCGCGTAAAATGGTCTCAGTGTCAAATTAACATTGATCAAAACTTGCTCAAAACGTAAATTACTGTCAAACCAGACTCCCAGATTTTTAGCTTTATTAAGGATTAATAGGTAACAAGTAATTTATTAGATAAGATTTAATTTCTGAGTAACTTGCCCATCACTGTTTAGTTATGTTTATGTCCTTAGGTGAGCAATGTATGTAAGGTGGGGTTAATAATGTTGCTATATGGGAGTATCAGGAGGCTTGTCATACAAGCTTATTTCAGCAGCTCTGAAACTTGTGACTTCCTGAGAATTTAACCAATGAGAAGTTGAAACCAAACAGATTGGAATCAGTTTTATGTGCTGTAGTCTGTGCGGCAGATAGTTGGCCACCTAATGAGCGATGGAAGAAATCTATGCTAATGTTGAACACACCAAACCTGTCGACCCAAGACCTTCAACAAATCGGAAAGGTAAGAATGTTCAGTTAGACAGAGAAGCTGAAGACTGAGCTTGCACAGATGTATATTATAATCCCTTGTATGATCAGTGTTGTATCATTGACTGTAGTCACTGGTCTTTGTGCAGATCCTAGTTGTTCAAAGAGAAGATTTTATGGAGCTGTTTTCTGTCTGGGAGTGCTGAGTGTTTTCCTGCTAGCCGGGCTCATCGGCCTTGGTGTCCGCTGTGAGTCTGAATCACATTCTGTTCTGTCCTTATGCTCTTAGTATCTCCTGTATTGAGTTTGGAGTTGTTTTCTGACTTTTCCTAATTGTCCTGTTTGTTTGAAACTCAAAGCAGCTTTTTACAAAAGGTTTAACACATAGGCCTACAAAACACAACATTTTCATATTTTGTGAATGTATAATTTAACCAGGAAGGTAAATATTTACTTTCAAGCAGGTCATGCAGCAAATATGTGTAAGCCTAAAATCCCCTGACTCCCGCTGGGAATCCACTCTGAGTAGGTTGAACTCCCTTCGTAGTACAGGCCAAAGGTCCTACTTAAAGTATCATTATTTAAAGAACCATTCAGACATGGTATCTGTTAAATTGCTGGTTTAACAGGCACAATCAGATTAATGAGACATAACAAACAGTATGAAACGACACAAGAAGCATGACAAAACACAGACAAGCTTCACCACAAGAAACAGGGCAGCAGGTAGGGAACACTACATATACTGTATGAGTAAGTAAAATACAAATGAAGTCCGGTTAAGAACACAACAAAAATAGAGTAGGAGATTCACAGTAATGTAGTAGTAAATCCAAACAGGCATTTGTCATTTTAAAATAATAAAAAACAACAAACCTTCTACCACCTTCTAGTCTACCACACATGAACCTCATAGGATGCTGTTTCTAATTATTTGGTACTGATTCTGAGATCTTTTAATAAACTTAAAGTTTCTCTCGTTTTATTTGATGACATTTAGCTGCAGATCTCTCGGCTATCAAAGCCAACCTGACTGAGCGTCTCCAGAACAGTGATATCAAGTTGTCTTTTCTGACTGAAGAAAGAGACCTGCTGAACGCCAGCCTGGTTGAAATAACTGAAGAGCTGAACAGCATGAGTAAGTATGGGGACTGAGGACCATGGCCCTCATTTATGAAAAGTGCGTACACCAAATTTCCAGCGTACACCTGGCCTACACCCAAAACCACGGTGACTTTGAGATTTATCAATATGGACGTTGGCGTACGGCACGCTCAAATCCTACGCCCACTTAGGAGGTGGAGGTCAAAACTTGCATAGATGTAAGTTTTGAGTTAGTGCGGAAATGCGCAGAAAAACAATTCCTAACACCACAAAACGCACTGACAAACTAAAAGATATGATATATTATGACCCACTGTAACAGAAACAACGTTTGAAACATTATTTTTGGTGTTTATATTTGAGCAACACGGACTTTATACAGCCTATATAATATTTGAGCAGTCAAAACATGCTTTGATTTGTATTTGGACTATTTTATCGTAGCTTTAGGTGCCTTTTATTTGGGTTTGCTTTTAATACGATTTGTACCTTCAAATGAAAAGGCTATGAGCAAAAAATGTTGTAAGGTAAATAAATACTGCATACAAACAACGAAGAGCATAAGCAGATGGCTTGAAGCACTGAGACTGGCTGCCGAAATGGACACCCCCACCAGGCTGGCACAGACATGTCGCGCACAAAGCCCTGCATTTATTATAAGTTTATATTATGACAGCAACAGCGAGCACCGACACCCCCGCTAAAGGCCCCGCGTCCCCGGACTCTGGTGCACGCTGATCCCGGCTCATGTGTGAGTCCTGGGTCAGTGCAGTCAAAGCCCAGTCCCGGAGGTGATGGAGCAGCTTTTTATCAGAGCAACATACTTTCATTTGGAGCTTATTTGGGACTTAACTTTGATGGGTGTTTTAGCAGTGCTAAATCTATCTGTTGGAGCACCACAAGTAGCCAATTTATAATTCTAGGAACAGACAAAAACTTCTAGTTTGCACGGAAGGCGCTCCACAAACAGGTGGTACAGACGTGGTGCAGCTCATCATTGTGTTTGGACAATGTTTCACTTTGAACCACTCACCGCGGGTGGTCAGATCCAAGTCCGTGGGCGTCCAGACCCGTGTCCGTGCGTAATAGTCCCACGACAGCGCAGAGCACTGTTTCCCAAAGCCACAAAACATTATGAAGGATTGCTTTGCACGCTGGGGGTACACGGCCCCGTATCTGTCCGTATGTCCTCCGTTCATCAAAGTAAACGCTCAGCGAGAGGCTCTTGGCCCGTGCCCTGCTCCTCCGGGATGAGCGCATCCTCCTCTGGGGCTGACAGCGCGCACTGGTCCGCTCCAGCGAGTCTGACAGCGCGCGGTGGTCCCCCTGACTCCAGCACTGGCTCTCGGGCTTATGGCTCATCTGAATGCTCGTTTCCAGTTTTAAGCCTGTTGAACATTTTGTGGAAAATGTGTCCAGTTTAAATCATCGAATAAGAAAGTATTAAATTGTTTCCAAAAGAAAAATCTCGTAATATTAAAATGCACAATATTTTTGAACATTTATGCCGGGGATGGGCTCTAGTAGTGAAACTAAACATATAATCTTTCTTTAAATCTGTCAAACAACATATTATTTTGTTTTTTAAGTTTAAATTTGTGGATTTCCTGCTCCAACCCATGTATTTCTTGCCGTATTCCGTCAGTCCCTGCCGTGAAGTCGTGGGTGCGGCCTCCTGAAGCTTGAATAATTGGGGGCGTTTCATTCAAATTACGCACGTTTTATGCCGCCGCATTTATCAACACCAGGTGGTGCTTACACCTTAAGTGCGAGGGTACACTCTCATCGATAAATCAGGCGCTGAGGACAGTGTAAGCATAATCTCACGCACAAAAATAGGCCCGTTTCTACGGAAGATTGATAAATGACGGCCAAAGTGTGTGGCCATGTGTAATCACAGTTCTGCAAAATATATCTACACTTAACAGGCATGTCGCCACATATGTGAAACATGATAGACCCTATTTACAGCAAATATTTGACATGCAGGTAAAGTACAGATCTAATTAATGACACATAGGTACAGTATTTTCTGCTGTTACCACCAGTTTAACACAGTGACACTAAAAAGCTAAAGGCTGATGTGGTAGTGGGTAGGGTTAGCCTCCTTTGTGTTGCTGCGATGTAGCAAACTGTGGCATATCATACGGATGAAGGGTAACTTTAGCATCAAACAATTACACTTTGTTTCGCTGCCTGAAAGCGTCCGCAATGATGCACTGATGAGAACGCGTTGCAGAAGCACAACATGTAAAGGATGCTCTGGCTCCCTGAATAGTTGCAAGGGCACTTGGGGGAAGCCCAGAGGCAGACAGATTTAACCTCTCATAGGGATGGAATATCTCCCCCTGCGACAGGAGGTCCAGTGTTTCCCAGGCCAGTGAGGCAATCACATTGCGAAGGATGTTACACTGGTACATTGTTATTTATAAAGCTACTTCAGGTCTTTTGCCTTCTTATATCTGTTTAAAGTGTGTTCAAAGTACATATCATTTAAGATCTAATGATGGACTACTTTGTAAGGTACCAAGAATGAGGACAGAAGCAGGAAAGAGGAGTCTGTCTTACTATGTCCCTTCGTCCTGGAATGAATTTCCTTAGCTGCTTTTAAAAAACGAATATCTGACATTCTGACAGACATATGCACTTGTTTTTAATTAACGGTAGGTAGATCTCTACATTTAGTCTTTCTAATTATGTTTGTTTTACATATTTTAAACTCATTGTAATTTTGTCTATGTAAATATCTTGTAAACTTTGTGTAAATTTTACTGCCAGACAGAAAGTAGCGCTCGCCTTTTCCTCTGCAGCTGTCCTTTGAAGCTGTCCTTCAAAAACATGTTAGAGTAGGTTCTCCAGTCAGTGCCGTTTGACCTGCATTCATTCTGAAGTTGGTCCCCGGGCGCTGTGTCTGCCCACTGCTCCCTTCAGGGATGGGTTAAATGCAGAGGAAGAATTTCGCTACATGTGTGTCTATTTGACAAATAAAGTACCTTACCTTTTAAGAAGGAGCAGAGGATGCTAGTTAAGCGCTACCCAAGCTGCACCATGTGCTGGTTAAAATCATTGACATTAGTTACGCATTTATTTATCATGTGTAAAGTTTAGTTGCAGCAGTCACTCATTCAACAGCTGTCTGTCTGTGGCGAACAGGGAGTACCACATGTCTCCATTGTGTGCACCGCACATATGGTCCGGAGCTGCAGTTCCGCCTTTTTCCCTCTGTCAACACTACGTTAACAGTGAACCTCTAGATAATCGATTATTGACATTATTGACGGGCAGGTAGGCTACGGCAGCTTAAATCGGCGTCTTGTCTGGAATTTGCCAGTGAATGCTAAGAGAGGAATCAGCTGAGCTGTCAGCTGATGTGCTGCTGCTGATGGCTGCTATCGCTATATGCTGGAATGAGCGGAGTTTGACTTCGTTAGCTTCCTGAACTAACGCTATGCTTGATGTATATGTGCTTATGCTCCGTTCAAAGCCCTTTCTGACATGACAATGCCAATATTAACGGTTAAGCAAGGGAAGCTGTTAAGGCACTTACTAAGACATTTCATACACTTAAATCACAAATAATTTAAAAAATTACATAGGGGATTAGGGGACCTGTGCCCCACTAGAGCTATATGTCTAGCAACCCCCCTGGTTACGATTCATTCTTTCAACCACTTTTTTTTTTCAATTATTATTTTTGTTAAGTTGCGGAGGTAATTTGGAACAATGTTTAGAACACTTTTGAGTGCTATAAATACATTAATCTTATTTTTGAAGTGATAAGAAGTTATTAAAAGTGAAGTGGAACGACCACTTATTCAGTGCCCGAGTCTTTTAATGTAGAAAAGGCGACACACAGCCGAGCTTAAAGAATAAGGCTAATGTTTTCATAGACATCATAAGAACACAAAAAATCAACGCAAATATTATAGGCTATGCCTGTTCATTTAGCCATTCACACTGTCTGAGATTTGTTTGTCTTACTACATGTGTCTGCTGCAGCTGTGTTACTAACGGTCTATGTCTAACTGTCTATAGTTTACTCTTCGTTTGTAAAATATGCAGCTCTGCTGCCAGTAGACTTCAGGGCCGCCCGTAAGGGGGGAAAAAGGGGAAAGCTTTCTGGGGCCCAGCTGCTAGGAGGTCCCATGCAGTCCAGCACTCATGATGTTCATTATATAAGCAAAGATAACCCGATTTTATTTTGACCCAAAATACTCACTTTACTTATTAAACAAAAAAATACAAGTTATTGTTTCTTCTTCTTCTCTCCTGAAGATGGTATGAGGACTGTTTGTTGTACGCAACGTCAAACGGCAGACCATGTATGTGTTCATGTAGGAGATAGAGAGAGAGAGCACAGAATGCGTTGAGGGCCCATTTACTGGACCTTTTCAGGGGCCCAGTCATTTCTGTGGGCGGGCTTGTTCAAGTTTGCGATTGGTCATCTGCTTGATAATCAGTTTTGTGTGACCGCTTATGCCGAATGCGATTGTTAGAGTTAGTGAAGCCGGATAAGAAAGATATCCTAGGTATGTTGAACTTGCTTCGGGATACAAGCCCCTGGTAAGGAACACTACATATACTGTATAAAGAGGAAATACCATACAAAAGAAGTCCAGGTAAGAACACAACAAATATAGAGTAGGAGATTGACAGTAATGTAGTAGTAAATCCAAACAGGCATTTTAGTCATTTTAAAATAATGAAATACAAAAAACAGATTTCTTTCAAACCATTTTCTAGCCTCACGCATGAACCTCATAGGATGCTGTTTCTAATTATCTTATATTAAACTTAAAAAATGTCTCTTGGTTTATTATATGACATTTAGCTGCAGATCTCTCAGCTATCAAAGCCAACCTGACTGAGTGTCTCCGGACCAGTGATATCAAGGTGTCTACCCTGACTGGAGAGAGAAACATGCTGAACAACAGCCTCATTAAAGTGACTGAAGAGCTGAACGGTCTGAGTAAGTGTGGCAACTGCAGACAATATGCGTAGCAATGTGTGATTTCAGATCTGCAAAGTGTATCTAAAATTAACAGGCATGTCACCACATATGTGAAACATGATAGACCCTATTGACAGCAAACATTTTGACTGCAGGTAAAGTACAGATATAATTAATGATACATTTGTGCAGCATTTTCCGCTGTAACCACCAGTTTAACACAGTTAAACTACAAAGCTAAAGGGCTTAATATTACTTGCATTTAATTTACAGACAGTATAGTTTTGTTCCAGTCTTTAATACAATTTTTATACTAATCTTCATCTATTTGTTCTGTCCAGATGCAACAAATTATATATCGTATCTTGAAAGAGTACTGACATCCCGTCAGTCATGACCTGATTGCAGGAGGGTAGTGTTAAGGACAGAGAGATCTACACAGTTTATTAAGTAATCCAATGGATTGGAAGTGAGATGTGCAAAATTGCAGACCAGAGAGATGCAAGGCAGGCACAGTGAGATCACAGGTGAATATGGAACCTGAACACAGGGAGACATAAGGTTAGATAAAATAAAAGACACAAGGAACGACAGACCTGTCTGTAGCACTAGTACCACATTTGTAAACTGAACAACCTGGCAAAGACTGGACTGAAAAGCCAGGGTAGATATACTGCAGAGGTTTGATTAGGTGCGCAGGAGGTTTCCCGCAGGAACCAAGCAGGTAAGCGAATGTTTGAAGAGTGAAGCTGACCAAAGACTGTAGAGGGTTCTGTGTTGGCCCCAAAATGACATCATGACCCTGTGACATCCCGTCGCACATGAGAGATGTAACTGTGTTGTTTAGATAAGAAGCTCTCGGGGAATCTAAAAAACTTATTAGGCCATTAGTGATGCTATGTTGGTGTTTGCCAGGTGAGCCTTGTAGGTAGGCTGATTACAAAACGTCAGAAAAACACAGGGAACGAGAGACCATGCTGGACCATGACAAGGAGGGCTTGTTAACAGTACGTGTAGTTTTGCAACACTTGTGAAACCTTGTGTTGTCAAGACAGTTATTTGTGTATTTTAAAATCCCCTTCAAAGCCTCAAATGTGCCATGATCAAACCCTGTCATGTAGTGGTAGTTTCATACCTTAATTTGCCCTCAACAGTCTTGCCCCTCCCCCTCCCACTATGTGTGAGAGAGAAACAGAGAAAGCGACTGTTAGGAGAGACAGAAAGAGATTCACCTATGTTTTCTAATTACATTTGCTGTATTTGCAACACCATTAAGCCATGATGAATAATAATTATGTGAATGTATAAATTGGAAACCACCTTCATTCTGGATATGAATACATGTTTTTAACATCTATATTGTATCTTTGGCACTTAACTATTGTCAGATTTTTAACGTTTCATTGTTCCTTACAGAATCATGTCCTGCAGGATGGAGGATGTTCAGTTGCCCCTGTTATTTCCTCTCTAATGAGTCTGGTTCCTGGGAAAAGGGTAGAGAGGACTGTAAAACCAGAGGAGCAGATCTGGTGGTCATAAACAGCTCTGAAGAACAGGTGCAGTGTTTGTGAAAAATTTTACGCAAATAAATGTTCTTAGCTTCCTAACATCAGCATGCTTACAATATTAATGCCCACATGTTGATGTTTAGCATCTATAATCTTCACCATATTCAATGTGTTGGTTTAACATGTTAGCATGATAACAGTTGCTAATCAGCACTGAACACAAAGTAAAACTGAGGCTCATGGGAACGTTATTCATTTTCCAGGTATTTCGTAACAAGTCAAAGTATTGCTTAACTAAAACAGAGGGTCAGAGGGTCACCAAAGTCATTAGCATACATCCTACGGGCACCATAGATATATGAACAAAATTTGGTGCCTATCCATCAAGTAGATGCTGAGATATATCCAGCATGCTGGTGTCACTAAAGGAAAATCATTGTATTTCAGTAAGGTTCATTTCATGTTTAAATTTAACATCTTCTGCAGTATAATATTATTCAAACTCAAATATAAATATTGTAACTTTCTGTTGTGTTTATTGAACAGATGTTCCTCTCTAACTTCACCAAGGAAGAAATTATGGCTTGGATTGGTTTGACTGATAGTGTCAAGGAGGGGACCTGGATGTGGATTAATGGAGCTCCACTGTCTCTACAGTAAGGCAGCTTTACCTTGATTGAATATAAACAAAATTACATAGTAATTATAGTTTATTATTAGAATGTATTTGTTTTAGTGCCTCTGTAATCATCAGAAATAACAGAACTTACAACAAATATTTCTTAGTGGAATCAGTATCACAACAGCTGACTTGAAATTAATCGGCTGGACCACACTCACGATATACATAGATGATGCAATCAAACAACTATACCACTTTTTGTGAAATATATCTTACCCAATAAAACCACCAGATGGTACTATGGTTTACCATGAAAACAAGGTATAATAAAAAGAATCACCATGTATGTATGTTTTGAAAATCATGGAAAAGTTAAAATGTTCCTTGATTTAATAAATTACTGAAATGTTCATATATTCTAGTTAAATATTTAGATACGTGTGCACTCCAGATTTAGCTGCTACTAGCTGACCGATTGCTTGTCACAAACAACGGCTCACTTTACCGCAGTTCTGTGTCTGTGCATGCCACAAACTGAAAACACTGTCAGTGTCCAAACAAAAAGGAAGGAAGACATGGCTGGTAGAATTGTCCTCAAATAGAGTTGCCAATCACTTCAGTTCACTAAAGGAAGCCATCTCTTCTTACTGTGTGGGGAGCAAGGCTTGTTGATGTGTGAGTTTAGTGTCCACCTCCTTCGTCTGACTGATCCACCATCAGTCAGCTGACAGAGGGGATAAGTTCACCACTTGAGACACACCCCCTCCTTATTTGCATAAGGCAGTTATGCACAGTGTTGGGCAATAGCGTCGCGTTACTAGTTTAACTACAAATTGGTGGTAGCGTCGCTATTTTCTGAAACAAATAGCACACACAGACCTGTATGTGCAGCCGGCTTTAGTGCTTCCTGGTGATATCACGTACGGATCCTTGGGCGGATGCCTGCGACTTTGCTGCAGGGGAATAAAGACACGCGTGATTGAGTTTACTTTCTATTGTGATAGTTATTGTAACACCTCTTGTGAGAAGGATCAAGGTCCAGCCTGGACACCTCTTCCTCTAGTGAGGAGGAAACTTTGATATGTACTGTATATCTTACCCAGAAATACCACTAGATGGTTCTATGGTTCTTTTAATCATGGTCAACTTTCATCTTCAACCAAGAGGAAGTGATGTTTATAAATTTAGATTTTTAAGAGAATGTTTCTAGAGCTGTCACTAAACAGATGTATTGTTATTTCCTTCTTACCATACAGGCTGGCACACATCGTCACATACAAATGTACATTTAGTTTCTAGTTTATTTGTGTACAAATATTAAAAACTACAAATGTTGGTCCAGCAGTTTACTTTGAAGAAGAGAAACTCAAAATAATAAGAAACATCATAATGTATGTATGATTTTAAAATCATGGAAACGTTCATATATTCTAGATTCATTACACATGAGATATTTCACTTCATGTGTAATGAAGTTAAATATTCAAAGCCTTTGTTTTGTTTTAATCTTGGTGATTATGGCTTACAGCTCATGGAAATCAAAAATCTAGTATTTCAAAATATTAGAATTTTAGAATACGGACATTATGATACAGAAATTTCAACCTGCCTTTAATCTCTTAGTCTGGTTAAGTAGAACTACTGTATACATGTTTTTTGTTTTTTTGAGATGCACCTGTAAACAGCCTGAACATCAAGCAGACACAGATGAACATTCATTTGGAGTTGTTTCCACCTATTGAATTTTAAGTGTAATGTTGAATTAAATTGCACTTAAACTGAGCTAAATGTTCTATGTTCACCAGCTAGTCACTGACCTTGTCTGAATGCTGTTGGGTGCTGGGCAGATAACGTACAATGGGTTTATCAGAGCTTTTTGCTGGAAACAGCTGCCCGCAGTGGCTGGAAATGATGCTTATGAGAGTGCAGTTGTGGGCTAAAATCAATGAGCTAAACCTTGCTAAAACAATCTGAGGAGAACTCCCGTTTGTCAAAAAAAGAAATGAATGCAATTTAAAATACACCTGTACTTACCCCACCAACACACTGCCCCACACTGTTTTAGGTCTTGGTGACATTTCCTGGTGAATAGCAGGAATAACAGACTGTGTTCATGTAAAACAATGTCATTATTGTTGTGTTTGTAGACCTTTTCAGTATTGGCGGAGTGGGCAACCTGATAACAATGGAGGACATCCTTCTCTTGGGCAAGAGGACTGTGCCCACATCATATATGGAGGGGAGGGAAACAACTGGAATGATTTGTCATGTAAAACCAATATGAGATGGATCTGTGAGAAAATGGTTTAGCATTGGTGCATTATTGTGTGTTTTCTGCTTCTACTGCTAAGATATAAACATAATTCCTTTGCACAAGTGTGTAAGGTTTCATACAATTTTACTCACAGGGGGCGCTACAGTAACATTAATGATATTTCTACAATTCTGGGAATTTGGTGCACAAGTTCACCATAAGCATGTGCACAACAAAGAAGCTGGACATCTTGTGGCCAGTTAAAAAATACTTTGTGTTTTGGTGAATAACTCCTGAACTGTGAGGCAAAGACAAAGCATTCAAATGTGGTGTTAATAGCGTCACCATGTGGTTGGTTGTAAAACGTTTTTGACCTTCATTTCAGAGTATCATTAAAATACTTTGAGATTCTCAAAGGTGTACCTGTGTCCCTTGTACTTAGTGTGAAAATGCACAACTGTATATGTTTTGACAAATTACAGAACTTTGATTAATGTACACATCAATCACCAGAAGCAGCTGCAGAAGATGAAGCAACCACATGCATTTTCTTCTAGGAATGAAAATATTCTAGTTAGGAGATTAAAAGTTTGTAAATTATTCTTTTTATTGTAAAGTAGACTTTACAGAATGTCATTTACCTACAAATTATGGCTCAGATAATAATAAAGACAATGATGTCTTGTTTCTTCTTCATTAAACTGTCCAGGATTAATTAAGTTTTTCAGTTAGAACACACAGTCCAGAGTCGCAGTCCATCCTCCCTGATGAACGTTACTCTGTTAACGCCTCTGGTCCGGCATGTGAATCCTCTCATGTTCCATCAAAGAGAAATCTGAAGCTGAAATCTTTTTCCAGGCTTCCAAAACTCTGTCGTTGACATTGCCGTTGCCATCACAAGTAAATGTGTCCTCGTGATCCCTAATAACTCGAATGAGGGGCTTACAAATTGCCTTTGCTCTTTCTGCTGCTATTTTTGTTAGCTCGTCTTTCAAGTGGCTACTCGCTCTTCCAGAAGATCTTCATGAACCACTCTGTAGTGAGGAGGACACCACAACTCCAGTGGATACAGTGTTCTGCATTGTGTAACATAATATATGACAAAATGTTGCCTATTGTGAGTTTAAAAATACATTTGTATATAGGTATAAAACAACATAAATTGTTTTGGTTTAATTAAATGATTTTCTCCTCTTGGCTCAAATTTGCTTTGCAAGGAATTCCAGTCTGAGTAGGGTTGAGGTTTGTCCTCAGGCAAAAGTACCAGTCTCCATCAAACAGAACAGTGGCTACCCATACAAAAAGCAGACTGAGATAATTGATCAGCAACTTAAAAATACTGCTGCAGAAATTGTTACAACAAAGTCTTTGACAGCTGGAAACAATCTTCCTTTGGTGGAAAGCCTCAATGATGTAGACAACCCATAGGAGGAGCAAGCATGTACAGTACACCATTAGGATGTATACCTGGTATGCATGAGCACATGAAATGCATATCAAATATGTACTGCAGAATGTAGAAGACTACTATCAGCAGAAATGCACTGACAGCATTTGTAATGACTTTGACAAGTTTTTCAGGAAAATCATGACCAATGTGAGTCATGCTGGCTGAAAAGAGTATCTGAAAAAAATACTGTGTCAAAGTTTAAAACAATCTGTTGCAAGGCTGCTACAGTTAAATGATGTTCTTTTTCTTATTTGCAGAAGATGTTGTTCAAAAAGGCTGCGTGAAAAGGTGTCAACCGCACGAACAAATGAGATGTTATACAGCGTATTTCGTCAATATATCTGAACAGTGGCACAGTGATAAACCACAATGTGCCAGCCTTCAGCACAATGATGGTACCATTTGCTTTCACTTTATGAATAACTACAGAGGATTTTCCCATTTTATGATGCATAGGAAACATGAAGATCCTCATTTTGACCACCAATCAATTTAACTGTTTTCCCCACAGCAAGTAAAGTATAATGGGTCGTAATATGTACCATGAACAATACTAAAGAAATAGTTCAACATTTTGAGAAATACACTTTTTCACTTTATGCTAAGCTAAGCTAGCCGACTCCTGGTTCTAGCTCTGTACATACTCCATATATATGAATGGTATTACCTCTGTAATCTAACCTTCAAAACAAAGCATATAGGCGTGTTAACTAAAATATTCCTTAAAACATAAATGGAGTCATTTATGTATTGGGTTAGCTGATAGCTCCTTTTTCATCTGCAGTCCCTTGGCAAGTCAAAGGTAAAACATGCACTGGGATGAAACAACACTTGAGAAGTACAAGACACATAATGTAAAAAATACACTATACATGACATACACATGCATTAAAGTGATGCTAGAATAATAATCTTCAAAAGACTCAATATCTGTTGCTTCTTTATGACTTTTTGTAATGTTAAGTTTCTTCTCTCAACAATGAGTGATGCAGAAAATGATGAATTCATTATATTTACAAGTATAGTAAATCTTAGAGTAACATACTAACATAATTGTTGTAATTCAACTATTTAATATACTGTAAAACCTCCTAGGCATTTATTTGGTCAGTCGCTGAGCTCCCCCTGCCTATGTTTGGGAAAGGCCTTTAATTCCTCTCCCACAGAACTATTTTTAAATGTTTTTTAAAACCAGCATGAATATAACTGTTACTTATTTAATTAATAACTAACTGTTGATCTACACTGAATTTTAAAAATTATAAACGCAACACTTTTGTTTTTGCCCTCAAAGATCTAAGACTTTCTCTATGTAAACAAGGCCAAGCTGGCCACAATAAAAGGCCACTCGAAAATGTGTTAAGTTTTATCAACATGGATACATTTTTTGGAAACATGTTTTGATTCTTTTGATGGACGGTGTACCCCTGCTTCAAATGTAGGGAGTCACCACTGTTTTCATTTTTCTTCTTTACCATGCTGGTAAATCAAATATACTTTAGTGCTCATGGTTGCCATAAAATGAACAATTAAATTATGGAGACTCTATTCAGTCTAATGATGTGTAGCATGTCCATTTTGAAACAAGTTTAAACATTTATCTGTATGCACAATCTATGCAGCTTAGAACTATCTCAAGCAGGTGATGTGGTGGGCTTTAGGAGGTTTTATACATCCAGAGAACTTCAATAGAAACCAGGTTTCATCTAAACCTGAGCTCAAAATTAAATGAAAAGGTTTTTTTTGCAATGCTGCTGTTGGTATCTGTTTCATAAAGAAACTCTTGAAATTCACACATGTTTAGATGTTCAGAATCCCAGACTGGTATGAAAGAGTGCTGGGAAGTCTTTGGACCACCCCTCACAGTCCGTGAGAGGTTTCCTATTGGCCGGGTAGGGCGTGAGGTGTCGGATGTCCCATGGAGCAGTGAAGGCAGCCAACTTCTCCCGAAGAAAAGTAGGGCTTCCCAGTGGGATTATAATCAGTAAAGGGACATTAAAACATCTATAGTTATCAGAGTGCGTAAACTGAGTTTCACATGAGTGCTTATTATGCAGAGCAAAGGTTCGAAAGAAGTTTTCCTTAAGTTCTGACAGGTTTGTGTAGCTCGGTGGTTTTCAGGGTGGTGTTCACTGGTTTGTTTTTGACACCACAAGTCACCAAAAACAGACAGTATGTCGCAGTCTGAACAGAAAGAAAACACGGAGCAGCCAAAGTTAAGCTCGGAAAATGAACACAGCGGGTTCTTGGTGAACCCGAGAGCGGTTTGTAACGCGTGTAAACGCTTGTACCGGGACCCTAAAATCCTCCCTTGTCTGCACACCTTCTGCTCCGACTGTGTCGGCCGGCTGGAGCCGTTCTCTGTGTCTTCGCGCAGAGGCGAAGAAGCGGTGCAAGAGGACCGACCCGCCGTCACCGTCACGGTGCTTTGCCCCGACTGTGACTCCGAGGTGGACATCCCTCCTTCGGGACCGGAAGGGCTGAGCACCGACCACCTGGCGCTGGACGAAGTATTCCTGGAGACCCTGGCGACGGACGGTCCGCTGTTCTGTTCTGTTCCTTTTCTCCGGTCAAGCTCAAGTGGTTAATTAGTATTTCCATTTCATGCAACTTTACCAACTTTGCCTACTTCTACTCCACTACATCTCATTATCAATATTTTTATTCCACTACATTGTTCTGAAAGCTCGAGTTACTTTTCAGACTATACCATTCCTAAATTCGAGGTTTTCTGATAAACTAAAGGAAACTAAAATGCTCCTTTGTGGGATCAGGAAATTATCCTTCTTCTTAAACGTAATAAACAAATTAAATTATGCTTGGATCAGATGGGTAATCCATCTTCACAAAGCAGAAAACAGGGCTGTTTATTTGCTTATTTGTTTTATTTTTGGTAACAGGAAACAATTGTCACATTATTGGTCAGGATATTTATACATTTAATGGCATTTCCGACGAGAGCATGTAATACTTATTTCGTCCACTTGGGGGAGCTCAGGTTACATGAGGAAAGCTTGGATTACATTAGATGAAGGAGTGTCTTGCTGAAAATAAAAATACTGCACAAGTAACTTCTTTTCATAGAGGCAAACGTAATCAGGTAACTAACGATTTAATTAAATGCTTTGAGTCTTTGGAGACTGCAGTCCTTTTTACATTGAAAGTTCAGTGTCTGGACCATGTCACACCTAGGTGAGACAAGGAGTATCCCTTTGATGTGGTGATAAAACAATGAATAAGGTCAGTTGCCACGGAAACATGTGTGGGGGGCCAGTTTTGATAGGCTGTTTAGGGAAATGCCAATGGCTGGTTCCTGTCCCTTTGTCAGTTTAACATTCAGGCCCCGCGTTATCAGCTTCGGAATCAAAAAAAGTGCCAGTTTTATGGTCGGGCTAGCACTTAGAGAAAGCAACTTTGACCCCTCCCCTTCTTCTCTGGGGAGGAGAAAGGAATTTAGGGTAGCTCCAAATTTATTCAATGTAAAATGCACAAATCCACACCATTGTTCACTACAACAGACTTTCTTAAACTCTCGCCTCCAAAACTGTTATCAAAAGTATACATGTTACTGTTAAAAACAGATCAGTTCAATCTCTCTCCCATTCTTAAAGTGAGAGACAGATCTATGCATTAGTTCAGACCAAAACGTTTGGATGCAGATATGTTTAAATACCTTTAGAATGACTACAAATCCCACGGTGATACCCAATGCCCAGCAGCCCCCTGCGAATCCCGCTTGCGAGGTCGGGCAAATGAGAGAGAGCAAGCGGAACAACACGACAGCGAAAGCCAGCGGAGAGAAACACCAGCAGCAAGTCCCAGCCCGGCAGCAAACGTGCCGCACAGGTCACGTGCACCCGCCAATAAACCCGCCATCCCCCCAACCGCCGGAAAAAACTAAGGCAGCCGGCGCCAGCCGACATCCCCCATGGCATTTGGGTCAGGGTCTTCCGCGTTTGCATCACGGTGCATCTGGGAATCTTTGTTTTTTTTTTTAAATTGATTTATTCTTTTTCTTTCTCCCACCCCTATTGGCTACTGGGGTTCTTGCCTGCCTGTTGCTGGGGTAAGTGTGGCACAGTCGTGGCGTCCCACTCTCACTAACAACTACATTCTTTAACAGGCTTATGCGCACACACATGTACACACACACATACAGACACATTCACCCACACACACACAGACACAATCAGTCTTACACATAGACACAAACAAATTTAGATTGTCCCTGGTAGAATTATTCCTGATGCTTTTCTTACAGTTACTTATTTAAATTAATTGTTATTATTCCGGCTCTCGTGGCTGTGCTGTGTTCCTTATTTAGTGTGCTGGACTGTTTCTTGTTTTAATTTTTCTCTTAGTTTGTCTTACTATGTCAACTGTTTATTGCTGCTGTTCGGCTGGTTGTCTTTTACTATTATTATTATTTTTATTGGGGTTTTTTGTTTGTGTTTGTTTGTTGTTGTTTTTCTCCTCCCCAAGCCCCCCTTTCTGTTCTATTGCAGGTTTCGTTGCTTTCTGCAATTGGTGTTTCCCACAGCTTTTCCCTGTTGTCCCCACCCTCCATTCCCCTTTCCCCCTTCTCATACAGGTCTTGTCCTTTCTCGGTGTCTGCCACCCTGTCCGGCCGGTGACAAATCAATACATAATTAAATAAATAATAAAAACAGACAACGGAGTATATTAATACTCTCTTGTTAAAGTAAAATCTGTCTGGCACAATATGGTATCCAGATCATCATTCTCTATACCAGGCCGCTGGGGAGGACAGGTTTAAAAAAAAAAAAAAAAGGTAATTACTGTATGGCAAAAACTACCAACCTGGTTTACCACAAACTTGTTGGAAGGGTGTAGCATGGGCGGGAACAACCCATTAAAATTTGAAGCAGATCCAAAGAAAATTATATATTTCCTTGTGAAGATTTTATCAAATAAAGAATGTTACAGCAAACCGTTGTCTTTGTTCTCTTCATTAAGAAATGTTATCCAAAGTGTTTTGTTAGGGAGAATATTATAGTGAGTGTGACGAAGATGAAAAATTTGTCAAGAAAAACTATTTTTCATATATTTCACTTTCCAGAATATCCCCTATTCACACTAAATACAAAAAACAAAAGTAGCTATAGTAAATTAAAACAAATGCCTCCAGACAACAAATGAAGCTTAGCTAATTTTAATCAGGAAGATGGATGACAACAATCTGCATGCTTATACTATTTATTATTTACTCAGCCTCTCTGTCTATACCCACTTTTAACCCCGCTTACTGAGGTTTTTGAAGATTTTGCAACAACCTTTGTGAGCCAGTCGTCTCAGTGTCCGATTGATGCAACCCTCTTCCAGCCCATTCACCTCTGGCCTTCATCACAACCAGTCTTACCAGTTGGGTCTTCGAGTGAGCCAGTCAGATGTCCCACTCCATATCTCAACCATCCAGATCTTCAGCCATTGTTCTTCATCCCTTCTATTCCACCACTGTTGTCTAGCCTCCATTGGCGGGATATTCCTGTTTTACTGTATGGTATTACCCCCTTAACGTAATATATCACAATTGGGTCGAATCGAATCGCCTTCACTTTCTTCAACCTTCCCATTGTGTACTGTGCCAATAGTATTCATTTTATTATTCTTTAAGCATATCTGCAATTGAGTCTCTCCTGATTTAAATGTATGTGAATTAGGAACTATTTAGAGGTAACAATATTTGATAATTAAAAGAAAATGTAAATCAACCTAAACACTTACTGGCCATTCAAACATCTGTATTTTTTCACAGCATTTTTCATCAACAGAACAAATGTTTTTTAGTATGATGCATCACCTACATGTTTCTGCTGTGATGCTGACACAGGCAGGACTTTATCATTGCTGACTGATGAATCACTTCCTTTTATTGGCCACAAACTTTCACTTACCTGCCAAACTTTAAACTGCTTTAGCTTATGTATTCTTCTGTTGCCATGAGTTCTTTGTTCAGTTGAAACATTAGTTTTGCTATGTTAAATATGATAAAGAATTATTAAAATTTAGAAAAAAAAACAAAACACATTATAGTTCCACAAAAATATTTTTTACCAATGCAGAGTAGTTGCATAGGACCAGAAGAAGATAAGATTCTGTCAAAAATGTATAACACAATTCAGGAATCAGTAGAGTGAAAATTACGTTATTCCTCTATCATTTTTAGCTCCCGTTTCAAGTGAGACGACAGGCGAGTATTGCACTGTCAACATCTGTTTTTAGCATCTTTAAGGCAGGATTTCCTGATCAGCTAAAGTAAAAAAAAAATAAAAATGAACCCAATCCTGTAGAGTAACTTGTGCTGCAGAGCCGACCCTCCACAAAGCACTGAGCATTCTTAGGAGCGATGGAGGAAATCTATATAAATGTTGAATATGACAAATCTGTTGACTCAACACCATCACAAAATCAGACAGGTAAGAATTATTTGTCAGACAAAGAGGCTGGCAGACTGAGCTTTATTATTATTATTATTATTGTATCCTTGACTGTATTGTCTGTGTTGAGGTCTGAGGAGCTCAGAGAGGAGATTTCATGGAGCTGTTGTTCTCTGTCTGGGGCTGCTAAGTGTCTTCCTGCTGGCTAGGCTCATCGGCCTCGCTGTCCTCTGTGAGTTTGGTTGACATTCAGAAGTTTAAGTTTTTTATTAATGTGTTTATCTGGCTAATTTCCTCTAATCTGTGTCTTCACTTCTTGCCTTTCATAACAGTCCCGTTGAATACTTCATAAAAAGTTCCACATTTTGTGTTGGTTCTTTAAACAGTGTTTCAATACAGGTGCTGATTGTCTTTGTCATGTTTTTTCTACTTTGGATATCTACGTCAATTTCTTACTACAGTAATAACAAAAAAAACATTCTCCTGTGTATTTGTACAGTAGCCTACTTAAAAACTTTAACTTTGCATGTAAAGCAGTACCCCTCACAGAAATATGCCACAAGTTGTGCCTTTTTAGAGAACAGGGTCTTAACTTACTTATTGGTTTGAAAAATACAATCAAATAATTATTGTGGCATTTCCTTTAGCTCCATTATGCACATTTTGCTTTTCCTTATACTATATGCCATTTTTGTTATGATTAAATATTATTGTACCTGTTCTAAGAAAAGAAAGCAGGGTCAAGGACTACATATTATGTACTGAATTTGGTTGCTTTGGGTCAGACTGCAAGGCTGTTTTCATGATGATGCCTGTCCCTCAGCCAGCCTCAAGTAGCTGGATACAAAAAGTTTTTTTTGCTCTAAAACATTTGCTCAACATACGCAGAAATCTTTAGATGGTTGCTTCAAAATGAATCTATAAGCTATAATTATGGTTAGTGAAAAATTTTGAATGATTCAAATGGTATTTGACGTAATAAACATAAATTTGAAGTATTTTGATTTATTTCAGACCATCACTCAGCCGCAGATTTCTCCACTATCAATACCAACCTGACGGAGCGTCTCCAGGCCAGTAATAACAAGCTTTCCTCCATGTCTGAAGAGAGAGAGCTGCTGAATGCCAGCCTCATTGAAACGACTAAAGAGCTGAACAGGCTTCAGAGTTTGGCCAGACAGAGTGAGTGACGCCTCTTGCTACTGCACACCAGTGTTGGCCAAGTTACTCGGGAACTGTAATAAGTTGCTTGGCGATGGTACAGTGGATAACACACATGCTTTTGGTGTGAGAGACCCGGGTTCATTTCCCACTGTGAGCCATCCACCATTAGACACTTAACCCATCGTTGCTCCAGTGGTGTGCGACCTCTGACATATATAGCAATTGTAAGCCGCTTTGGATAAAAGCATCAGATGAATAAATGTAATATTGTTAACTTATTACTCCTTCTAAAAGTAATAGTATTAGATAACTTATTACTTACTGGGTTTAAAAGTAATTACTTACGTTACTCGTTACATTACTATATTACTTTCACTACAAAAAATAAAGCATGTAACTCTTGACTTTTGAGCCAATGTTTTTCTGCACATGCCATAATAAGAGCAGTATCCAATGTTTTTATCTTTCACAATCTGAAGTGGTTTGTAATCACTGTGAAGCGAATGTCAATCTGAATTCAGAGGGAATTCAGTGAAAATAATAGATATTTTCAAGGGCTGTATTTTTGAATTCTTATTTATTTATAATCAATTATTTTGAAATCTGCTGTGACACAATGTTAACGTAATGCCTTAAATAACGCATCACAAAACACAGCGGGGGCTGGCTTGACTTTCGTTTTTGAAGTGAGGCTTGGTTGACCGCAGTCAATGCTTGAGATACCTGCGCAACCTTGACATATTAATCTTAATGCCATCCACAGTAAGTAATATTAATATTTCCCAGTGTCTCATACCAACAAGGAAATAAAAACATCCATCCATCGTCAACCGCTTATCCTGCGTACAGGGTCGTGGGGGGCTGGAGCCAATCCCAGCTGACATCGGGCGAAAGGCGGGGTACACCCTGGACAGGTCGCCAGTCCATCGCAGGGAAATAAAAACATATTAAATCCAATAGTGCAACATTGTCCACTTGAAGTAACTGCATCTCCCGACGGAACACCACTGTTAAATTTCGGCGTTATGTAACATAACTGGTTGATGTCAACTTGAGTAGGGGAGACAGTACCCTCACTTACTCCAGCCATATCAATAAAAAACATCTCCAGACTATGCCCTGCTCTAACTCAACACTCAGCGGAAGTCCTAGTAAATGCCTCGGTCACATCACGTATTGCAATGCAATATTAGCAGGCATTCCTTACAAACTTATTCACCGACTGCAACTCATCCAAAATGCTGCGGCAAGGATTATAACATGCCAAGTCCACAGAACATACCACTCCTCTGCTGATCCAACTACACTGGCTTCCTGTATCACAAAGGATTAACTTTAAAGTATTATTACTAACATTAAAAGCCCTCCGCAATCTGTCTGCTACTTATCTTACCGACCTCATTCAGACCTACACTCCATTTCGTTCCCTGCAGTCTTCCACACCAAGTCTTTTGGCACTAACAACCATCAACCTCAGTACAATGGGTGCTAGGGCCTTCTCCTATGCTTCACCCAAAAGTCATCTTTCAAACAACTGCTCACACCTAAGGGAAATTTTAGAGACACCAATAAACCTAGCCTGCATTTCTTTGGATGGCGGGAGGAAGCTGGGCAAACCAAGGTTTGAACCCGCAACCTTCTAGCTGTGAGGCCTCAGCACTATCCACCAGACCACCATTGATTCCACTCTTTGTCCTTCACAGAAATAAATCTATTTTAAATGGGGGAGTGCTGAGAATGAATTTAGGAGTCTTGGCCTGGGGGAAGAAGCTGCTGTGGTAGGATAGCAGATTTACTATAAATTGGTCTGATCACAAAACAAAATGTAAATTCAGCGTGTGGGGCTGCATGAATAAGACATTTTTCCGCAAAGCCACAAGTGTGAAGCTCATGGTGATGTGAGATCAAAAGTCACTGAAGTCATTAGGATTCATTGTCTGGGGATCATCAAAGTCTGTACAAACTTTAATGGTAATTAATTAATAATTGGAGAGACATTTTAGTCTGGACCAAAGTTTATGTTGTGTGTTTACAGATAAATCGTGTCCTGCTGGATGGAGGATGTTCTTGTGTTCCTTTTATCTGCTCTCCAATAAGTCTGGTTTGTGGACAAAAGGCAGACAGGACTGCAGAAACAGAGGAGCAGATCTGGTTGTCATAGACAGTGCTGAAGAACAGGTACAGTGTGTTTTTTTTAACTCATTCTATTTATGTTCAACACCTTCACAGTAACCATTCAAACTCCTTAAAGCCCCCCTCCAGCCAGTTTTAACTGCCATTTTTGGTGAAGGTTCTTTCTCAAACAGAGAATGGGGATGTGGTTAATAGTCATACGTAATCAATTACCATGTCAACCAAAAACTGGCGGCTGGAGCGCTAACGATTAGTGATGTACGATACTTCTTACGATTACCGCTAACGATTAGTGATGTACGACACCACGTTTCTGTATTTATGAGAGAAATAAGGAGTAGGCTGTGGCCTTACCAATTCCAAATAATAGCTGCATAATGACAAGACATCAAATTACTGTCATATTCTTTAATTATAATGAAAATCTCCTGCTCAGAACTGCCGCTTCATACATCATCATATTATTTTGACTTAATGTCAGATGTTTAGCGAAGTTTGCAGTGTTGCTAAAGTCTTTGCACACACATCACATACAGCGTCATTATTATCTTCACAGCTAAAAAACATCCAGACCTGTCGGCCATAGTCAGTATTCAATCGCGGGAAATGTAAAGTGCTGCAGCGGAATCTGAGTTATTTCTGTTTATGTAGGCTATAAGAAACACAACATTGTATGTACATCACCACTACTTATAACACACTGACAATACTATTTTCATCAGCTTTAGCTTTAGGTATTGTGTCCCTGTTACCAAGCATACCATACAGTTTACAGGCAGGTTGCTGGGCCTAAGGCAGGCACATTATGAAGTCCTTTGCTTTATGTGTTGTGTCCTGAAGAATGGGGTACACATTTTATACATCCTCATTAGGTTGACAATAAAATTAATCACACTTTATGCGGTTGCAATCATACTGAACAGATGCATATTGCATTAATGGTTAAACATGTTTTATATAAAATTACAAATAAATAACATTTACTGGCTCTACACGAAAATACACACAAACCATTCTTATAACTGAGTACAGTGACAAAACAAAATACTTTATTGCAATGTTAACAACAACAAAAGTCACTCCCCAAGCGTTGGCTGACATATTTGTTTACCAGATTTCATCTAAATCTCTCTTTTAGAGATATTTTTTAGATATCTTACCAATAGACAAATTTGACTGAGTATATCTTTGGCCGAGGGTAATATTAATCGTAGGACTGATCTGGCTAATGCGTTCATTAATAAAGATCTTAACCTGAAAATCGCGAACCAAGACTTCTGTGCTGGTTTCACATTTATGTCCTGTATTAAACCGTTAACCAACAAAGGCCGACTGCCTCATCCATCCATGGGGATCTTTTGGCCAATCTGCGAAGTGGGGCAGGTGCAGTTGACTCCATGAGGGCTGATGCGTATGCTGGGGAAAGGAAAAACATGGTTGTAAAATATAACACACCATCACAGCAACCAATCAGCTTCCATCGCGGTTGAATTGCAGAACTACTGAGAGAAACCTGTGGAAAAGGTAAATCATGCAGTTCACAAGTTGTACATGTGTGAAAAAACACATAAGCACAGAATATCCATGTACATTAGATGCTAGTTTCTGTTAATAAGGTACATCAAGTTAAAACTGTTGCAGTCCAGTAAAACATCCCTGCAATAAATTATATCTTCATGAAGCTAGTAACATTTTTTGTAATTTTTAAAATGTCTTGTTCATGCGTTTTTACTCTTAATCTCCAAAATGGCTGCTTCAAAACAAATTTTAGTATGATGCTTTACATACATACAGATGTTTAATAATGGCTGGCCTCCACAGATTCAGGTCCTTCCTTTCTGTAAAGAAGAAAATGTAATTATAACAAAAGCCAAACTAAACGTAAAACCATCAGCCCTGCCATAAGATCGACCTTTACAAAGTTTAAAATTCAATTTCAATTCAATTCAATTTTATTTATATAGCGCCAAATCACAACAACAGTTATCTCACAGCGCTTTTCATAAAAGAGCAGGTCTAGACCGTACTCTGTGATGTTATTTACAGAAGCCCAACAGTTCCCACCAAGAGCAAGCACTAGGCGACAGAGGCAAGGAAAAACTTCCTTTTAAGAGGCAGAAACCTCGAGCAGAACCATGGCTCAGGGTGGGCGGCCATCTGCCTCGACCGGTTGGGGTGAGAGAGAGAGAGAGAGAGAGAGATGTAAGGAGAGAGAGATGTAAGGAGAGAGAGAGGGGAGGGAGGCAGCCTACACAATATACACACAGAGGTACACACAGTGAAGGTAATGTTGCTATAGACTAAATGAAAAATGGTACAGATATTTATAATAGTGTTAATGGTAACCGTCGTAATGTTAATGATTATAATAACAATAATAACAATAAGACTAGCAACAATAGTCGTAGCAGCAGAGGGTGTCGAGCAGGAACACGGGGGCAGCAGGTGACCCGCAGCCACAGCTCCAGACTCCACAGCTCCAGAGCCAGAAAACCTGCAGGAAGTGATAGGAGAGAGGAGAGGGACGAGAAAGCACAAGACTACCAGAAAGGGGAGACGTTGTGTTAGTAACATGCAATAATGGGATAAGGTTGCATACAGAGGGAGAGAAAGTAGAGGAGAGAGGAGCTCAGTGCATCATGGGAAATCCCCCGGCAGTCTAGGCCTATAGCAGCATAACTAAGGGATGGTTCAGGACTACCTGAGCCAGCCCTAACTATAAGCTTTATCAAAGAGGAAAGTCTTAAGCCTACTCTTAAATGTGGAGATGGTGTCTGCCTCCTGAACCCAAACTGGAACCTGGTTCCACAGGAGAGGAGCTTGATAGCTGAACGCTCTGGCTCCTAGTCTACTTTTGGAGACTCTAGGAACCACAAGTAACCCTGCATTCTGTGAGCGCAGTGCTCTGGTGGGGTAGTAAGGTACTATGAGCTCTTTAAGATAAGATGGTGCCTGACCATTAAGAGCTTTGTAGGTAAGAAGAATGATTTTAAATTCTATTCTGGATTTTACTGGAAGCCAATGCAAAGAAGCTAAATAAAATGCTCCTTCTCTGCTGATATTCAGTCTGAGATGGGTTAAATAATGTATTTGTATAATGTGTCTTCTGAAGTTTCAGTACGCTGAGTGCTCAGGACCTCCATATTAATGAGCTTATAGTTGACAAAAACAAGCAGAGGAGCCACACTTGTGGTGCCAATGCTCATTATTGAGAATTTACCAAACGTTTTAATACATTATGTAAGTTTTCATCATCAAGGTAGCTATGACTTATGATTGTGCAGCTGCTCTTGTCACTTCTTTGCCTCTTGCTTGGCCAAAGCCATGAGTGCTCCCTTTATAAAACCGGGGTTACGTACTGTAACCTGGATTCTATGAGTATAGGCGCAGTCCTCTAAGGCTATCGCTATTGGGTTTACCCCTTCCGTGCGCCTGCACGGTACTGAGAATTTTAGTCTACGCCCACCCACAGCGTGGGCCTGTCCTACGTCCACACCTTGTGTATATACAACGGTGAGACCCAGCCGTCGGCTCCCAAATGCCTTTTCTTCAGCACTGAGAACCAAGGTCCAGTGAGGCCTTCAACTTAGAGGGCTGCGGCCCTCTGAGGCTATTGCTATTGGGTTAGAAGCGAAGCAGGATGAGTCCACGCCTCACTGGCCCATACGGTACCACCAAGCACAACTCACCTGCCCAGAGCCATAATGAGCCACCCAGTCGCCCGCTGACCACGGCGTTGGTCTCGGCGTGCATGCTAGCACGTTGGCGCGGCATGGGAGGCCGAGGGCCGACCCATGCGTAAGTCGGTAAACTGAGTGGGGGGCCCTGCAGCCGTACAGACACAGGCGGGGTCACGACAGCAACCGTATCAGCTTCGCACAAGGTCGGGCCACGTAAGCAGCGGCCGCCCCCACACACCGTCCGGTGGTAGAGGGCGCACCGCACACTCACAAGGAGAATCACTCAGCCAAAACACTCAGGAGGACAGGAGGCCGCCGTGCAGATGTCATCCACTGTCATCCCACCGTGCAACACCACTGAGGAGGAGACGCCTCTTGTGGAGTGCGCTCTGATGCCATCTGGGGGAAATTCACCGGCAGACACGTAAGCCTGGGAAATGACATTGCACAGCCAGTGAGACAGGCACAGCACCGACAGGGGAAGTCCCTTGGACCACTCCCTGTAGTGCACAAACAGACGCTGCGCACGGTGCCACATAGCAGGACAGCGCTCGCACCGGGCAGAGGAGGTGGGACGTGGCGTCCTCCTACCGACCCATGGGGGGGAGGAAAAGAACCCAAGAGGGTGATGACCCGCGACCGAAAGGAGTGCTTTTAGGCATGAACGTCAGGTTAGGGCGCAGAACAGCCAAGCTGCCGCCGCCCTGAATTTGGAGACACGACGTAGCCAAATCGCTGACCCTCTTGGCCAATGTCAGAGCCAGGAGCAAGGCGACCTTAGCCGAAAGGAATCTCAGGTCCGCCGTCTCCGAAGCCCCAAACGGGGCTTGGGTTAAGGCGCGTAAACAGTGGCCACTGTGGGGCAACAGGCCACGTCACTGGCCTGCGCCTCTGCACCCCCCTAAGGAAATGTTTCACCAGGGTGGGAGAACACAGTCCTGTCCCCAAATCCCTCGTGACAGGATGAAATGGTGGCAGTGTAGGTTTTAACCGTACTGAACACCAGTCCATGAGCAACTGGAGGAACAAAAGCACCGCCGACAGCGGACAGGCGACCGGGTCCGTCCCCTGGTCCAGACACCAGCGTTGGAAAGCTGACCACTTAGAGGAGTATGAGGACTGAGTGGAGGCGGCCCTTGACCCCTGGATGGTGCAAACCACCTCCCAAGAAAGACCTAAGCCCTCCAGTCATCACCTCTCAGCGGCAAGACCCGTAGAGGCTGGCCGAGGAGCGGGTGACTCCTAATCGCACCCCCTGCCTGAGAGAGAGCGCCCCCCCCTCCAGGGAGGTTCCACGGCTGCCCCGCCAGCAACCGCTAGAGACAGGGAAACCAGGACGCGTTGGTGTGCTCCGGGGTCACCAGAGTCACCGGCAAGGTTGAAAACTGCAGGCAATCCAGAAGGCGCGGGACCAGGCGCACTGGCGGAAAAGCATACAGCAGCCGGGGAGGCTAAAGGGGGTGCATGAAGGCGCCGAGCGCACCCCGCCCTGGCGGTTTATGTAGGCCACCGCGGCCCTGTAGTCGGTGCAGACCAGGGCGTCTGTGAAGAACGAGATATGGGATGTGACCCTGTCCAGGGGAACCGGGGGGTGTCGTGTGTAATGTGTGTAGCGGCGATAAGATAACACCACACGCAGGGTGGCGTGTATTGTTATCCTGTCTGCATGAAGCATAATGACCGCTTCAAGGGCTTATTTGACACAGCCTGGCTTCTGTGAACCAAGGGGGAACCTCTGGACGCACAGAAGGACCGTGCCATTGATGCTGAGCTTGCAGCTGGCACTGCCGGGGGAAACGTGCATAATGTCAACAGCATCACACACTGCCCGGCAGATTTCTTCGTCAGAAAAATATCTGTACAAGGTGTGTATTTGTTCTGTCCACACGAAGCGAATGTCCGCTGTCGTGGGCTCATACAGTTTCTGTGGGGAGGGGTGTGTGAAGGGACCTTTGATCGTGAACAGAGTGTACTGCTTGTTGCTTTGAGCTTCAAGCTGCAGATTAGCCACTTGGCTACGGCATCTGGCTCACACTGTGTGGGAAGTGTGTGCTTGGTGTGGCTGGTTCAACTGAGACAGGCACAGACAGCATTTGTTCAACAACTTCCACAAAAAGGAGCAACAAGATTTCACACAGCTTTTTTCGACTCATAGCTTACCAGTGGTCCGCTCTGACCGCCAGCAGCAATGAAACCGGTTGCTAAATTTCATTAGCCGCAGCTAATGTGGAGCAACGTGGGCACACGGGGTCTCCCTGGTCAGCTGATCCAGGCAGACCGCATGTGAGCGTCACATTAGTATCCGTTACCTCAACGTTAGCTCCCTGTTAGCTTACCTCGCCGCGGTAACGTAGTAGCATTGAGGCACACTAAATCAAGTAACTAAACTAAAAAAAAGGAAGACTCTGTTAGCTAACTTTCTGCAATAACTATGCTAGCTAACTACACCTGGCTAACTACAACTTAGTTAACTTAGCTAACTAAACTAGAAAGACAAACCAACCATCAGACACACAGACACAAAGAGACATTACCTACTGTAAGTTCTAAGTAAATTAGCCTACATGATAAATTGGTTAGCTAGCTCACAACGATGTTTATCGGTTTGATGCTCTGACTTAACGAGGCGTGAAGGCGTGACAGTTTTTTAACAAGGCATGACAGTGCTCCTTCGCAAACGTGGAGAATGACTTATGACTTATGGAATTTCTATAGCCATACGTCACCACCCCGTTTTAACAACTAAGCAACTTTTGCAACTTTGAGCACAAAATTAAGCTATTTGGCAAACAATATTTGGCAAATAGCATTGGCATGTGGGTAATCAACATTGTAAGGAAATATATAATATGAAATATCATTGAAATGTCAAAATATAGTATTCTTTGATATACAAATGTGCCATGAAGCCAAAGATCTTTGTATCAGTTAAAAACTGTCCCAGATCTACTGTCAGTCAACAGCAAAATTTCTGGCTCTAGGCATTTTTTATGATTTCATGAACAATTTAATGAAATGCCTTATTTCCTGATTCCTTATAGGTATAGCCTTAAAATAAGTAGACTGTACATATTGACCATAATAACAGTGATGTAATAAGTAAATGAGGTCAAATTATATTAAAAAGTCAAAAATGAGAAAGCTCTGACATATGTTCCAGTTATCTGAGATCTCTACCACAAGTTATTGTAAGTGTAGCAGACCTAAATTTATTAGTTATGCAGTTTATGAGAATTGATACCCAATTATGAATTAAAATTCATAAAATCAAAATTTAATTTAATTCCTCGTTTTAGGGCACCACCGGAGTTGTTATAATCCTAGAGTCTCCGGACCTCTAGGTAGTTTTGAATAATTATACAATTATTACTAGTGATCAGTTAGTTAATAATCGCTCAATTATCTTAAATCAGTCAGTCAGTCTCATATCTAAAGGGTCAATTCTCTTGGCAGGAACTATAAATAGGCAACACACACAGCTCTTGATTATTTTACAGTGAATTTATTCTCTAACTAAGGTGATAAAAAGACGGTTGGATACAGGGAACATAAACATTTGCTGAACAATGAGCCTGGAGGTTCGGTTGTGGGAAGCATTTGACTCATACGGCATAGAAGAGCTAATGAAAGTAAACTAATGCTATAATTTAGGAGTTAAAATGGACATCTGATCACAGAACATGTGTTAAGTTTTACTGCTTGTTGACAGCCTGCTTTTGGCCTGTTGCACGGGTCCCACGCTAGCTGCCCGATCCTGGCTTTCTGCTAGGGATTCTCCAGGGTTCTCCGTGTCTGATTGAAAACGCCTCCTCCGTCTGGCAATTTGGCTGTTTGCAGGTTTCCTTCGTTGTAGCTGGCAACACCACGTGGCTTGGTCTGACCTCGGTGAAGTTGGCTCGACGAAAAAGGCTTAAAATGGAACTTGGTCGTTCCTGAATTAGTCCAGTGTAATTTAACGGACTGATAACTTTAACAAACAAAAGAAATGAAGAAAATAAAACAAACTGAAGGCAGATCGATGTCGCGGCACTTCAGGTGTGTAGCTTCAGGCGAACAAAAGGGCCTGTTTGTTTCGCTGGCCGAGTCTGGGCGTTGCCTGGCGAGGCACGCAGCGCGTGCCGAAGCGTCCAGAGGGCCGAGCAGGGTGGAAGAGCCAACAGCGAAGAGAAGAGAGAGCGAGAGCGTGTCGCTCTTTTGTTGCCTGGGCGTGGTTCCCCAGGGGGCGTCTCAGGTTTCCCAAGGGACTGCCTTTCTAAACTTAATGTCTAAAGAAAAGAAATCTATTTGCACGTATTATAATCAAATATTTTCCACAATCGAACCTCAATGGTTGAACGGTTGTACTGTTCTAGGCATTTGGTAACAGGAAACAATTGTCACATTATTGGTCAGGATATTTATACATTTAGCGGCATTTCCGACGAGGACATGTAATACTTATTTCGTCCATATGGGGGAGCTCAGGTTACATGAGGACAGCTTGGATTAAATCAAAGATCGTCTCTCCTTAGGAACCGGGGAATTTGTTGATTCATCCTTAAATTCAAGTTGGCGATTAAGAGTATAGTAAAACATTCCTTTGTCATCATTTCTAAAGGGATTTTGTAAGAAAGTATTATGAACAAGCATTGATTACATTAGATGAAGGAGTGTCTTGCTGAAAATAAAAACACTGCACAAGTAACTTTCTTTTCAGCACTAATATCAACAACAGATAGCAACAACAGTTAACATAACTACTCAACTAGAGGCAAACGTAATCAGGTAACTAACGATTTAATTAAATGCTTTGAGTCTTTGGAGACTGCAGTCCTTTGTCATCCAAAGTTCAGTGTCTGGACCATGTCACACTTGGGTGAGACAGGGGTTTTCCTTTTTGATGTGGTAATAAAACAAAGAATAAGGTCAGTTGCCACGGAAACGTGTGTGGGGGGGCCAGTTTTGATAGGCTGTTCAGGGAGATGCCAATGGCTGGTTCGTGTCCCTTTGTCAGTTTAACAGTCAGGCCCCGCGTTATCAGCTTCGGAATCAAAAAGGTGCCAGTTTTATGGTCGGGATAGCACTTAGAGAAAGCAACTTTGACCCCTCCCTTCTTCTCTGGGGAGGAGAAAGGAATTTAGAGTAGCTCCAAATTTATTCAATATAAAATGCACAAATCCACACCGTTGTTCACTACATAAGCATATTTTAAATTGAAATTTTCTGTGTTCCAGAATTAAATTTGCGCAGTTGTTCCATTTGAATGATAAAAAGTGTTGTGTTTTTGGAAAATCTGGCATTTTAGAAGCATTACAACTTGTTGGTTTATGAAGTTGCTGTAAATTTTTCAATGGATTCTTGACAAATTCTTGTAAACTGCACATATAATGTTCATAAATACACACTGTGGCTTTTTCTTTTGTATTGAAACAGACATTCCTCTCTGACTTCATCTGCTTAGAAACTTGGATTGGTTTGACTGACGTGGTGGAGGGGAGCTGGAAATGGATTGATGGAACTAAACTGACTCTAAGGTTAGGTTTAAATGTTTACAATTCCTGTATGTTAGGTGTGAGCAATATTATAATATTAAACGTACTACAGATGAAGCAGACTCAATTTAATACTTAGGCCTCTACATGACAGTTAATAGTAGTTATTCCATTAGAAGGAAGCAGGAGGAGTTTTATTTTTGACGTTATATTTTGTGCTTACGCCTGATACAGGGACAGGATCAGTGAATAGGCTTAGGGATAGTGATAGAGCACAGGCATAAACACGAGTCGGTCATTGAACAGTCGGACAGAATTGGTTTCAACTGATCCTGAATTCTTCCTAGACAGACGTGTCTATTTGATGTGTCTATTTTAAATGGCTATGTACAGTCCATGGAGGTCACAGTGAACATAAGTGTAATACAGCTGGCTCAAAACTGGAAGCAACTGGATTTGCTACCAAGCTACATCTAGCTGTTTGCTTGTTATAGAGAGCCTAAGTCACTCCCCTTCCGGTGGACCACCTCGGGACCTTATTTCGGAAAAATATTGTACGGTAGTCAATGGCAGGAGACAACAAATATTTTGATCCCGTTTGAATTGTGCCCTGAATAACACATATGATCTTTGTTAATTGAAAATATTTGAAATTTAAGGAGGTCAAAGCTTGATGTAAAACTGTTGAGATATAAGACTGGAAAATACGTAATTAAAAAGATCACAAACCCAAAAGTCAATGACTGAAGCTAACGTTACTGAAGCTAACATAAAAACACTTACATGAGAGGATGATGTGATAGAAGAGCCAGGAGTTGTTGGATTAAACACATTAGGTGAGATATATTTCTGCGTGGAACACAGCTACATTATCTAGCTAGTAGCAAGAAAGCAATGAATGTTAGCTAGCTTTACCGTGCATGTTGGTGACGTATACTGTGCGAGACGAGAGATGTAGTTCATTAAGCGGTTTCACAAAAAATGACATGTAACTTTACTGTTTTACAACAAAATGCGACTTTCTTGACTTGCAAAATTATATTTTAAATTGACCAACGTCATATGTGTAATTCAGGGTTCAATTCTAACGGGATAAAAAGATAAGTTGTGTCTCGCCATTAACAACCATACATATTTTTGACAAAATAAGGTCCCATGAGCCGGAAGCGGAAGTGAATGACTTAGGCTCTCAATTATGAAGACATAACATTACTTTAGCTTTCATAACAAAATTACTAACATTATTACTAAGCAACCAAATCTGTTAGGTGTAGGTTTCCATGTCACCTGGGTGTTTAAACGGAATTTTAATGAGACCTATTATGCTTTTCCACATTTTATGACTTACCAAAAATGTTACAATGTTGGATATTCATGTTAAACATGGCCAAAGCTTCAAAAAATGAGGTTAAAGTATTTTTAAAAAATCCCTGTGAGCAAAAACCTCAGATTTCCTCCTGTTCTGAACGCTCTGTTTTGAACTGCTTTTTCTACGAAGAGCTCCGTTCTAAGTAATACTGAGCCAGAAGAAGCTGGTGTTCCATAATTGGGCATAGCAATGGCCCAGCAACGGCTCAGTCTGCCTGTTCTGCCCAGCAAACGCCTGGTAACATGCTTCAGGTCTTTGCCAATCAGAAGACAGTGGGCTTTGAGAGGGGGGGCCTTAAACATACCCCCAGCATGCAACTTGTATCACACAGAGGCTGAAATGAAGCCCTACATGAAGAGTCAGTATAAGAAAATAAAATATTTGTTGAACTGTGAAGCCATCCTGCAAACTATGGAGGACCGACCCTGACACAGTCAGAAATAAATACATAAATAAATAAATGCTCAATAAATAAATAAGCATCCAATTAAATACACAAAAATAAAGTAAATAAATAAATGTAGGTAGTAATTAAATTATACAAGGAGACATAAATGTATATATTTTAATTAATGCCTTTACTTATTCACCTTTGTAATAATTACCGTATGTATTTATTCTCCGTTATAATCTTCAACTTTTATTTATTTATTTATTAATTACTTATTTTTTAAATGTATTTATTTATGTGTGTGTTTTAATATTTTTCTCTGTTTTATTCTTCCTTTGTATTTTTTTACCTTATTTATTTTCACCCATGGTATTTATTTCTGCCTGTCCTTTTTACATTTCTGTATGCATTTCTGCCTCATTATGCAAATGAGGAGGGGCTGTGTCTCAAGGGGTCATCTTCTCTCCTATTGGTGGACCAGTCAGACGGGAGAGCTCTAGGCCTACTCTGCCTGCACACATCAACGAGCTGCTCCTCACACAGTCAGATGGCTTCCTTCAGTGCGCTCAGGTGTTTAGCAACTCTGTTCATGTGGACACTGTGACCTACAGAGTTTTCAATTAGGGACTTACACAGAACTGCAGGAAAGTGAGCTGTTGTTTCTGAGAGCCACATCAATTAGCTGCAGCTAAATCTGGAGTGCACTCCTATTCGAGTATTTATGGTAAATGCTCCCACAAGGAGCAACTCGTTGCTCTGCTGTTTTCAGCTGCTATTTCAACAAAAACGCCATTCAGGGTGAAAGTTCAACCGTGGTGTTGTGTCGGGAGATGCAGTGACTTCACCAGCGGTGAGTATTATGAATAATACATGTAATCTGTTAAGCTATGAGGAGAGTGAAAGTCTGTTAGCCGCTAGGCTAATTTATGTAGTGCTAACATTATTTAGGCTAAAGCTCTTAAGCTAGTGGTGGTGACTAACAAATAAACTAATCTTAACAGAATTTTATGCTTCTGTTAAATGTGATTGCTATTAAGCCGTGTTTTATGTGTGGTGGTGAAGTCAATTTAAAGTTAACTTTACTGCACTTAACCAGTCGAAATGATTTAATGAAGGCTAACCTTAGTTACTGTACTTCTATGTCTCACACAGAAAACACAGGAGGAGGCATGCGGAGAACATAACCATGTTCGTCAGAGGAAAAGAAGAAGGAGGAGAAGGAGAGCAACAAATAACCCCCAAACAATAAAATAAATTCCTTTTATATTTCCCTGCCTTGTTGTTTATGTGTACATACAGAGGAAGAATGAGAGAACAGCACACATTTCATCGTTACTGTGTGTTAGCAGAGCAAGGGAGAACAGTGGATACTTTTAATACAGCCCACACCCCTAATACTGTGTAACTGTAACAAGTTAAGAACAGAAGAAAAAGATGTTCATTCTTTACAACTGTCTGCATAGCTTATTCATCTTGTGTAATGAATGAAAATAAATAGGCCTACTAGGCTCCTCTCTACTTTGACATTTAAGATTAGTTTGTTTGATCCACCTTCATACACATGTGACATTACTGTACAACTTGAGAAAGGTGAGTTGTTTTCTGCTCCAGCCTGCCTAAAAGAAAAGTGTTTTGGGGATTAAATGGACTTATTATGTGCTGCAGTGCAGGAAGAACTCAGAACAGACCCATTTCTCACCTTATTCTAAATCATGCAATGAAGAAGAAGAAATACGTAATTAATCCTGGGACATTTTTATGTTATTTTACTTTTAATAGACGTATGTAGCAGGTTTTATACTTCCTGTGAGTATAATCCAATCAATCTTATTTTCATACTGTATATCCGTTGTGTAATTTGATAAATTGTGTTGTATGTGGTGCTCGCATCTTGTACTACTGAGACTTCATTGCCCTCTTCAGAGAAGACTCAGACTGCAACATGCAGAGAGAAACAGACAGAAAAAGTCTCTAACTCTGCCTGTCAGCTCGCTCTGCTCCGTTAAAACTGAATTTACCATACAGAATTGAATATGAGTGCACTCCAGATTTAGCTGCAGCGAGCTGACCGTGTGCTTCTCCCTATACCGCAGTTCTGTGTCCATGCATGCAGCAAACTGAAAGCACTGTCTGTCGGAGCGTCTACATGAAAAGAGAAGGAAGACATGGCTGGTAGTATTGTCTTCAGAGTTGCTAAACACCTCATTTGTATAATGAGGCAGAAATGCATACAGAAATGTAAAAAGGACAGGAAGAAATAAATACCAAGGGTGAAAATAAATAAGGTAAAAAAATACAAAGGAAGAATAAAACAGACAAAAATATTAAAACACACACATAAATAAATACATTTAAAAAATAAGTAATTAATAAATAAAGTTGAAGATTATAACGGAGAATAAATAAATAAGGTAATTATTACAAAGGTGAATAAGTAAAGGCACTAATTAAAATATATACACTTATGTCTCCTTGTATAATTTAATTACTACCTACATTTATTTATTTACTTTATTTTTTGTGTATTTAATTGGATGCTTATTTATTTATTGAGCATTTATTTATTTCAGAATGTGTAAGGATCGGTCCTCCATAGAAAACAGCTTTAAAAAAAATGAAAAATAGTAAATAGAGAAGGGTCCTCTATCCTAAGGCCCAGTTCTGTGAACCAATAAGCTTTGAGCTTGAGTAGTAGGGTTCCATTGTATGAAGGCTACGTAAACTTTAAAGAGGCTCTATGTAGTTTTTCAATAAAATGACTCACTTTTTCACTTTTTCACTGCCTTATTGTCAATGGCCTTTAACCTCAATTAGAAATTAACCCCACGCCTGTTTTCTCTGTTGCTTACAACAGCCACTATTCTGCTTTTTATGTGAAGGTATCAGGTCGGGATGTAGCTGCATGCGCACTCCCGAGCCTCCTGCCGACCACAGCGTCAACACTGCAGCTAACGAAATGCAGTCCACTAACGCCACAAAACAACCAGATCCGAGCACAACAGATTTCAAAATAAACTCCAACATAAACTCTCAGTCGCTGTAACTAATGTGACCCTCAAAATATACAATACTGCAACAAAACCGATCACAACACAGTGGAAGAGCCGTCCACTACAGTAACGTTACTTACTGCGGTCTAACTGTTACAAAGTGTGGCAACAATCTCATTTATAATATTCAGTCTAGCTCACCGTTTGGGTATCATTCAATACATGTAAGTTACATTGCTGAGCCTCTGGTGAAAGACAAACAAATGGTAATGTTAGTTACTGAAAAGCAGACAGGCAAGTTAAAGCCAATGTATCATGTTGACTAAATGCAGTAAATGTAGTGTTATCATGTAACGAGCATGGATTACTTCAACCTGATAAAAAATATACAGTAACGTTGCAGAGGGAGTTTACCTGAGTTTCCAGCATGTTGAGCGACGCTGTCTCCTGTTGAGTCTGTATATAACCGCTGCTTTATTTTATGGGAAGATTGTGCCAAAATTGTGGCTTGCTGCGCTGTCTGAGGCAGGAATATTACAGAGCCAAAAATGGGGTTTGAAATCTGCCTCTGAGCCAGGAACATTGTAGTAGTAACAGAGCAGCTAGAGGAACAAGTCTGTGTGAAAAGCCACTGCCACATTTACTGCGGGATCTCTGTATGAAAGCGGTTGTGTTTCGGATTATGCTCGTTCATGAGTTTGAGCCGAGCACGCTTACGAGCACACACCTGGTTGCAATGTAAAAACCACACCGCTAGTGGCAGCTGATAACTACACATTACCCCTTTAACTTATTTCACCATAGCAATCCACTAAATATGTTTGTGAACTCATTTGAGGAGAGAAATAAGATCTTCACTCATATTAGATCTACAAGGCCTAATTTAAAAGTTTGTTTGCACTACTGCACTGCCAGCTGGCACTGCTAGAGTATTAGCTTACTACTATTATTTCCCATAGAGGTTAGTGAGTTAACTAACATTAGCTTGCACAGGGATGGACTGGAATACAGCCCAGGACTTTGAGACGGAGAGGCCTTTTATGCGAGTGCCCTTTTGGGGGTGGGCATAAATATTTTTTGCAGTTATTTTAATACGTATCAGTGTTTTTGTTGTATGTTGAATCAGATTATGCTGAAGACCTTCAAGAAACTTCAGGATGACACCTGCCTCTTCAGTTTGTATAAGCAAAGCAGGTCTGCACTGAACAAGACCAGGTCAGACAAGCCTGAGTTAGTCAGAGGGCTAAAATAATTAAATATTCTCAAAAATGACAATGCATTCCCATAAAATACAGCTGTGTATGTGTGTGCATAAAAATCAAATCCATCATCTTTAGTAAGCCTCTCCCGGCTCAGCTTCCTCTGTGCTGGACCCTCTGCTTTTACTGATTGTACAGTTACATATGTATGAGAAGAAAATCAATAATAAATATGACTTACAATAATCCATTCTCTTATTCTTAAATCACACTGCCCTGTACCTGTCACTGTTTTGTCTGGTTCCATTTACCTTCTCCTCCTCCTGCTGCTCCTCCTGTCTCTTCTCTCCCTCCTCATCAACATGACTGGGGTCATCATCACCCTGTCCCTGTGCATCACCTCCACAGCTTATTAATATACATAAAGATATACAAAGATTCCTCGGTTAATTTGGCACATTTAGCTGCCTCTTATGCCAACATTTTTTCTTCTTAATTCAAATTTTTTACGTCTCTGTTGACCCTATCACACAACCCAAATGGAAAGTAAACTACTTTGATATGCCCTGTTGAGCCAATCAGATTTCAGCATAAACGAAGATCGGTCCAAGTTGGGATGGGCCGCCGGTACACCCCCTCCATATTTAAAGTATTGGTTTGGCCCATTCTGACACACAGAAGGCCGGCCGGCGCGGTCGTGGATCTTAAAGTAAAACAGAAACTGAAAAATAAAAACTCTTGATCCAAGTTAATCAGTTTTATTACATGTAAATGAATAAAGCTTACAGAGCTCTGGGTCAATCTTCCTTTCTCTGACAAACAACAAGCTGTATCAGTTCATGAAGTCTGACTGGCTATCTCTCCCTGACCCAGTGTTTTACTATACATCGTCACGTCATAAAACAATAAAACAAAAGTGTAGGTCAGTCCAGGGGGCCTTAAAACCTGCATAAGAGGAGCCTGAGGAGGGAGGTCTGAGAAGGGAAGTCTGAGGTGCTCCAGTTGAATCCTTTTTTCAGTCCAACTGGAGCACCTCAGACTTCCTTTTGGTCCAAATAAAACTAATTGACCTAATATTCAATAGAGTGTATTTGCTACACTTCTGATTTGCATCTTATGATTGTCTTGACCTATTAGGTATTGGGAGGCAGCGCAGCCTGATAATGGTGGTGGAGATCCAAAGTGGGGTGAGGAGGACTGTGCCCAAATCAAACCTGGCAAGAAAACTCAAGAAAACTGGAACGATCGGTCATGTTCTACTTTTCTGCGATGGATCTGTGAGAAAGAGGCTTAGAATTGGTGTAAAAGCATATGTACATGCTTTTACAAACTAAGCTATGATTTTACAAAAAGCCTTTGGGATTGAGTGTCCTTTTATGTTTGTGTGTGTAAAAGAGAGAGTAGTGTATTATTACAGTTCATTCTCATCAGAGTTCATCATCCTTGAAGAACATATTTCTATGTAAACTTCTCTGCAGCAGGCTGAGGATCCTCTTGTTCATGTTCAAGTTCAAGACTCAAAGTTTCTGCCAGGCATCCAAAAGTGCATTATTTACAGTATCAATATGATCTCCTGCTCTTCTTAGTTGGTGCTTATGATCTTTAATGACGATGACAGACTTTGAAGTTTGCTTCTGCTCTGCACTTTAAAAGATATTTCTGTAAGATGATCTTATGGTAGAAGAAATTCATAAACGTATTGTTACATTTAAGTGTCCAACAGGTCAAGTTTGGAAGAACTTACATTTCTTTCTTATGTAACCTCACCAACTTGCTGATGTTCCAAAAATTTAATTATTGCTTCATCTAAAGATTTCAGGATAGGATGAGACTATTTCTTATGGCATCAGTCTGGTTTAAAAGCTTAGTTTGAAAGCTATACAATGATAGCATATTAAAATAAATCACACAGCAGATACAGTAGGCTACATCATGTTCAGTGTTGGGGGTAACGCGTTACTGTCATGCTGTGTGCCTGCATGCCTTGTGTAGTTCTCAGTTTTGTTATTTCAGTCTTTTCTCTATCTGTTATGTAGTCTGTTATAGTTTATCTGGTTATTATCCGTCAGCTGATGTCTGTTGCCCCAGTTATCTCTCTGACTGCCTGTGTCTCCTCAGCCTCATGTCCGTCACCTGTGTGTCTCCTCCCAGCTCGTTAGTCTGTGTGTATATATACCTGGTGTTTCTGTTTAGTCTTTGTTGGGTCATTGCAGTGTGTTGTCCTGTTTAGCCTGCTGTTGTGCTTGTCTTTTCACCCTGTTTCTTTGGATTTCTGTTTGGATTACCTTGTTTTTGGACTCTGTTAATCAGCCACTCTGCCAGTAAGTGTGCTCGCCTTTTGTTTGTTGGTTTAATAAACCTTTTGAGCGTTACCCGCTTTGTTCTGAGTCCTACACAAACCCTGACAGTTACAAAGTAATGCGTTACTGTAATCGGATTACTTGTCTGCAATGCAGTAATGTAAAGCATTACTGTTTAACTTCAGTAATCAAATTACAGTTACTAATTACAAAGTCATCTGATTACTTCCGAACTGGTTGAACTTGAACTATCCGCATGATGGGAGGAGAGGAAACTAAATCAAACGTTCCTTTTTGCGTAACGCTTTTTCCGACTCACTTTTAGCGCCAGTTCATGAGGACGCAGAAATAACAGAGCTGCCAAAGGCGTCTTTCGAGGGGTGGAGTTGTTGCTTCATATTCTTATTGAAAGGAGATAAAGGCTCTATAGCCTGGGCGGTCTTGTCTGACTCCAAGGAGGAACAGGTTGTCTGACAAACGATTTGAGAGACTCCTGCCCATGAGGTATTTGCCAAGCATGTCCAGTAAGCGAGGAAAAATCTACTTTAAAGCCATAGTTCGGTTAGTGAGCTACAGGAAGTTTTTTGTCTGGGTTTGGTCTGTTAAATTCACAGTTCAAAGTACATTTCATATGCCATGCTTTTCCTCTGAAGTCTCAGCATCATCTGATATTTTGATGAGGGCCAGTGTCTTGTTTTTTGTTATTTTCAACAAATATTTGCTTTGGTTGGAAGGACAACCTATTTTAAGTTATGTTGTATTGTAATGAAATTCATTATTTAAAAACTAAATGTTTCCAATGAAAAGTCCAATTAAAGTTCTAAGCATTATAGTAATGTACTCTAGGCTTGTCCTTCTCCTCACAACTTTGTTGTAGGCTTTGTAGTATTGAAGAGCATAAAAGAGAGATCATGTGTATGTCCTCATAAGGATATGTGTTGATCTGAGCTTAAATGAGGTGTAACTTTATATTGTTATTGTGAATCAGCATGTGCAGTAATCCTAACCCCATCTGACAGAACACTTCAGCAGAGGCTTATTTTACCTTCACTCAGGAAATACTAACCAAACCAGATATGCCACAGGGTGACACTATCCTCATTGCAAAAACAAGTGTTTTGCACTTGTATACGGTCGTCCCCTTAAAGGAAGGTTGGGAACCCGAAATTGCTCCTGGTGGCTGTGCCATCAGTGTGAATGAGTTAATTTCTGTTTCTGATGAGCAGTTGGGTCTCTGCTCATAGGGGGTGAATGTGCTGTAGTGTAAAGCATTTGAGTGGTCAAAAAGACTAGAAAGGTGCTATACAAATACAGCCCATATTTCATATGTGATAGTTTATTCAGATTTGGGAGCGAAACCTCTGAGAGCCTAAATGTGTACGTCCGCACTGCGCTCCAACAAATAGAAGCGACAGCTGCAGAAGAAGCTCTTGTTAAGTGACCTCTCTTGAAGTGTCCTTCTTTACTGTACCAGAAAATAACTGGTAGGTGGTGCTAAAAATGAGAATGATTAACATGACACACAGATGCGACATAGTGGTGCAGTGGTCAGCACTGTCACCTCACAGCAAGAGGTTCTGTGGATCGAGGCCCAGGCCTTTCTTTGTGGAGTTTGCATGTTCTCCCCGTGTCTGTGTGGGTTCTCTTCATGTTCTCCTGCTTCCTGCCACTGTCCCACATGCATAGGTTAATTGGTGACTCTTTGCTCTTAGGTGTGAACGTGTGTGACTTGTTTGTCTCGGAGTTATCCCTGTGATGAACGGGCAACCTGTCCAAGGTTCACCAATGACAGCTGGGATTGGCTCCAGCCCCTTCGTGATCCTGCACAGAGTTAACAATACTGCTGACTATGGCTGCAATAGTGCTTAAACCAAATAACACAAATCAGAATATGAAAAAACTGTTAGAAATTATAACAATACTTACTGAAGGATTAATTTACTTTGATAGAGAAATTTTGAATTAAATAACATTTTTTATCGCAATGAAAGTAAATATAAAAACAATGAGCCCATTGAGCTACCAGTAAATATTAATATATCTGAATGAAACTTCTCACAGGTACTATGCATCATAAAGGGAACTGAATGAGGGGGTGGGTCCTGGAAAATGTTGCTAAAAAAAATTGGCCATTACATTGAGTTGCACCCTCTAATTTTACCAGGAAGGTAAATATTTATTTTCAAGAAGCAAAACAGCAACGCTATGCAAGTAGAGTTCTGAATAAACACCAACACCAAGCAAGCTTTCCTTTTTCTACATGTATTTACATCACCTCTACATTAAAAGGGCGGGATACAAGAATTATGAAAAACAAATGATCACTTGTTTTACTCCCAGTTTGCTAAACGCAGCCATGGTAACAGATGTTTTGCCACGCAGAAGGGGAAGTGACATTAATGCAAACCTTCTATAATGGAGATGTTAGTCCAGCTAAGAACAGTTGTTATTGTTACTTAAACAAATACAGGCAATGTGTAATCTCACTTCTGCTAAATGTATCTATAATTAACTGGAATTTTGCCACATACATGAAACATGATAGATCCACAGAACAGAGTGTTGAGCGTGTCGCGAGCAGACACGGAGGATTGCCAAAAGTAAACATAGGCTATTTATTATTGTAACTTAACAATAAAACTAATAATTACCAATGTAGAGTGTGTCAGTCAGTAGCATGAGTGGTGTAAATGTGGATGAGTGACTAGTGTAAAGTTTGAGGGTTGAGGAGTGGTATCAAAACATGGCCTAATATTAAAACAAACAGAAGATGTGCTGCTACTGCTGGCAGGAGACCAGATCAGGGCCCCGTTTTAGAAAGCGTGATTAGTGAAAATTCTGAGTATGTTGAGCCTGAGATGAGGGAAACTCTGAGTTTTCCGTTTCAGAGAGCAAGATCAGATAATCCCTAGATCAGTAACTCTGGCAACTGAAACCTGATAAGTTGGAAACCCGTGAGTTTCTCTCTAACTCCTCCTCCTCCCGCAGAGGCGGCTGTCTGACAAACACAGTTTCATTTCCTCATTCATTCGATATCAAAGCGCATATCTGAACGCATTTACATCTTTAAAAACTTCAAAATCCCAGTTAGATAGGCTATTAGTTTTTCATCCAAACATGAGCTTGAACATGACCTCTTTATGATCAATCTGTCATCGATGTAAGGACTGATCTCTGCACATTGTGGATTTATCCTCAGCGCAGAATGATGGCCGTCTTTAGGTAGGCTATAACGCTGTGACTCTGTGATAATGTTAACGCATTGATCCTTCTTCCACTCCTGCGTTTTAGAGCCAATCATGGTCCGCGTTGGTACGGATTTATATTTCTAGCTCCACCCGATTAAAATGGAAGCTCTGTCTTTATTTACCCGTTGCCATGGTGAATCGTAGTATCGGAGCTCCATTGATGATGGAAAATTCAGAGTTTCCCACCTCAGGCTGAATCAACTCAGAGCTCAGGGATAAACTCAGTTTGTTAAGCCTGCTTTCTGAAACAGGGCCCTGGACCATGACAGGTAACGGTTATCAACAGTACCTGCTGGTTTGTGGATGAACTTTGTCAACACCTCACTTTTGTCAAATCTCAAATGTGCCATGATGAAACCCTGTTATGTAATGCTAGTTTCCTACCTTAATTTGCCCTCAACCATCTTGCCCCTCTCCTTCCCACTATGTGTGGGAGAAACAAGTCAAGGAGAGATGACAAAGAGACTCACCCATGTTTTCTTATTATATTTGCTGTACTTGCAGCACCATTAAGCCATGATGTTAAATAATTATGTGCATGTATAAATTGGAAACCACCTTCATACTGAAGTTTTATCTTCGGCACTTAACTCAAGTTTCATTGTTTCTTACAGAACCAACTTGTCATTCAGGATGGAGGATGGATTGAAGAAGCAAAATTCCTCTGCACAAGTGTGTAACATTTCATACAATTCTACCAACAGGTACAGGACTACAGTAATATTAAACCAAAATTCTTTTGTCTGTAAAAAAATAAATTTATTTCATAATATTATGGCTGATTATTGTTCCCATAGTGGGTTAGTGAGTTAACTAATGTTTACTGCATACAGCCTGTTACATTACGTTTATTAATTTAGCTGACCCTTTTATCCAAAACAACTTACAATTGCTATATATTTCAGAGGTCGCGCCTCTGGAGCTACTAGGGGTTAAATGTCTTGCTCAGGGACACATTGGAATCTCACAGTGGATTTGAACTCTGGTCTCTCACACCAAAGGCATGCGTCTTATCCACTGCCCCATCACCATCACTGTTGTAGCTCATAAGCCGCCAGTGTAGTTTTTAACAAATACTGTTCTAATAAACTTACAACATACAACCATATTGTTTTCTGTCTCATTTTTCTGATGGTTGGACCAGATTTTTGAGATTCCTGATTTTTAAATGTAAATGCTCCGTACTTGTATAGCGCCTTTCTAGTCTTTTCGACCGCTCAAAGCGCTTTTACACTACATCTGCATGTCTGGTTTAATTCACACACTGAGCCTAAGTGCTCAAACAGAAACTAAGATTCACACACATTCATACACTGGCGGAACAGCCACCAGGGGCCCCTTTACCAGACACTGCGGCTTTTGTCTACAGGGGCGCCAGGATCAACACAAAATTAAAGTTCCTTGTAGTTGCTCATATGATTTGGCACATTTTATGGAAATTCTCTTGTGATGACAGAAGACGTTAAAGTAGATTGAGTCAAGGTGGGGTTGGCTTTTACATTTAGTGCAGACTCCATGGAAGCAGATTCCAGAATCAATAAATCAATTTGAATGAGTGTTTTGATCATGTTTGCAATGTCGAAGCATTTTGAATTTGCTACACCTCTGATTTGCCAACAAGTTGAAATTCAAGAATAAAGTCTCTGCCAGGCAGAGTATACAGTATCTCCTGTTCTGCTTAGTTGGTTCTCACGATCTTTAATGACTATGACTGACTTGTATTTACATAAGATGATTGCCCTCGTGGTAAAAGAGTACAACAGGCCAATTTTGGAAGAAATTTTTCCCATTTCTTTCTTGTCATATAAACTCACCAACTTGCTGATGTTCCAATCAACAACAAGAGGGAGACAGACAGAATCAAAAATAACATTTAATTAGTGCTTCATCTAAAGATTTTTGGATAGGTTGAGACCATTTCTTATGGCATCAGTCTGGTTTAAAGGTTTAGTTTGAAAGCTAAACAGTGATAGCACATTAAAATAAATCAGGCAGCACACACAGTACATTATGGTTTTGGTTGCGTTATTTGTTCTGTAAACTTCATGACAGTCAGTCAAACATCATAATTAAGATTTTGCCTAATTAGAACTATAGTCATTGTGTATTAAACATATCAAGTGACACATAGTGACACATTCATCTGACAGAACACTTCAGCAGAGGCGTTTTTACCCTCTCTCAGGAAATACTAACCAAACCAGATATGCCACAGCATGACACTGTCCTCATCACAAAAGAAAGTGGTTTGTACTTGTATAGCGCCTTTCTGACCACTCAAAGTGCTTTTACACTACATCACCTTCTAAATGAATTCAGAGGCAGAAACACATAAGAGCAATTTAGGGTTCAATATCTTTCCCAAGGATACATCATGCAGACTGGGCTGCGATCAAACCACCATCCTTCCCATAAGTGGACAACCGCTTTACCCTTTGAGCCACATCTGCCACTTACCCAGAAACTGGCTATTTGTTCTGAAATACCAACAACAACTTACATTATGTTTATACCACATGTAGGCTGTCCTCTTGTTGCCTTCCAAATTTTGACTGTTGTCGGTCAGTAGAAAAGGTGCTGTAGTCCCATACCCCCTTGGTTACAAGCAGTGGTGGGAATGAGGGGCACACAGGAACGCTGTTCTGGGAATAAAAGTCTAGAGGGAACAGCACTCACATTTTGAAAATCTATTCAATGTTTTTTTTTAGACTGAAATTGCTTAAAGCTGTTATACAGTGTTTCTAAAGCATGTTCATGAAAGAAACAGAATTGTCAGACCTTCTCCTGCTGAAATCTACACCATTAGACTATGGGAAAAGACACTCAATATCCTTCATGACTTCTCTCTCCCTGCTAACCATCTTTTAACTTTATCCCTTCTTTTAAAAAACTGAAAAGCATTAGAACCAGTGCAGCCAGGTTCTGCAACAGCACCTACCCAGAAGCTGTTCCAGCCCTTAACTCCTAAATCATCAATGTGCTGTTATAATTCATGTCTGTAAGACCTTGTAAGGGCATGTACTCAATACTGATAGCATCTACATGGCATTAGAATTATTACTTAAGTTGTGTTTATGTTCTAAGGTGAGCCTTGTATTTGGGGTTTGTGTGTGATAATAATGTTGCTTTAAGGGAGTAGCGGGAGTTTGTCATACAAGTTACTTTTAACAGCTCTGAAACTTGTGACTTCCTGAAAAGGTAAAGCATTGAGAAATTGAAACCAGAAAGACTGACATCATTTTCATGTGCTGCAGTCTGCACTGCAGAGCGGACCCTTTAGGAAACAGTTGGCCACCTTATGAGCGATGGACGAAATCTACGCCAATGTTGAACATGACAAACCTGTTGCCCCAAGACCTTCACCAAATCGGAAAGGTAAGAATGTCCAGTCAGACAGAGAGGGTGAAAGACTGAGCTTGCACAGATTTATATCATCATCTCTTGTATCATTGACTGTATTCACTGGTCTTCTCCGTGTTCAGGTCCCAGTAGCTCAGAGAGAAGATTTCATGGAGCTGTTGTTCTCTGTCTGGGGCTGCTGAATGTTTTCCAGCTGGCTGGGCTCATCGGCCTCGCTGTCCACTGTGAGTTTGAACCACTTTCAGTAACCAGAGTAACAATTTTAGGACCATTATTCTGCTCATGTTTTATTAAGATGTCTATTTTATTTTTCCGTCCTGTCTTTATGCTCTTATTTTCTCCTTCATGAATTCTTAATTTCTGACTTTCTGATTTTCCTGTGTGTTTGTTTGAAACTCAAAGCCGCTTTTCACAAAGGTTCAACAGATACAAAACACAACATTTTCATATTTTGTGAATATATTATTTAACCAAGAAGGTAAAAATTTATTGTCATGCAGCAAATCTGTGTAAGTAGAGCTTTAAATAAACACCAGCACCAAGCAAGCTTTCCTTCTGGTGCCATATTTCAACAATGTTTGGTTAGTGCTGCCGGTTGTCAACATTTATATAATATTAGCGTATTTTCTGGGAAAACATAAGGTCCTACTTAAAAAAATGTACTGTCATTGGGCAGAATTCAGAAACATTTTGACTTATGTAAATATAGTAACTGTTTCTGTGTGGCCTGGGTGCAAAAGGTATTTTGTGTTAAGGAAATGTCTCTTCTGTATTTAAAGTTTGTATTGACAACAAGGCAATACATTATTCCCATCTACATGTATTTACATTGTCACTGCATTAAAAAAGCGGCATTACTTTAAAGACAAGGCATACGATATTTGAATTTATTCTATTGTTTATTTAACCAGGCAAGTTAGTTAAGAACAAATTCCCATTTACAACCACGGCAGCAGGTATGAAATACTACATGTACTGTATAATGAGGTAGTAACATAGAAAAGTCCAGTTAAGAATACAATTGTTATTGTTAATAAAACAAATACAAATATAGAGTAGGAGATTCGCAGTGATGTAGTAGTAAATTCAAACAGGCACTTTAGTCATTTTAAAATAATCCAAAACAAAAAACAGATTTCTACCAAACCACCTTCTAGTCTACCACGCATGAACCTCTTAGGATGCTGTTTCTAATTATTTGGTACCTGATTCTGAGATCTTTTACTGAACTTAAAAAAATGTCTCTTGGTTTATTTTATGACATTTAGCTGCAGATCTCTCAGCCATCAAAGCCAACCTGACTGAGCGTCTCCAGGCCAGCGTCAACATGTCATCTAGTCTGACTCAAGAGAGAGATCTGCTGAACATCAGCCTTGTTGAAATGACTAGAGACTTGAACAAGCTTCAGAGTGAGTCCATGCATGTGGTATTTAGATTTACTTGGTGTGTATCTTCAAACATTTACTCAGAAATTCAAATAGTACAAAACCCTGCACTGTGATATGATCTTTTGAATTAGCTAAGTAGGTAAAACATTTTATAAATCAAAAATAAATGTATGATAACAATGCATGACTATGGACTGCTGGCCAAAGTGTGTCCGCTATCGTTCACTGAAATAACTGAAGAGCTGAACAGCATGAGGAAGTGTGGCAACTGCAGACAATATGCATGGCAATGTGTAATCTCAGTTCTGTTATATGTATCTATAATTAACAGGTATTTTGCAAAATCTGTGAAACATGATAGATCCTAGTGACAGCAAACATTTTGACTGCAGGTTAAGTACAGATATAATTAATGATACATTGGTGCAGCACTTTCTGCTGTTACCACCAGTTTAACACAGTGAAACTAAAAGACTAAAGACCTTAGTCTTACTTGCATCTAATTTACAGACAGTATAGTTTTGTTCCAGTCTTTAACACAATTTTTGTACCAATCTTCATCTATCTGTTCTGTCCAAATGCAACAAATTATTTTAACGTATCTTGAAAGTTAAAATAACATTGCATGAGAACGGACATCCCGTCAGTCATGATCTGGTTGCAGGAAGGTAGTGTTAAGAACAGAGAAATCAATTTAGTTTACTTTGAACTTTAGGAGTAACCCAATGGATTGGAAGTGAGATGAGCAAAATTGAAGACCAGAGAGATGCATGGCAGGCAGAGTGAGATCACAGGTGAGTGTAGAACCTGAACACAGGAAGGAGCAAGGTTAGATTTAAAAAAACAAACAACAAAAACACTAAGAATGACAGACCTGTCCATAGCAATAGCACCACATTTGCAAACTGAACAACCTGGCAAAGACTGGAGTGAAAAGCTAGGGTAGATACACTGCAGAGTCTCGAGTAGTGGATGAGTCACAGGTGCGCAGGAGGTTGTGCCGCAGGAACCAAGCAGGCAAGCAAAGACTGTATGGAGGGTCTTGCCCCTCCCCCTCCCACTATGTGTGAGAGAAACAAAGTGAGAAAGCGACTGTTAGGAGAGACAGAAAGAGATTCATCTTCGTTTTCTAATTACATTTGCAGTATTTGCAGCACCATTAAGCCATGATGAATAATAACTATGTGAATGTATAAATTGAAGCCACCTTCATGCTGGAAATGTATACAGGTGAAACAATATGCTAATTTTTTGAGTTTCACCTGTACATGATTTTTTACATCCAGACTGTATCTTTGGCACTTAACTATTGTCTGATTTTTTTAAGTTTCATCGTTTCTTACAGAATCATGTCCTGTTGGATGGAGGATGTTCAGTTGCGCCTGTTATTTCTTCTCTAATGAGTCTGGTTCCTGGGAAAAGGGTAGAGAGGACTGTAAAACCAGAGGAGCATATCTGGTGGTCATAAACAGCTCTGAAGAACAGGTGCAGTGTTTCTGAAATATTTTACACAAATGAGTGTTCATAACTTCCTAACATCAGCATGCTAATACGCTTATGATAATAATACTGGCATGTTGCTGTTTAGCATCTATAATGTTCACCATGTTCACTGTGTTGGTTTAACATGTTAGCATGATAACATTTGCTAATTAGCACTGAACACAAAGTAAAACCGAGGCTGATGGGAATGTCATTAGTTTTCCAGGTATTTGGTAATAAATCAAAATATTGAACAAACAGTTTTTTGACCTGAAGATAGATAAAAAGTCGTTATCAAAGTTATTACAATTCATCCGTGATCTAGTTGTTGAGATATCAGATATCAGTATATAGCCTAATTAAAAGTCAACCTCATGGTGACAGGAAATGTCAACAGCATACACTATCTGGGCACCATAGATATCTGTACCAAATATTGTGCCAATCTATGCAGTGTTGAGATATATCCCAGCACGCGGGTGGCACCAGAGGAAAATCATTGTACTTTAATGAATCAGTAAAGTTCAGTTCATGATGTCTACATTTAATCTTGAATACAGTATATTCTAATATAATATTATTTAAACTAACATATAAATGCTGTGACTTTCTGTTGTGTTTATTGAACAGAAGTTCCTCTCTAACTTCACCAAGGAAGAAATTATGGCTTGGATTGGTTTGACTGATCGTATCAAGGAGGGGACCTGGATGTGGATTAATGGAGCTCCTCTGTCTCTACAGTAAGGCAGATACCTTGGTTGAATATAAACAAAATTGCAAATAAAATACTGTTATTAGTCTATGATTAGAATGTATTTGTTTTAGGAGTGCCTCGGTAATCATCAGAAATAACAGAGCTTACAACAAACATTTCAAAATGGTATCAGTATAGTCACAGCAGTTGACTTGAAATTAATCGGCTGGACCACACTCACGATATACCGTTTATATGATGCAATCAAACAACTATACCACTTTTTGTGAAATACATCTTACCCAGAAATACCACTAGATGGTGCTATGGTTCTTTTAATCATGGTCAACTTTCATCTTCAACCAAGAGGAAGTGATGTTTATAAATTTAGATTTTTAAGAGAATGTTTCTAGAGCTGTCACTAAACAGATGTATTGTTATTTCCTTCTTACCATACAGGCTGGCACACATCGTCACATACAAATGTACATTTAGTTTCTAGTTTATTTGTGTACAAATATAAAAACAGCCTGAACATCAAGCAGACACAGATGAACATTCATTTGGAGTTGTTTCCACCTATTGAATTTTAAGTGTAATGTTGAATTAAATTGCACTGAAACTGAGCTAAATGTTCTATGTTCACCAGCTAGTCACTGACCTTGTCTGAATGCTGTTGGGTGCTGGGCAGATAACGTACAATGGGTTTATCAGAGCTTTTTGCTGGAAACAGCTGCCTGGCTGAAAATGATGCTTATGAGAGTGCAGTTGTGGGCTAAAATCAATGAGCTAAACCTTGCTAAAACAATCTGAGGACAACTCCTGTTTGTCAAAAAAAAAAAAGAAATGAATGCAATTTAAAATACACCAGTACTCACCCCACCAACACACTGCCCCAAACTGTTTTAGGTCTTGGTGGCATTTCCTGGTGAATAGCAGGAATAACAGACTGTGTTCATGTAAAACAATGTCATTATTGTTGTGTTTGTAGACCTTTTCGGTATTGGCGGAGTGGGCAACCTGATAACAATGGAGGACATCCTTCTCTTGGGGAAGAGGACTGTGCCCACATCATATATGGAGGGGAGGGAAACAACTAGAATGATTTGTCATGTGAAACCGATATGAGATGGATCTGTGAGAAAATGGTTTAGCATTGGTGCATTATTGTGTGTTTGCTGCTTCTACTGCTTCTATATTATATTTAAACATAATTCCTTTGCACAAGTGTGTAAGGTTTCATACAATTTTACTCACAGGGGGCACTACAGTAACATTAATGATATTTCTACAATTCTGTAGAATTTGGTGCACAAGTTCACCATAAGCATGTGCACTACAAAGAAGCTGGACATCTTGTGGCCAGTTAAAAAATACTTTGTGTTTTGGTGAATAACTCCTGAACTGTGAGGCAGAGACAAAGCATTCAAATGTGGTGTTAATAGCGTCACCATGTGGTTGGTTGGTAAAACATTTGACCTTCATTTCAGAGTATCATTAAAATACTTTGAGATTCTCAAAGGTGTACCTGTGTCCCTTGTACTTAGTGTGAAAATGCACAACTGTATATGTTTTGACAAATTACAGAACTTTGATTAATGTACACATCAATCACCAGAAGCAGCTGCAGAAGATGAAGCAACCACATGCATTTTCTTCTAGGAATGAAAATATTCTAGTTAGGAGATTCAAAGTTTGTAAATTGTTTTTATTGTAAAGTAGAAATAATGAAAGACATTTGGAATGACATTTACCTACAAATTATGGCTCAGAGGATAATAAAGACAATGATTTATAAAGATTGTGGTGAATATTTAAGAACATTTTGATATTTTATGACCTTGTAACTGATTATTTATTCCCATCTTAAATGTGCAATTGTACAACTGCCTGCCTTGGCCAGGACACTCTTGGAAAAAGTTTTTCTGGTTTAATAAAGGTATAATAAAACAATTCAAAATCTACAACTGTAACAGAATATAATGCAGAGCAGCTCTAAGGCATTCTGGGTTGCTTAGACTTATTTCTCCTGTAGATCAACTTTTAAAATCATCACTGCTGAATCAACACACACACACAGACATGACTGACTGAGGTAACCTCTTTAAATGTGCATGTGGCACCTTTTTACGTCATCAATAATAAATTAAATCATTTTAATTCAGTTTTAAACTCCTGGACTTTAATAGCTCCTGTGTTTCAGCAGGTTTTCTACTCATGTTCAAAGTTCTGCACATTCAGAACCGAATATAAAGGATATTTAGTACAAATCATCATTAACTTTGCCATCAATCCGCGGTCTGCCTGCGTGCTGCAAGTGCCCGTGTGGGGATTTAATTCTTGCATGTTTTGTTGTGCAGGATCAATGCCCCTATGTGTCCACATGCGGAAAGGTCAAGATATCCTATCAGAGTGAAAATGGACTGTCTGTTGCATTAGACTAGGCAACTTGATGAGTAGATTTTTTTAAGTAGCCCATTAAAATATTCCTGCAAATGCAGTGAAGAAGTTCATTTAGTTGAAGTTGATTTATTTTCATTCATAAAAATATCTTAAAACATCCCACTACTTATTAGCCAGGGTTTATAAACTGCAGCTTGGAAAAGATAACTGTGTCACGCAAAACCCTCGCATTCTAGCAGAAACCTCTGAGGACCAGTCCAGTCAACACACGTATGGGCGCACATCATTTTTAAACAAGACAGTAATTAGGCTAGCTGTCTTTCAATCAAGATTTAGTCTGTGCTAATGCAAGTTTTCAGCGCCTCTGATAAAGTGCAGCTCACAGCCGCTTCAGGTGGAGCAGAGAGGACAGACACAGAGCTACAGCTGTATCATCTTATTCTCTCGCTAATTTGCAGGAGAACAACTAGAAAATAGTACAAATGTATGTCAGGGGCAGGAAACAGGGCCAATGAGACCCCCACCACCATCAAAATCCTCACCCGCCTGCGTGCATGTATTGTATTGTGTTGGATATATTTAATGGTTCGTGAAGTGTGGTATGGTGGAGTGGAAATAAGGAGCAGTTAAAATTGGGGGGTGGTTGAGACAGGGGCACTCCACAGCTGGCAGGCAGTGGAGCCTCCCAACGTGCCCCTCCCACCCATAGATATCCATAATAAAGGCTCTATCGTCATCACTGGCGGCCATCTTGTCACAGGCAAGCTTTTTGGCGGGCTTAAGGTGGCTGGAATAACAACCCTAATGCCAGCCAGTTCAACTACATTTTTAGGAAGCCGATGGCCCGGTGTGGGGTTGTTAAACCATGCATAGCCAATGTGTCCCTACCAGCTGTCATCGACACCTCTATAAGCCTGTCAGCTGTAGATATGTCCTCAGCAGCAGGAGGAGAAGATCTTCCATCCCCGTTTGCTGACATTCCTGCCCTAGTACATGACCACAGCTATCTTCCCGTCCGCTTCGATGGTCTTGTGGACAACGCTCTCGTGTACATTTCAGGTAAAGGCTGACTGAAAGCCAATTTTGCCTATAACCAATAGTGCCAATAGTCAAAATCTGGGGGAAAACAATCTCACAATAGTCCAAATAGAGAAATGTTCCCTTAATTTCCCCATGATTATTATTATCAGTTATGAAATTATTATACTAACTCAAATTTCAGGATTTGTTGTGCGACGGGCTCTGAAGAAGCTCTCCTGTGATATCTGCCGTGCCAGCCTGGTGACAGACGCTGCATCAAGGACCAGAGCTACCACCTGCTGACTTTAAAAAACAATGGAGGTCTGGTGATTCCATCAGAAGGCACAGTGAGGGTCGTCAGGGCAGCAGCGTGGGTCATTCGTCAGACATCAAGTACCAGACGATCACAGCCCATCAAAATGCTAGAGGTCGTGTACATTGTACAGAAGAAGATAGGGTCAGAGGATGTGTTTGTGCTTGAGGAGCACATCAGCGAAACGCAGTATGGCATAGACAGCCACCACCATACGTTAACAGAGTATGGTTTTAAGCTAAGGCTGTACCACATCGCTAAAATGATTAACCTTAGCTTACAGAGCAACAACATGTGACACAAGCTCAATAAAACCGTCCTTTTCAAAGGGCATTAGCCCAAGCTATGTTTTTTTGGTCATTTTTTTAATCTTCCATGTGTATACCTCGACAGTAGTGTAGTTCTCTCTACAGGGTGGGGATTTCAACATGCAACATTTATGTATATTTGTAAAGGGGAATCTTGTACCTATTTTTTTATTGCAAATAAATGTCACTTTTATAATAGTTTAAAAATAAAGACTTTTGTGTAATTATTCCATATTTTACATTTACATTCTATATCAGAACCCCTGACATACAATCCAAATAGTCTACATGAAACTTCGGAGTGTTACCTTTCATTTGAGACCAGGATTATGCTTCTACACCAAGAGCTTGCCACACAGTAAGCCTTGTTTTGTCAGTATGCATTTTGGGTAACCAAAAATCCTATGGGGAGTTTCCATAGGGCATTTTACAAAACGCGTGAGCATACCTTGGAAAATAATGGTCTAAATGCACACAATCTGTCTCAATCTGTGCAGCATGTGAGCTGGGAAACATGCAAATCCTTTGACAGAATCACAGGATGCTTTACCTCCCACGGCAGTGCAGATCTAAACAGACGTCCACCAACTCTGAGGATGCCATCTTCGATGAAGGGGTCGAGGCGATACAGAGGACTGTCTTTAAAAATAGTCTTTGGGTCATGTTCTAGTGAGGAAATTTCAGTACTGAATCTTTGGTTTTGTGCAAACTGAATTATTGCCTTTTCGGCTTCCTCCAAGTGGCTCTGGTGTCAAGCTGGATTTTCCAAGTGCGGCTTTGAATTTTTTAATCTCCTTTTCCACATTCTCATTCTGGTTGACCACATATTCTTTTCTCTTTCGGCTTAAAAGTAAAAGTCTTTCTTTCAGCTCCAACAGCCAGGCCACTGATGTTTTAAGCTTTCTCCAGGATGAAAAATAGTGAATGAGCTGACTGAGAGGATTGTCACTGTGTATTGTAACAACATTCACCTTAAGTTCCCTTTTCACCTCTGCATCATCAGATGGAATGGAAGAGGAGTCCAAGTCGAGTTTCGGCCACCTGGTGGGGGGCCAAAGCAAGGTAATGTCCATAACAAGATTGAGTTTGAGGAGGTTTATTCACACACATAAGCAAGCTCACAGACATTTCTGCTGCCTCTCTCACGCTGGTAAAAAAACCCATATGCCCTTGTATCTGAAGTACCTCCCACCTTGACCAACTTATGCAAATGAACATAACACCATGTGACCAACAAACGACAATACAAGTAAAGCATAAATACAAAATAAACCAAATTAACTTTAACAAGAAAAGAAAAGAAATAAATTAGGCTATAAATTAACTTAAGCCCAAAATAAACAAAAATAAAAATATAGCTCCAACAGTATGTAAGGTGGGGTTAATAATGTTGCTATATGGGAGTATCAGGAGGCTTGTCATCCAAGCTTATATCAGCAGCTCTGACTTCCTGAGAATTTAACCATTGAAACTAAACAGATTGGAATCAGTTTTATGTGCTGTAGTCTGTGCAGCAGATAGTTGGCCACCTAATGAGCGATGGAAGAAATCTGTGCTAATGTTGAACACACCAAACCTGTCGACCCAAGACCTTCAACAAATCGGAAAGGTAAGAATGTTCAGTTAGACAGAGAAGCTGAAGACTGAGCTTGCACAGATGTATATTATAATCCCTTGTATGATCAGTGTTGTACCATTGACTGTAGTCACTGGTCTTCTGTGTGCAGATCCTAGTTGTTCAAAGAGAAGATTTTATGGAGCTGTTTTCTGTCTGGGGGTGCTGAGTGTTTTCCTGCTAGCCGGGCTCATCGGCCTTGGTGTCCGCTGTGAGTCTGAATCACATTCTGTTCTGTCCTTATGCTCTTAGTATCTCCTGTATTGAGTTTGGAGTTGTTTTCTGACTTTTCCTAATTGTCCTGTTTGTTTGAAACTCAAAGCAGCTTTTTACAAAAGGTTTAACACATAGGCCTACAAAACACAACATTTTCATATTTTGTGAATGTATAATTTAACCAGGAAGGTAAATATTTACTTTCAAGCAGGTCATGCAGCAAATATGTGTAAGCCTAAAATCCCCTGACTCCCGCTGGGAATCCACTCTGAGTAGGTTGAACTCCCTTCGTAGTACAGGCCAAAGGTCCTACTTAAAGTATCATTATTTAAAGAACCATTCAGACATGGTATCTGTTAAATTGCTGGTTTAACAGGCACAATCAGATTAATGAGACATAACAAACAGTATGAAACGACACAAGAAGCATGACAAAACACAGACAAGCTTCACCACAAGAAACAGGGCAGCAGGTAGGGAACACTACATATACTGTATGAGTAAGTAAAATACAAATGAAGTCCGGTTAAAAAAAATACAGTTTAACCACCATACAACCATTTCAGATCCTGAAGGCCGTTTTATCATTATTAACATTTCAATCAATAATAATCCAATTACAATTGGCAACATTTATGGACCAAACTCTGATGATTCCGCCTTCTTTGCAAATTTCTTTTCCTCTCTTTCAAACATTTCCAACGGTCCAATAATTATAGGGGGAGACTATAACACTGTAATCAATCCATCATTTGACAGGTCAAAACATACAGGAAAACCTTGGCAGTCCTCTAAAACAATAAAACAGTTCATGAGTGATTTTGGTCTTGGTGATGGTTGGAGGCTACAACACCCACTCGCCAGAGAATACACCTTTTATTCTAATGTCCACCAAACCTACTCCCGCCTTGATTTCTTTCTAACCAGTAATTCAATCCTACCTAATATCTTAGAAACTAAAATACATCCGATCATTATTAGTGACCACTCTCCAGTAACTCTCACATGGAATCCATCTGCAATACCAAAGCACCCCACCAGATGGCGTTTTAATACATCACTCTTGAAAGATCCAGAATTTGACAGCTATTTCAAGAGAGAGTGGACATCCTTCCTTGAAATAAATGACTCTCCAAAGTCGTCAGCATCACTGCTCTGGGAAACATGGAAAGTAGTTTTACGGGGTAAAATTATATCATATTCAGTACATAAAAAAAAAAGGACAAAGAAAAAGAAGTCCAACTGGAAGAAAGAATAAAAGAATTAGAAATTTTACATGCTAATAATCAATCAGAAAGCATCTATATAGAAATTAGAGAGAAGAAAATTTTGCTTAATGAAATAATAAACAAAAGAAACCAGTTTCTGATTCACAGGCTCCGTCAAGAAACTTTTCACCATAGCAATAAATCCGGAAAATATTTAGCCAGTCAAATTAAAAGAAATAAAGAAAGAACAGCTATAACCTCCATCAGAAACTCGGCAGGGAAGCTAACCAATTCACCAGTTGAGATAAACAAGATATTTCAAGATTACTATATAAAATTATACTCATCGGATCTGGACCCAAACCAAGAAGACATAACCCAATTCCTCGATAACACTATTCTACCCAAACTCAACATGGAACAAGTAAACACACTAGAATTACCAATCACAGAAAAAGAACTTCAATCCGCATTGAAAAGCATGCAAAAAAATAAAGCACCAGGTCCAGATGGCTTCCCTGCTGAGTTCTACGAACATTTTTGGTCAACCGTATACCCACTATTCAGCAGAACAATAACGGAAATAAAACATAACGCAAAGTTCCCATCCCACATGAATACAGCACTTATATCACTCATTCCTAAACCTAACAAAGACCACACCTTCGCATCTAACTATCGCCCTATCTCACTTATAAATGTCGACATAAAAATGATTAGCAAAACACTAGCCCATAGAATTGAACAAATTATACCGTTTATAATCCATCCTGATCAGACCGGCTTTATAAAAGGTAGATATGCATCCAATAACACCCGCAGATTATTCAATCTAATGCATTACTCATCAGTACAAAAGAAAGATACTCTCATTGCCACATTAGACGCCGAAAAAGCTTTTGATAGGGTCAACTGGAAATTTCTATTCACCATGTTACAAAAATTCGGCTTTGGAGAGTCATTTATTAATTGGATCAAGATTTTATACACATCACCATCGGCCACAGTCACAACCAATGGACTAACATCACAAAGCTTCACACTGCACAGGGGGACGAGGCAGGGATGTCCACTCTCTCCATCCCTATTCACGATTTTTATTGAACCTTTAGCAGCAGCTATCCGCCAAAACCCAGCAATCAAAGGTATTGAAACACCACAACAAACACATAAAATCTCACTTTATGCAGATGATATCCTACTATATATACAAGAACCCCTAACATCCACTCAAGAAGTAATTAAAACAATCCAGTCCTTCTCAAAAATATCAGATTATGCAATAAACTGGAACAAATCTTTCATCCTCCCTCTACATAAAACCAAATGGGATGTGGCACCCCACCAAACACCTATACCTATATGTCATGATCACATCACTTACTTAGGCATTAAGATCTCCTCCAGACTGTCAGAGTTGGTAACACTCAACTTCACACCACTGCTAAAAAAAATAGAAGACGATTTGCTTCGATGGCTCAACCTTCCAATCTCCATAATCGGCAGGATAGCAGCAATAAAAATGACGATTTTACCGAAAATTAATTATCTATTCTCAATGATTCCAACCCAAATCACTAGACTCCATTATCACTCACTTCTACTGGAAAAATAAAACGCCAAGGATAAAACTCACTACACTACAAAAAAGTAAGGTTCAAGGAGGACTAGAAGCACCAAATTTCCAATATTACTCAATGGCTAACCAACTGCAATACATATACAAATGGATTCACCCCACCCAATCCGATATTATATGGCTAGATATGGAACAATCACTATGCAAAGAATTAAATATAGCTGACATACCGTTCCTCACCAAATCAATCAAACAACACACATGTTTTAATGCAGTAACTATAGCTTCCACTCTGACAGCCTGGTGGAAATTTCACCATATCACAAATTCTAAATTAGTTCCATCTAACTTCACACCACTGTGGAACAACCGTGACTTTATAAGCAATAAAAAAACATTGAATTTTCACACATGGGCAGAAAGGGGTATTACCCACATTAAGCACATTTTCAAATCTAACACATTTAGACCATTTCCGCAACTAGCCCAGGAGTATGGCATCGGGAGCAACGAATTCTTAAAATACCTACAAATCAAATCTTCTGTTCTGACAAAAATAAACATCAGAGACACAACTTTAGAACTTCCAGCGGCAATATCAGACTTGGTCAACATTTCCTCCCCAAAGAAACTTCTCTCTAAAATATACAAAATGATTTCAAACCAACTTCAGACCATATACTTACCAACAATAAAATGGGAAAACGATCTTTCAATAGCTCCTGATGCCAGCTTCTGGACCCAAATCTGTAAAAACATCCATCTCATGTCCAAAAATGCAAATCTTCAGTTAATACAATACAAAATACTTCATAGAACACATTACACGGGCAATAGATTAGCTAAAATGGGTTTCACATCAGAAGTTTGCACACATTGCAATCAAAATTCTACAGATACATACATCCATGCAACCTGGCACTGCACTCCAATCAAACACTTTTGGGAAGAGGTCACACAGTCACTATCCACTATAGTTGGCTGCCACATCCCAATGTCGCCTTCTCTTTGCTTGCTGGGAGACCTCACAAAAATCACTGATAAAACTATAAACTCTAAAATACTCCTCATAGCTCTAACCATCGCCAAGAAAACTATCCTCATGAACTGGAAAACTAGAAATAAATTACACATTAACATTTGGAAAAATCTTATAACAGACTTCATTGCAATGGAATATGCATCTCCCCTTCATAATTACGCATCTAAAACTGACTCCTGCCGCCCAACACTTTCTGACCTCTTACAGCTGTGAACCCTTTCTCGGTTTTCAACTCCAACTCCTCCCACCTTCTTAATCAACCCACGAAAATTAATGCATTTAGTTGTTTGAACTTGTTCATGTCATCATTGTTATTACTATCTTTACTGTTATTGTTATCGTTGCTATTCTCACTTTTATTTTTTCATTGTTGTAATTGCTGATGTTGCTGTCTTTTGCTTTCACCATTGCGGTCACCACTGCCATCATCATTGTCATTTATTATTAATATCATTATTACCATTATTATTATAATCATCAATATTGCCGTTGTCAATGCTGTATTGGAATTAAGTGTCATTATCATCACTACTGCAATAATTCCCCCCTTATCTCTTCACGGGTTTTTAATGCACCACAACATAGAATAGGGAGAAAAAAAAAAAAATAAATAAATAAATAAATAAATAAATAAATAAATAAAATGTATATATGGAAAACCACACAAACACCAAGGCAGGCAAGACAGGCGAGAAGTGGTTTCAATGGGACAGCATCTCTGTCCCAATTTGAGACACTATCGCACTGTACTCTCTCTTTTAATGCACCTTAGACATTACACATAACACACAAAAAAAAAAAAAAAAAAAAAAAAAAAAAAATGAAAAGATAGGGACTGAAGAGATGTGGGGGAAAGGTATCTTACATTATCTTATTTTATCATCTTTTATTTTATGCAGGATTGACAATGGCAATTGGTACATAGGAGGAAGGATGGAAATAAAAATCAACAAACACAATACTGGCAATATGGTGGTAGTGGGGCGGAGATGGTAATGAAAATGGTAATAAATAATAAATGGTAACTTTGTTTACGCATACACACACATACACATACACATACACATATATACTCACACCTGTTCACATGTACACTTAGATCAAACACTTAAATCACTTTTATGTCACTTCTGGAATTATGAATTTACAAGATTGCTCACTACTGCACTATGTTGGTTTGTATATGTCTGACTGTTAAATAAAAAAAAAAAAAAAAAAAAAAAAAAATGAAGTCCGGTTAAGAACACAACAAAAATAGAGTAGGAGATTCACAGTAATGTAGTAGTAAATCCAAACAGGCATTTGTCATTTTAAAATAATAAAAAACAACAAACCTTCTACCACCTTCTAGTCTACCACACATGAACCTCATAGGATGCTGTTTCTAATTATTTGGTACTGATTCTGAGATCTTTTAATAAACTTAAAGTTTCTCTCGTTTTATTTGATGACATTTAGCTGCAGATCTCTCGGCTATCAAAGCCAACCTGACTGAGCGTCCCCAGAACAGTGATATCAAGTTGTCTTTTCTGACTGAAGAAAGAGACCTGCTGAACGCCAGCCTGGTTGAAATAACTGAAGAGCTGAACAGCATGAGTAAGTATGGGGACTGCAGACCATGGCCCTCATTTATGAAAAGTGCTTACACCAAATTTCCAGCGTACACCCGGCCTACACCCAAAACCACGGTGACTTTGAGATTTCAATCAATATGGACGTTGGCGTACGGCACGCTCAAATCCTACGCCCGCTTAGGAGGTGGAGGTCAAAACTTGCATAGATGTAAGTTTTGAGTTAGTGCGGAAATGCGCAGAAAAACAATTCCTAACACCACAAAACGCACTGACAAACTAAAAGATATGATATATTATGACCCACTGTAACAGAAACAACGTTTGAAACATTATTTTTGGTGTTTATATTTGAGCAACACGGACTTTATACAGCCTATATAATATTTGAGCAGTCAAAACATGCTTTGATTTGTATTTGGACTATTTTATCGTTGCTTTAGGTGCCTTTTATTTGGGTTTGCTTTTAATACAATTTGTACCTTCAAATGAAAAGACTATGAGCAAAAAATGTTGTAAGGTAAATAAATACTGCATACAAACAACGAAGAGCATAAGCAGATGGCTTGAAGCACTGAGACTGGCTGCCGAAATGGACACCCCCACCAGGCTGGCACAGACATGTCGCGCACAAAGCCCTGCATTTATTATAAGTTTATATTATGACAGCAACAGCGAGCACCGACACCCCCGCTAAAGGCCCCGCGTCCCCGGACTCTGGTGCACGCTGATCCCGGCTCATGTGTGAGTCCTGGGTCAGTGCGTAAAGCCCAGTCCCGGAGGTGATGGAGCAGCTTTTTATCAGAGCAACATACTTTCATTTGGAGCTTATTTGGGACTTAACTTTGATGGGTGTTTTAGCAGTGCTAAATCTATCTGTTGGAGCACCACAAGTAGCCAATTTATAATTCTAGGAACAGACAAAAACTTCTAGTTTGCACGGAAGGCGCTCCACAAACAGGTGGTACAGACGTGGTGCAGCTCATCATTGTGTTTGGACAATGTTTCACTTTGAACCACTCACCGCGGATGGTCAGATCCAAGTCCGTGGGCGTCCAGACCCGTGTCCGTGCGTAATAGTCCCACGACAGCGCAGAGCACTGTTTCCCAAAGCCACAAAACATTATGAAGGATTGCTTTGCACGCTGGGGGTACACGGCCCCGTATCTGTCCGTATGTCCTCCGTTCATCAAAGTAAACGCTCAGCGAGAGGCTCTTGGCCCGTGCCCTGCTCCTCCGGGATGAGCGCATCCTCCTCTGGGGCTGACAGCGCGCACTGGTCCGCTCCAGCGAGTCTGACAGCGCGCGGTGGTCCCCCTGACTCCAGCACTGGCTCTCGGGCTTATGGCTCATCTGAATGCTCGTTTCCAGTTTTAAGCGCGTTGAACATTTTGTGGAAAATGTGTCCAGTTTAAATCATCGAATAAGAAAGTATTAAATTGTTTCCAAAAGAAAAATCTCGTAATATTAAAATGCACAATATTTTTGAACATTTATGCCGGGGATGGGCTCTAGTAGTGAAACTAAACATATAATCTTTCTTTAAATCTGTCAAACAACATATTATTTTGTTTTTTAAGTTTAAATTTGTGGATTTCCTGCTCCAACCCATGTATTTCTTGCCGTATTCCGTCAGTCCCTGCCGTGAAGTCGTGGGTGCGGCCTCCTGAAGCTTGAATAATTGGGGGCGTTTCATTCAAATTACGCACGTTTTAAGCCGCCGCATTTATCAACACCAGGTGGTGCTTACACCTTAAGTGCGAGGGTACACTCTCATCGATAAATCAGGCGCTGAGAACAGTGTAAGCATAATCTCACGCACAAAAATAGGCCCGTTTCTACGGAAGATTGATAAATGACGGCCAAAGTGTGTGGCCATGTGTAATCACAGTTCTGCAAAATATATCTACACTTAACAGGCATGTCGCCACATATGTGAAACATGATAGACCCTATTTACAGCAAATATTTGACATGCAGGTAAAGTACAGATCTAATTAATGACACATAGGTACAGTATTTTCTGCTGTTACCACCAGTTTAACACAGTGACACTAAAAAGCTAAAGGCTGATGTGGTAGTGGGTAGGGTTAGCCTCCTTTGTGTTGCTGCGATGTAGCAAACTGTGGCATATCATACGGATGAAGGGTAACTTTAGCATCAAACAATTACACTTTGTTTCGCTGCCTGAAAGCGTCCGCAATGATGCACTGATGAGAACGCGTTGCAGAAGCACAACATGTAAAGGATGCTCTGGCTCCCTGAATAGTTGCAAGGACACTTGGGGGAAGCCCAGAGGCAGACAGATTTAACCTCTCATAGGGATGGAATATCTCCCCCTGCGACAGGAGGTCCAGTGTTTCCCAGGCCAGTGAGGCAATCACATTGCGAAGGATGTTACACTGGTACATTGTTATTTATAAAGCTACTTCAGGTCTTTTGCCTTCTTATATCTGTTTAAAGTGTGTTCAAAGTACATATCATTTAAGATCTAATGATGGACTACTTTGTAAGGTACCAAGAATGAGGACAGAAGCAGGAAAGAGGAGTCTGTCTTACTATGTCCCTTCGTCCTGGAATGAATTTCCTTAGCTGCTTTTAAAAAACGAATATCTGCACTGCAAAATTTATCGTTGTGAATTTACAATAAATAATTGGATAAATTTTGATGATGATTTTCACAGTAAGGATTACAGCAATATACTGTGAAATATACTCACAGCAATTTACTGTAATTTTATATCTGTGATATTACAATGCATTGTTGTAAAAGCACAACTGTATATTGTAACTTCACAGCTTCAATGACAAAGGAATTACTGTGATATTACAGTACATTACTGGGGAATTACAATCTTTTGCTGTACATCATTACAACAAGGCCCTGTACTTTTACAGTGTGTACTGTGAAAGTAATGTACAAGTTGACAACAATTTACTGTGAATTTACAATGTATACTGTGGAAGTCATGCTAAAATTGTCCAGTAACGTACTGTAAAAGTAATGCAGATGAAGCTTCCATTTACTGTGAATTTACAATCATTGTACAATTAACCCCCTCCCCCCAACAAACAACTCTGAGGTAAATTCAATGTTAGCCCAATGGCATATTTATTAACAAATAAATATTTTTCAATGTGCAGCAGATGCCAAGAACTTCAAGAGTTCAAGAAATTCATCTTTCTAGTCATAAAAGCCATCTTAAAATGCAGAAAATGCAGAGAAATTGTGCAAACTTGCAATTCAACTACCTGTTTCACATTTCAACTTTTCAACTAGCTCTGTCACAATAACAGGAATGGACAGGATGGGAATGAGGCCTTCATGGCAAGATAAGAGAGCAAGGGAGAGAGCGATGAAGGAATGTCTTAAAGGGGTGAGGCGCTCCTCTCAGTCTCAAACATTATAATGAGTCAGCATTGTGTAAAAATCTTGTAGTGCAAAGTTGTCTTGAAAAATTACAAAAAGAACAAGGCTACTCAAAACTGAGCCTGATAACTACCGCTGCAAACAACAAAAACTATGATGCCCCCTCAAAGTCAATAAGTTTCCTCAAAAGGGTGCTCACATGAGGGGTCATTGTTGTCCGCTTCTTGGTCTTTGAGCCTCTTTCAGGATTGATGCCCAGGAAGCACATGTTAATAAGCAAAGATAGTTTCAGTTTTAAATAGACTTACAGTATGTATTGCAGACAGCATTTATCAAGGTGCGCTTTTTGCTGTGCTTTTTCCCCACATCAAACCCTAATAGATTTAAAATCCAAACTTGTTAGATCGTACTCTCACCATAATTTTTTTAGCCACTTTTAGCCAAGGTGCCCCAGGTTAGGTTTGCCTGAGGCAAAGTGGTTGATTTTCTACTATGAGAGGCCATATCAACGTGCGCCGCCACTGAAATGCATCTTCACGCAATTGGCCAGTTGGTAAATTAAAACCAAAACCTGTTGCAAGTATGACAAACACATCCTTTTCAATTAAGGGCCTGAGAGCATTTTGTTCTGTTTTTAAAGAAAATTTCATCTACTTCATTCAATACATTCGCATTTCGCAATAGACGTTTTGAAATCATCATCACATAGCCTGCCCCAAAACAAAATAAATAGCTGTGATTGGACCGGCAGGTATTTGTCAGCATAACGTGTAGAAAACCAGACTGATCTGCAGAGCAAAATTGAATGAGTTTGCAAGATCAGGATGGTCTTACCAGGCTAGCCTCAGGTACCTCGTTTGTCAGCATTTTAGACCTCAAGAAGCCTGTACTATAGTGTGAATTACAAGATTAAATGTGATCTTTATAAAATACCTTTGAATGAACTCCTGCATCAACGATCCAGAGGCAGGATACTCAAGGTTGAAGACGTAATAGCTGCTGAAGAAAGCAGCTACTCCGTGTAAAAAGAAAGGGTGTGGGCCCATCACGACATGTCCCTCGACGGATATAAGCCATCCAGAGGGCTTCATCATGTCACCTGATTTGAACAGATACAACATTATGTGTTATGAGCACTTTGCGATCTGCTTAAGACACAAAGGCCTATACAAATGTAATTCTTATTATAATCATAATTATTATTATTTATTGTGGTCATGTAGATTTCTAGAATGAAAAGAAAATAATGAGTTGTCGATAAATGTCGATACTAGATCAAAGTAACATTACCTTGAATGATCAAGCAGGGGGTGCTGGGGAGTTCTGCAGTATTGACGTACACAGCAGTGGCACATGGCTGTAGTATAGTTAACACACAATAGCATGGATTTAGGATAAAGGATAAATATTGTTCATTGGTCAGAGGTAGTAAATCATGCAAGGTAAATGTTGATAATGTAATCACACATTCTGCATTTTAAATATTTGAATAAAAAAAATCTTACATCAACTTCAAGCATCAAACTCTCTTTCGGCTCTTGTCCAGTGTTGCACAGTAATCCAGGATGGTCTGTCCTCGTCGACTAATTGCCTCCTGTAGCTTCTGAAGGACATTGACGTCCGTCAGGAGGCCAAAGAGAGTGAGAATAGGCATTTCTGAGAGAAGAGAAATGGCCATTCCTGTTTGATCTCAGACATCGCTGCAGCAGGCACTTTGTTAAGGTATTTCCGCAGGATGACGTATGTCTTTTCCATCATTGGTTCTGCTCTCCCTGCCCCACTCGTTCCTTCCTCTGTGTATATATATATGTGTTAGTACCCAAGTAACAATTTGGTCTTGTAGCCGCCCAACACACACTGTGTTCAGATCTTTACCAATTACTAAAGTCTAAACAAAATTACCCAAAAAGAGAGTAGATGGCATGCCTGAGTAGATGTTCAGCAGATCCCTCTTCATATTCTCCAACGTTGCCTCGGTCTCCCCGTCTGGCCAATCTGCTGGGCCCCACCTGACACACCTAGAAGTGGGCAGCACAGGGTAACAATACTATTGGGGACGGTTATAGCTCAGAAGTTGGAGCAAGTCGTCTCATGACTGAAGGGTCAGCAGTTTGATTCCCTGTTGTGACTGTCTAAATAGACCCTTCCCACAGAAGTTATGTTACAGTGTAATAGTTTTGTAAACACAGGTGTATTTTATCAAACTAATTAAAGGGATATTCCACCATTTGGGGAATTAAGCGATACCACGTATAGCTCCAGTCTAGCATAGATCATTGGATCGGATTAGACCATTAGCATCTCACCCTCAAAATGACTAAGATTTCCGGAATTTTTCCTATTTAAAAGTTGTCTCTTCTCAAGTTAGAACATGCAATAAAACTAGCGGAAAATGAAACATGGCAATTTTCTTAGTCCATGTTTGAAACATGGACTATTTTCAGGTGCTGCGTGTTCCTCGGCAGCCTCTGAATACTGCACATGATGCACATCTATGTTTTCTGGAAATATGTGAAGCAAAAGTCATCACGTGTGTGAACGTGCAATCGCAACCTCTAAATGGACATCTAGTTACCATTCCTCCCCTTATGTGCGTCTTCAAATGTTTAATAAGAGAGGCCAAAGTGTCACACTTAAATGCACAAGCCTCAAGCAGACATTTCAAGGGTGTAAGAGCTGATGTGTCAGGCAGTATAGGCCCAGCAGCCTGCAGGTAGGACCTATGCTGCCTATACATATGAATTTGCAGTCCCGTGTGTTTTCTGTACCTCCATGAGCAGTCAGGCACCCCACACTGGTAGTAATAATTGGGGGCATTGCTTTTGTGTGCTGAACATAGTTACACACATTCTCAGACACATGCTCACAGCCAACGAATTTACAGTTGAACATTGTGGATGCATGTTAATTAGTCACCTACCTAATCTATTTCTCCTCACTCTTAGCCTGACACTGAACAGGATGGTTAGCCTCGCCCTCTGATGACCTGGAAAGAAAAGAAAAGAAAAAGGAGAAATTACACAAAGGCAACCAACAATAAGAATTTCAGTTTGAATGCAGATTATGATAATTGATTTTAATTTAATTTTAGCCGTATGTCAAAAATGATAGTGGTATATCTATAGTGTTTTTTTACTGTAGCACTTTGAGATTGCTCACTCAATGGAAAGTGCATTTACAACTTTTACAATTATTATTCATTCATATCAGGACAAGTGGGAACTCTAGTGTTAAAACCCTCCCGTTGTCGAACACGACATGAGACTAATTTACTCCAGTTAGCTCAGTCATGTTGTAACTAGGATATCCGCTGGAAAAATATTTTTTCATGGACCTGGATTGTGCATTCCGGATGAGGGTGGAAAGATCATTCCACCAGCATGGAACCGTGAATGAGAAAGTTCTGGAGAATGATTTTGTGTTGTTTGAATCACTTTCTTTTTTTGACGGTGAATCACCGTTTGAATCACTAAGTTATTAAAGTTAAACAGCTAACAGTAAGCAATGCTAATCTATGATAACCTTGACTAATTACAGAAATGTGCACACATAAATAGTAATGTTTGTCCCATCATTGGTTTTATAAACTTTACAAACACCAGATTTGTCTAAACGGGGATTGTGACATGAAAAACTGTAGCGAAACTCTCCTCATTACTAACATTACTACTATTAGCAAATGCTGTGAGAGAACTTTCAACAATTCCGGGCACTTGCTAACAAAATGTGAACTGAGTCATGCGCTAAACGTTTTGAAAGTAAATATTATTATCATATTAAAATAACATGGGTGTAAGTGCTGCAAACATGCATGCTGCTCACCTTCTCCATTCAGCCCGGAATAGAAGAGGGACACGACGGAGCCTTCAGTTCAAAACAGTTCGGTTATGTCATGTGACTTCCAAGGGCACACTGTAATAATACTGTTTAATGCTGTGAAATCCTTAATTTTTTCACTGTGTTGCTGTGATATTATAGACCTTGTTGTGATATAACAGCAGGTTTTAGATTGCAAGATTTTACTGTAAAATAAGAGTTAAATGCTGTAAAATCCAAGGATACTGTAGTTTTTACAGGTATTCATCGGGATATTACAGGGAAACTCATTTACAACAAGTTACTGTAAAATAATACTTTTAATTATTGTGAAATGCTGATAATTTCTAACAGTGTGACATTCTGACAGACATATGCACTTGTTTTTAATTAATGGTAGGTAGATCTCTACATTTAGTCTTTCTAATTTTGTTTGTTTTACATATTTTAAACTCATTGTAATTTTGTCTATGTAAATATCTTGTAAACTTTGTGTAAATTTTACTGCCAGACAGAAAGTAGCGCTCGTCTTTTCCTCTGCAGCTGTCCTTTGAAGCTGTCCTTCAAAAACATGTTAGAGTAGGTTCTCCAGTCAGTGCCGTTTGACCTGCATTCATTCTGAAGTTGGTCCCCGGGCGCTGTGTCTGCCCACTGCTCCCTTCAGGGATGGGTTAAATGCAGAGGAAGAATTTCGCTACATGTGTGTCTATTTGACAAATAAAGTACCTTACCTTTTAAGAAGGAGCAGAGGATGCTAGTTAAGCGCTACCCAAGCTGCACCATGTGCTGGTTAAAATCATTGACATTAGTTACGCATTTATTTATCATGTGTAAAGTTTAGTTGCAGCAGTCACTCATTCAACAGCTGTCTGTCTGTGGCGAACAGGGAGTACCACATGTCTCCATTGTGTGCACCGCACATATGGTCCGGAGCTGCAGTTCCGCCTTTTTCCCTCTGTCAACACTACGTTAACAGTGAACCTCTAGATAATCGATTATTGACATTATTGACGGGCAGGTAGGCTACGGCAGCTTAAATCGGCGTCTTGTCTGGAATTTGCCAGTGAATGCTAAGAGAGGAATCAGCTGAGCTGTCAGCTGATGTGCTGCTGCTGATGGCTGCTATCGCTATATGCTGGAATGAGCGGAGTTTGACTTCGTTAGCTTCCTGAACTAACGCTATGCTTGATGTATATGTGCTTATGCTCCGTTCAAAGCCCTTTCTGACATGACAATGCCAATATTAACGGTTAAGCAAGGGAAGCTGTTAAGGCACTTACTAAGACATTTCATACACTTAAATCACAAATAATTAAAAAAATTACATAGGGGATTAGGGGACCTGTGCCCCACTAGAGCTATATGTCTAGCAACCCCCCTGGTTACGCTTTGTGGTGTTCCGAACAATAATGCTGCGATGATGTGTTGAGAAGAAATCTGCTTGACACTGTTCTTGATTATAAAAAATTTATTACATCAAGGAATTCAGCATCAATTACAAGCTCTGCAGCAGCTTGGAGAGTGACCCAGCCCGATGGCCACTCTGTCTCTCTGTACATTGAACACAGCTTATATAGGACATGTTTAGGTATCTGCTAAATACCATATAAGGGCACAGTCCCTTCATACACACTAATCTCTACTCCCCCTAACACTGGGTCAGAGGTCAAATTTCATAGGAGGGTTCACTCTTTGCACACCCATCAATCATTACTCCCCCTTAAGAGTTCACTGTGCCTCTCTCCAGCTGCAGAGTATTATTTTAAACTGTAATGGTCAAATACACATATGTTATACACCACAGCTTCATTCTTTCAACCACTTTTTTTTCAACTATTATTTTTGTTAAGTTGCGGAGGTAATTTGGAACAATGTTTAGAACACTTTTGAGTGCTATAAATACATTAATCTTATTTTTGAAGTGATGAGAAGTTATTAAAAGTGAAGTGGAACGACCACTTATTCAGTGCCCGAGTCTTTTAATGTAGAAAAGGCGACACACAGCCGAGCTTAAAGAATAAGGGTAATGTTTTCATAGACATCATAAGAACACAAAAAATCAACGCAAATATTATAGGCTACAAGTTATTGTTTCTTCTTCTTCTCTCCTGAAGATGGTATGAGTACTGTTTGTTGTACGCAACGTCAAACGGCAGACCATGTATGTGTTCATGTAGGAGATAGAGAGAGAGAGCACAGAATGCGTTGAGGTCCCATTTACTGGACCTTTTCAGGGGCCCAGTCATTTCTGCGATTAGTCATCTGCTGACAACACCGCCTCTTTTGTGTAAACACGCTGACGACTAAATAAGGAAACCGTGGGTTGACTTATCGAGTTGATAATCAGTTTTGTGTGACCGCTTATCCGATTGTTAGGGTTAGTGAAGCCGGATAAGAAAGATATCCTTATCTTATTATCCCAATGAACTCGCTTCGGGATACAAGCCCCTGGTAAGGAACACTACATATACTGTATAAAGAGGAAATACCATACAAAAGAAGTCCAGGTAAGAACACAACAAATATAGAGTAGGAGATTGACAGTAATGTAGAAGTAAATCCAAACAGGCTTTTAAGTCATTTTAAATTAATGAAATACAAAAAACAGATTTCTTCCAAACCATTTTCTAGCCTCACGCATGAACCTCATAGGATGCTGTTTCTAATTATCTTATACTAAACTTGGTGATTTTATGAAATTTAGCTGCAGATCTCTCAGCTATCAAAGCCAACCTGACTGAGTGTCTCCGGACCAGTGATATCAAGGTGTCTACCCTGACTGGAGAGAGAAACATGCTGAACAACAGCCTCATTAAAGTGACTGAAGAGCTGAACGGTCTGAGTAAGTGTGGCAACTGCAGACAATATGCGTGGCAATGTGTGATTTCAGATCTGCAAAGTGTAAAATTAACAGGCATGTCACCACATATGTGAAACATGATAGACCCTATTGACAGCAAACATTTTGACTGCAGGTAAAGTACAGATATAATTAATGATACATTTGTGCAGCATTTCCCGCTGTAACCACCAGTTTAACACAGTGAAACTACAAAGCTAAAGGGCTTAATATTACTTGCATTTAATTTACAGACAGTATAGTTTTGTTCCAGTCTTTAATACAATTTTTATACTAATCTTCATCTCTTTGTTCTGTCCAGATGCAACAAATTATATATATCGTATCTTGAAAGAGTACTGACATCCCGTCAGTCATGACCTGATTGCAGGAGGGTAGTGTTAAGGACAGAGAGATCTACACAGTTTATTAAGTAATCCAATGGATTGGAAGTGAGATGTGCAAAATTGCAGACCAGAGAGATGCAAGGCAGGCACAGTGAGATCACAGGTGAATATGGAACCTGAACACAGGGAGACATAAGGTTAGATAAAATAAAAGACACAAGGAACGACAGACCTGTCTGTAGCACTAGTACCACATTTGTAAACTGAACAACCTGGCAAAGACTGGACTGAAAAGCCAGGGTAGATATACTGCAGAGGTTTGATTAGGTGCGCAGGAGGTTTGCCGCAGGAACCAAGCAGGTAAGCGAATGTTTGAAGAGTGAAGCTGACCAAAGACTGTAGAGGGTTCTGTGTTGGCCCCAAAATGACATCATGACCCTGTGACATCCCGTCGCACATGAGAGATGTAACTGTGTTGTTTAGATAAGAAGCTCTCGGGGAATCTAAAAAACTTATTAGGCCATCAGTGATGCTATGTTGGTGTTTGCCAGGTGAGCCTTGTAGGTAGGCTGATTACAAAACGTCAGAAAAACACAGGGAACGAGAGACCATGCTGGACCATGACAAGGAGGGCTTGTTAACAGTACGTGTAGTTTTGCAACACTTGTGAAACCTTGTGTTGTCAAGACAGTTATTTGTGTATTTTTAAAATCCCCTTCAAAGCCTCAAATGTGCCATGATCAAACCCTGTCATGTAGTGGTAGTTTCATACCTTAATTTGCTCCTCAACAGTCTTGCCCCTCCCCCTCCCACTATGTGTGAGAGAGAAACAGAGAAAGCGACTGTTAGGAGAGACAGAAAAGAGATTCACCTATGTTTTCTAATTACATTTGCTGTATTTGCAACACCATTAAGCCATGATGAATAATAATTATGTTTTATTATGTATAAATTGGAAACCACCTTCATTCTGGATATGAATACATGTTTTTAACATCTATATTGTGTCTTTGGCACTTAACTATTGTCAGATTTTTAACGTTTCATTGTTCCTTACAGAATCATGTCCTGCAGGATGGAGGAAGTTTAGTTACGCCTGTTATTTCCTCTCTAATGAGTCTGGTTCCTGGGAAAAGGGTAGAGAGGACTGTAAAACCAGAGGAGCAGATCTGGTGGTCATAAACAGCTCTGAAGAACAGGTGCAGTGTTTGTGAAAAATTTTACGCAAATAAATGTTCTTAGCTTCCTAACATCAGCATGCTTACAATATTAATGCCCACATGTTGATGTTTAGCATCTATAATCTTCACCATATTCACTGTGTTGGTTTAACATGTTAGCATGATAACAGTTGCTAATCAGCACTGAACACAAAGTAAAATTGCATTGTAACTTTCTGTTGTGTTTATTGAACAGAAGTTCCTCTCTAACTTCACCAAGGAAGAAATTATGGCTTGGATTGGTTTGACTGATCGTGACAAGGAGGGGACCTGGATGTGGATTAATGGAGCTCCACTGTCTCTACAGTAAGGCAGCTTTACCTTGATTGAATATAAACAAAATTACATAGTAATTATAGTTTATTATTAGAATGTATTTGTTTTAGTGCCTCTGTAATCATCAGAAATAACAGAACTTACAACAAATATTTCTTAGTGGAATCAGTATCACAACAGCTGACTTGAAATTAATCGGCTGGACCACACTCACGATATACATAGATGATGCAATCAAACAACTATACCACTTTTTGTGAAATATATCTTACCCAATAAAACCACCAGATGGTACTATGGTTTACCATGAAAACAAGGTATAATAAAAAGAATCACCATGTATGTATGTTTTGAAAATCATGGAAAAGTTAAAATGTTCCTTGATTTAATAAATTACTGAAATGTTCATATATTCTAGTTAAATATTTAGTTTTTTAATCTTGATGATTATGGTTTACACCTCATGGAAATAAAAAATCAAGTATCTCAAAATATTAGAATTAATAATTTTATGGTACAGAAATGTTAACCTAAGAAAAGTATTTAATCCCTCAGTCTGGTTCAGTACACACAACCACAAACATGGGGAAGACCTGATAGTTGCCTAGAAGAAATCAAGGTCCCAGGAAAAGTTAAGAGCCACAGAACCCAAGTTGCGTGAAGCCCAGTGTGAATTTTCTGCTAGTGTGTAAAAATGTGTTTTTCCATCCAGAGACAATGCAGCCGGATTCTGATAGATTTAAAAATAAATACAGAAATAAATTAATGCTCAATAAATAAATCTGATCTGATTAAATGCACAAAAAATACAGTAAAAAGATAAATGTAGGCAGTAATTAAATTATACAATGAGACATAAATGTATATATCTCTTTTAATGAGATTATTTATTCACCTTTGTATTAATTACTTTATTTATTTATTGTCCGTTATAATCTTAAACTTATTATTTATTTATTATTTACTTCTTTTTAAATGTATTTATTTATGTGTGTGTTTTAATATTTTTGTCTGTCTTATTCTCCCCTTTGTATTTTCTACTCTATTTATTTCTTCAATACAATTTATTTCTGCTTGTCCTTTTTACATTTCCCTATGCATTTCTGCCTCATTATGCAAATGAGGAGGGGCTGTGTCTCAAAGGGTCAACTTATCGCCTATTGGTGGACCAGTCAGATGGCAAAACTCTACATGCACACACATCAACAAGCTTGCACCTCAAGCAGTCCCAAGAGATGGCTTCCTTCAGTGCACTGATGTGATTAGCAACTCTATTTAAAGACAACAATACCAGCCATGTCTTCCTTTTTTTTCGCGTGGACGCTCTTGTCGTGTAAAAAGACTTGGGCCAGATAAGAAAGCTTGAACTTTTACCAACATTTTTATTATCAACAAAAATAGACACCAATTGGAATACAAAAGGTGGTCAGATATCGATGCAAAACAGAGCCCCATTCTGTTACCAGAACAGAGACCAGAGTTGACATGAAATCATATAACAACTGACTTTCACCTCTTTTTGGACCTCCTTTTATAGCTCTGTTTCTTGGCTTCACATCATCTCTTGGCTCTCTTTCCTACTGCACCTGGGTCTGAGAAAGCCCCAGAAACAGGAACAGGACATTCTTACTGTGATGGACTATAATGATGTATGTTTTGTAGTACAACTTTCATCTGCCTCTGCATTTTCCTTTGCAGGTGTTTTTGATGCTGTCTTGCTATCTTACTGTGCTCCCTCACTCTGCTCCCAAAGCACACCTGCTTGCTCACACACACACGTGCTGCTGCTGAGCCTGGGCAGTTAGATACAGAAAGGAGCACACACACACTCAGAAGAGTTTTAACACTGTGATCCTAACTTTACACTATAAAATAACACTTTAAATGATGACAATGTAGGCCTCCATTGCTCTAGTAATTAATGATAACAATTTAGGCTATAATGCTCTAAAATTATTCACAACACTCTGACCTATAGAGTTTTTATTTAGCAACTTACACAAACACAGAACTGCGGGAAAGTGAGCTGTTGTTTGTGAGAACCACATGGTCAGCTAGCCGCAGCTAAATCTGGAGTGCACTCGTATTTGAGCCTTTATTGTAAATGCTCCGTCGCTCTGCTACCGTCAGCTGCTGTTTCAACAAAAACGCCATTCAGGGTGAAAATTCAACCATGGTTTTGTGTCAGGAGATGCAGTGATTTAACAAGGGGTGAGTAAGAAATACTATGTATAATACATGTAATTTGTTAAGCTATGACAAGAGGAAAAGTCATGCAATATAGGCTAACGTTAAAGCTCAAGCTAGTAACGTTAATGGTGACTAACTAATTTTATGCTTCTGTTAAATGTGATTGTTATTAAGCCATGTTTTGTGTGTGAAGTCAATTTAAAGTTAACTTTACTCCACAATCAAAATGACTTAATGTAGGCTAGTTACTGTTCTTTTATGTCTTGCACAGAAGACAGAGGAGGAGGCATTAGGTGGCCATAACCATATTTGTCAGAGGACAAGACGAAAAGAAGAAGAAGAGAAGGAGAGCAAGAAAATAAATTCCTTTTATATTCCCCCTTACATGTCTTGTTTATGTGTAGATACAGAGGAAAAATAGGAGACCGGCATATATCTCACCGTTAGTGTGTGATGATGGGAGAACAGTGGGTACTTTTCATACAGCCCACACCCTAATATTACTGTGTAACTACAGGATAACAAGTGGAGAACATACAAGATTTTTTACAACTGTCTGCATAGCTTATTCATCTTGTGTAATGTGTAAAGAATGAAAATGAATAGGCCTACTAGGCTCCTCTCTACTTTGACATTTAAGATTAGCTGTGTTTGATCCGCCTTCATACACATATGTGACATTACTGTATAACTTGAGAAAGGTAAGTTGTTTTCTGCTCCAGCCTGCCTAAATGAAAAACATTTTTGGGATTAAATGGGTTTTCTTAGCTGCTGCAGTGCCGGATGAACGGAGAATAGATCTCAACTTATTATTCTATATCATGCAACGAAGTAGAAGAAATGCATAATAAATCCTGGGACAAAATCATTTGTATTTATTAAAATTAGTATTATTTTGGAAGAACATCACATTTGATAGCCTCTCTTAAGATAAAACTCTCAGACTGCATCACTTGTCTTTGTAAACAGAGAAAATGACAGAACAAAGTCTCTAACCTGCCTGTCAGCTCACTCTGCTCGTTAAAACTGAATTTACGATACAGAGTCATATATGTGTGCACTCCAGATTTAGCTGCTACTAGCTGACCGATTGCTTGTCACAAACAACGGCTCACTTTACCGCAGTTCTGTGTCTGTGCATGCCACAAACTGAAAACACTGTCAGTGTCCAAACAAAAAGGAAGGAAGACATGGCTGGTAGAATTGTCCTCAAATAGAGTTGCCAATCACTTCAGTTCACTAAAGGAAGCCATCTCTTCTTACTGTGTGGGGAGCAAGGCTTGTTGATGTGTGAGTTTAGTGTCCACCTCCTTCGTCTGACTGATCCACCATCAGTCAGCTGACAGAGGGGATAAGTTCACCACTTGACCTTTAGTGCTTCCTGTTGCGGTGATATCCCTGGGTGTCAGCATTTCCTCTGTGGAATTAGTGGACATGACCATATCTGACCACAGATGTATTGTTTTTAGCTGTGATTCACCTGTTACTCATGCCGCCTCACCAAGCTCCGTGTGTTTTCGCATCTTTAATGAACAAAGTGCTTCAAAGTTTTGCACATTCTTTCAGAGCCAAAGCCAACACCAGTCTGATTCCAACACCAACAATCTGGTCGATCACTTCAATCATATCTGCTTGTCGTCACTAAATATTACTGCTCCTCTAAAGGTTAGGTCTACGCCTAAAGCTAGTAAGCAACCCTGGATAAATGACAGCATTCACAGCCTAAAAAGGGAATGCAGGAAAGCAGAGCGCAGATGGAAAAATCCAGTCTCCAAGTCCATTACCTCAGTCTGAAGGATTTAGTAATTAACTACAATAACATGGTTAAGGATGCGAGAACACACTATTTTTCTGAACTCATTACTACACATAAACACAATCCCAGGTTTCTGTTTAAGACTGTGGATCAGCTGGTAAACCCAACCCCTCCTTGTGCCTCAGCTGGAAGTAATGATGACTGTGAATTGTTTTTATCTTATTTTACCAATAAGGTGGTGTCAATCAGAGCCTCTATTACCCCCGTGGCCTCTTACTCAGAGGTTCCTAACAAGCAACAAGAGAGTTTTAACCAGTTGTATCCCATCGAGCTTTTAAAAACAGTATCACCTACAAAATTTTTACTGAAAGTAATGGATTCTGTTGGACCCCATTTGATCTCTGTTTTTAACAGCTCCCTATCTACTGGTTGTGTCCCTGATTATTTTAAAACGGCTTGCGTGAACCCACTTTTAAAGAAACCTGGTTTAGATCCCTCCCTCCCACAAAATTTTAGACCAATTTCAAAACTGCCTTTTATTGCAAAGATTCTAGAAAGAATTGTGTCCAAACAGCTGCTCACTGTACTGGAAAATAACAAATTATTTGAAAAGTTTCAGTATGGTTTTAGGAAGTACCACAGCACTGAGACTGCCCTGCTTAAAGTCACCAATGACCTTTTAATGTCTGCTGATGAAGGTATGTGCTCAGTCCTGGTACTCCTGGACCTTAGCGCTGCTTTTGACACCATTGATCATAACATCATGTTAGACAGACTGAGGCACTGGGTGGGGATCTCTGGTACTGCCCTAGAATGGTTTTCATCCTACCTGTCAAATAGGAAGTTTTGTGTGTCTGTAAACAACTATGTCTCCTTATTCTGTCCAGTTAAATATGGTGTGCCTCAGGGGTCGGTCTTTGGACCCATTTTGTTTTGATTGTATCTGCTTCCCCTTGGATATATTATCCATGAACATGGCATTTCTTTTCATATTTATGCTGATGACAAATGTACTTGCCCGTCAGATCCACAGACCCTGGAATGCTGAGTTCACTTAACAACTGCCTTTGTGAAGTTAAAAAATGGATGTCAAATAATTTCCTCCAGCTGAACTCAGACAAAACAGAAATCCTGGTCATCGGGTCTCAGCAGATGGCAAATCAAATACTGCCATCTGCTGGTTCCCTAGTAAATCACATTAAGCCTGTGGCAAAGAACCTTGGTGTTTGGTTTGATAGTAATTTAAATTTCGAGAAGCACACCACAAAGCTTGTTCAATCATGTTTTTATCAACTTAGAAATATAGCAAAAATTCGATCTATGTTAACTTTTAAGGACACCGAGACCATTTTACACGCCTTCATCTCATCACGCCTGGATTATTGCAACAGCCTTTTCACCTGTTTAACCCAAAAATCTATTGATCGACTCCAGACTGTCCAGAACTCAGCTGCCAGGCTTTTAACCAGAACAAAGAAATATGACCACATTACCCCTATTTTAGCTTCATCACACTGGCTCCCAGTGTGTTTTAGAATTGACTTTAAAATTCTATTGATCACTTTTAAAGCTCTTCATGGCCTCTCGCCTTGTTATATTTCTGACCTTTTAGTCCCATACGCACCAGCCCGTACCTTGAGATCCTCGGGCAGAGGTCTGTTCCAGAGTCTCGACTGAAAACTAAAGGGGACAGAGCGTTTGCTGTCAGGGCCCCGAGGCTCTGGAACAGCCTGCCCGAGGAAATCAGGTCGGCTGAGTCAGTGAACTCTTTTAAGTCCCTTCTTAAAACATACTTTTATAGGAGAGCGTTTCCCGATCTTATTTGACTTTATTTTATCCCTTTTATTTTATTGTATTTCACTAATTTTATATTAATTTTTCATGCTCTTGTTTTTTTGTATTATTCTTTACACTTGTTAAAGCACTTTGTAACTTGTTTTTGAAAAGTGCTCTACAAATAAGGATTATTATTATTATATTATTATCACGTACGGATCCTTGGGCGGATGCCTGCGACTTTGCTGCAGGGGAATAAAGACACGCGTGATTGAGTTTACTTTCTATTGTGATAGTTATTGTAACACCTCTTGTGAGAAGAATCAAGGTCCAGCCTGGACACCTCTTCCTCTAGTGAGGAGGAAACTTTGATATGTACTGTATATCTTACCCAGAAATACCACTAGATGGTGCTATGGTTCTTTTAATCATGGTCTACTTTCATCTCCAACCAAGAGGAAGTGATGTTTATAAATTTAGATTTTTAAGAGAATGTTTCTAGAGCTGTCACTAAACAGATGTATTGTTATTTCCTTCTTACCATACAGGCTGGCACACATCGTCACATACAAATGTACATTTAGTTTCTAGTTTATTTGTGTACAAATATTAAAAACTACAAATGTTGGTCCAGCAGTTTACTTTGAAGAAGAGGAACTCAAAATAATAAGAAACATCACAATGTATGTATGATTTTAAAATCATGGAAACGTTCATATATTCTAGATTCATTACACATTAAATATTTTACTTCATGTGTAATGAAGTTAAATATTCAAAGCCTTTGTTTGGTTTTAATCTTGATGATTATGGCTTACAATCATCTTACATCAAAAATCTAGTATTTCAAAATATTACAATTTTAGAATACGGACATTATGATACAGAAATTTCAACCTGCCTTTAATCTCTTAGTCTGGTTAAGTAGAACTACTGTATACATGTTTTTTGTTTTTTTGAGATGCACCTGTAAACAGCCTGAACATCAAGCAGACACAGATGAACATTCATTTGGAGTTGTTTCCACCTATTGAATTTTAAGTGTAATGTTGAATTAAATTGCACTTAAACTGAGCTAAATGTTCTATGTTCACCAGCTAGTCACTGACCTTGTCTGAATGCTGTTGGGTGCCGGGCAGATAACGTACAATGGGTTTATCAGAGCTTTTTGCTGGAAACAGCTGCCTGCAGTGGCTGAAAATGATGCTTATGAGAGTGCAGTTGTGGGCTAGAATCAATGAGCTAAACCTTGCTAAAACAATCTGAGGAGAACTCCTGTTTGTCAAAAAAAAAAAGAAATGAATGCAATTTAAAATACACCAGTACTCACCCCACCAACACACTGCCCCAAACTGTTTTAGGTCTTGGTGGCATTTCCTGGTGAATAGCAGGAATAACTGTGTTCATGTAAAACAATGTCTTTATTGTTGTGTTTGTAGACCTTTTCAGTATTGGCGGAGTGGGCAACCTGATAACAATGGAGGACATCGTTCGCTTGGGGAAGAGGACTGTGCCCACATCATATATGGAGGGGAGGGAAACAACTGGAATGATTTGTCTTGTAACACCAACATAAGATGGATCTGTGAGAAAATGGTTTAGCATTGGTGCATTATTGTGTGTTTGCTGCTTCTACTGCTTCTATATTTTTGGAAGATATAAACATAATTCCTTTGCACAAGTGTGTAAGGTTTCATACAATTTTACTCACATTACATTACAATTTTACGCTACAGTAACATTAATGATTATTAATGATATTTCTACAATTCTGGGAATTTGGTGCACAAGTTCACCATAAGCATGTGCACAACATAAAGAAGCTGGACATCTTGTGGCCAGTTAAAAATACTTTGTGTTTTGGTGAATAACTGTGAGGCAAAGACGAAGCATTCAAATGTGGTGTTAATAGCGTCACCATGTGGTTGGTTGTAAAACGTTTTTGACCTTCATTTCAGAGTATCATTAAAATACTTTGAGATTCTCAAAGGTGTACCTGTGTCCCTTGTACTTAGTGTGAAAATGCACAACTGTATATGTTTTGACAAATTACAGAACTTTGATTAATGTACACATCAATCACCAGAAGCAGCTGCAGAGGATGAAGCAACCACATGCATTTTCTTCTAGGAATGAAAATATTCTAGTTAGGAGATTCAAAGTTTGTAAATTATTCTTTTTATTGTAAAGTAGACTTTACAGAATGTCATTTACCTACAAATTATGGCTCAGATAATAATAAAGACAATGATGTCTTGTTTCTTCTTCATTAAACTGTCCAGGATTAATTAAGTTTTTCAGTTAGAACACACAGTCCAGAGTCACAGTCCATCCTCCCTGATGAACGTTACTCTGTCAACGCCTCTGGTCCGGCATGTGAATCCTCTCATGTTCCATCAAAGAGAAATCTGAAGCTGAAATCTTTTTCCAGGCTTCCAAAACTCTGTCGTTGACATTGTCGTTGCCATCACAAGTAAATGTGTCCTCGTGATCCCTAATAACTCGAAGGAGGGGCTTACAGATTGCCTTTGCTCTTTCTGCTGCTATTTTTGTTAGCTCGTCTTTCAAGTGGCTACTCACTTGCTCTTCCAGAAGATCTTCATAAACCACTCTGTAGTGAGGAGGACACCACAACTCCAGTTTAGACCAGCTGCCCCTTCCCCATGTCTTCTTTCTGACACAATAGGCTCCTATGATTTCACCAATGCTCCAAAGAACTATAAGAAAACAGATTACACTAAAGCCAATGTTCTGGAAAAGAAAAAAAAGTAAACTTAAAAAGAGATGTATTTAGCAGTTGAAGGAACATTCAGTCAAGACCAGTTTGTTTCAACACTTTACCACACAATAGTACTTTATGTCAGCCTATGGCTTTTTCTTGGATTCTCTTACTGCATGTTACTCCAGTGATTAAATAAATCCCTGTCATAACCATTTTAAGTTTTAAGTCAAGCACTTCAGTAAAATTACTGATTGTCCAGTTTAGGGAAAATTTGATATTATTAACAGGTATCTGAGAAATAGGGTCTGTTATTATTAATAATATCCCAACACAGCCGTGAGATATACCACTATTATCATTATTCTAATGTGCTTTAAGTATCTCTTTTTCAGGATGATGACTGAATAAAATACTGAATTGTTAATTAAATGTTTTTATTTTGGATAAATTAATTGTTATATTAATTGAGCAATAAAAATGATCTTTAGAATAACCAATAAATCAGTTATTTGATTAATCGTCTAATCAAAGATTAATCAATTTTAAATCCTAGATAGGAAACAGCCATTGATATTACATATATTGGATACAATGTTCTGCATTGTGTAACATAATATATATACTGTGAGTTACAATACATACTGTATATATATACACAATACATTTGTGTATAGGTATAAAACAACAAATTGTTTTTGGTTTAATTTAGCATACTTGATTGCTGTGTATCGTTATTTACAAGTGAGTCAATCTTATAACGATCTTCAATGAGTTTCTCCTCTTGGCTCAGATTTGCTTTGCAAGGAATTCCAGTCTGAGTAGGGTTGAGGTTTGTCCTCATGCAAAATTACCAGTCTCCATCAAACAGAACAGTGGCTACCCATACAAAAAGAAGACTGAGATAATTCATCAGCAACTTAAAAATACTGCTGCAGAAATTGTTACAACAAAGTCTTTGACAGCTGGAAACAATCTTCCTTTGGTGGAAAGCCTCAATGATGTAGACAACCCATAGGACAGGGGTAGTCAATTAGATTTCAAAGAGGTCTAGTTAGAGAAAATATCCTGAAGCAAAGGTCCGGAACATTAAAACGACGAACTTGCGTTATCATTCAGTACTATAACCTATAGTTGTATCAACACATGTTTTTAGTCAACAACGGACTGTCAAATCAAATAATATTTCAGTCAGTTTTCACATCAAACTGGAGGGATAATAAATAATAACTATTCAAATAATAAATTCTAAATTTAAGTAAACTAAAGTGCCTAATTTTTAGAAAAAATGTAATAAAAAGTGTAGCTTTAAGTGATGAAGTGTAGTCTTAACCAATTTTATAATAAACACTCAACACATCATAACAAATGAACAGCTGTAATGCCTCCTCTTCTCTTTCATTTCCTCTTACAGAGCTACCACTTTCCTACTTTCTGTTGTTCAGTGAGAAACGTGAGCTCCAGCTAGCATATTGCAGATCTATGAGATATTCTGGTTTTGAACTGCCCGTGGGAGGAATGTACATGTAAAAATCTGTACATTCTTGATTAAAAGTCATGTGAAATCTCTTTTATCTTTCGTCTCCTCAATTCAGGTGTGTTTCCAAAACGCCTCTGGTGAATCACGCGGACTCGACTCGCAAGCATCGGTATGCACAGATTTGATTGGCTGAGCAGCGTCCCATGAGACGATTGGAAGCACATGCGATTGGTCTGTGAGTTTCCTGGTCCTCTAAACCAGTACAGTAAATGCTAGAGAAGCTGCGCGGGTTAAAATAGAAACGCTCCGTCACGAGGTAGTAAGTCTCAATAATAAATGGGCTGTAGGTCGGCGGCCCGGGAGAGGACGGCGGCTGGGTCCGGATCCGGACCGCGGTCCGCCTATTAGTGACCTCTGCCATAGGAGGGAGCAAGCATGTACAGTACACCATTAGGATGTATACCTGGTATGCATGAGCACATGAAATGCACATCAAATATGTACTGCAGAATGTAGAAGACTACTATCAGCAGAAATGCACTGACAGCATTTGTAATGACTTTGACAAGTTTTTCAGGAAAATCATGACCAATGTGCTGGCTGAAAAGAGTATCTGAAAAAAATACAAAGTTTAAAACAATCTGTTGCAAGGCTGCTACAGTTAAATGATGTTCTTTTTCTTATTTGCAGAAGATGTTGTTCAAAAAGGCTGCGTGAAAAGGTGTCAACCGCACGAACAAATGAGATGTTATACAGCGTATTTCGTCAATATATCTGAACAGTGGCACAGTGATAAACCACAATGTGCCAGCCTTCAGCACAATGATGGTACCATTTGCTTTCACTTTATGAATAACTACAGAGGATTTTCCCATTTTATGATGCATAGGAAACATGAAGATCCTCATTTTGAACACCAATCAATTTAACTGTTTTCCCCACAGCAAGTAAAGTATAATGGGTGTTATATGTACCATGAACAATACTAAAGAAATAGTTCAACATTTTGAGAAATACACTTTTTCACTTTATGCTAAGCTAAGCTAGCCGCCTCCTGGTTCTGTAATCTAACCTTCAAAACAAAGCATATAGGCGTGTTAACTAAAATATTCCTTAAAACATAAATGGAGTCATTTATGTATTGGGTTAGCTGATAGCTCCTTTTTCATCTGCAGTCCCTTGGCAAGTCAAAGGTAAAACATGCACTGGGATGAAACAACACTTGAGAAGTACAAGACACATAATGTAAAAAATACACTATACATGACATACACATGCATTAATGTGATGCTAGAATAATAATCTTCAAAAGACTCAATATCTGTTGCTTCTTTATGACTTTTTGTAATGTTAAGTTTCTTCTCTCGACAATGAGTGATGCAGAAAATGATGAATTCATTATATTACATATATATTATAGTAACATACTAACATAATTGTTGTAATTCAACTATTTAATATACTGTAAAACCTCCTAGGCATTTATTTGGTCAGTCGCTGAACTCCCCCTGCCTATGTTTGGGAAAGGCCTTTAATTCCTCTCCCACAGAACTCTTACCCAGAAAAGATGGGAAATAGGCTACTATTTTTAAATGTTTTTTAAAACCAGCATGAATATAACTGTTACTTATTTAATTAATAACTAACTGTTGATCTACACTGAATTATAAAAATTATAAACGCAACACTTTTGTTTTTGCCCTCAAAGATCTAAGACTTTCTCTATGTAAACAAGGCCTATTCCTCTCAAATGTTGTTCACAAATCTGTCAAAATCTGTGTTAGTGAGCACTTCTCCTTTGCGGAGATAATCCATCCACCTCACAGGTGTGGCATATCAAGATGCTGATCAGACAGCATGGGGATTGCACAGGTGTGCCAAGCTGGCCACAATAAAAGGCCACTCGAAAATGTGTTAAGTTTTATCAACATGGATACATTTTTTGGAAACTTGTTTTGATTCTTATGATGGACGGTGTACCCCTGCTTCAAATGTAGGGAGTCACCACTGTTTTCATTTTTCTTCTTTACCATGCTGGTAAATCAAATATACTTTAGTGCTCATGGTTGCCATAAAATGAACAATTAATTTATGGAGACTCTATTCAGTCTAATGATGTGTAGCATGTCCATATTGAAACAAGTTTAAACATTTATCTGTATGCACAATCTATGCAGCTTAGAACTATCTCAAGCAGTTTTCGTAGCAGGCACCTTTATCTTGATAGGGAGAAATAGCCTCTGTGACTACAAGTCAATATGCAACACACGCCTTAAAGGTAATGTTTACCTATGGTGTGTTTAAAGTGCATGTGTGGTAGGCCAAATAGGTAAAACAGCAGACTGTCATTCTGCGGAAATAGAAGACATCTGTTTGGCAGTAGAGTATGTGTGAAAATTATTTTGGAGACATGGTGGGTTTGACTTAAGCGACAGGATCGAATCGTTTGTTCTTCTTAAGTGGTTTTGTCAGCAGCCATGGCTACCTTCGGGCAGATCATCTTCTGCAGGTGGGGTCATAAGGTTTGAATGTGTTTTCTACTGATAGCGTTTAAATTGTGAAAGCATTCAGTTGTCTACAGTGGTGGAAAGTACAAGAACTGTGCTCAAGCAATTTTGACTTATTTGTACATAACTTGTACTTGTATATTTCCATGTTAGGCTACTTTATACTTCTACTACTCTACATTTCAGAAGGAAAGATTATACTATTGTACAGTACTTCTCAGATTTTAGATTATAGAATACAATTCATTATTAAATAACAAACCAGTGGCTCTCAACCTTTTTGGCCC